CGATATGGAGTAGCGTCAGTAGTCCAGGGCGTTCTTCTTGAGTAACGAAATCCGTCGCGGTAAGAACCTTGATCATGTCTTCTCCCACTTGTTGCAATCTTTCAATCACCCCGAGATCGTCAATGGTTGCCTTGATACCACCTATCCCGATCCTGAGCATAGTGCCCTGTTGACGCTGCCGAATTAGAGTATCGATAATGATATCGTCGTCTTCCACAACATGTTGATCCTTGCTAGGCGTTAACAGTGCCAATAGTATTGCCAAATCTTCTTGTTCCGGCCTATTCAAGAATTCGACTCTGGTATTCTCGACTATGAGACTAGTTTCAACCTGTTGTCGTCCATTATCCCACGGTAGGTCAGGTCCATAGACCCCAATTTTGTCTAATTGAACGATGATACTGCCATTTTCACTCCTGATCTTTAGTGGGGATGTTTCGAGGCCGACTTTCCCAGTACTACCCACAATTTCTACCTTCAGTCCTCCAATCTGGCAATGCACTTTCACATCACTCTTCTTCGGTTCTGGTAGCTCTGTCTCGTTCGCTCCCCACCTCCGAAGCGTATCAGGAGATCTGCCTTTCGTAATTGTGACCGTGGAGGCTGTCGTAGACGTGGAGGCTAAAACACCTCCGACACCCCCGAAAGCTCCAAGGGTGTCCTCCAACCTTTTAAGGTCAAAATGTAGCTTGACCGGGAGCGTCGTGACGTTTATTCTCTTCTTTGTTGGACTCTGAGAAATTATGAATGAAACATCATTTTCGGGAAACGTGACGGAGGAATTATGTGATCCGCGCTTTCGTGAGGATTTGGCTGATGGTGGCTGAATGAAGGAGAGTATATCTTCCTTTCCATCTCCTAAGAAGAACCCTTTTATGTCGATCTTCGAGGTTGTTATGTTCTGTCCAAGATTGCTATGAGCAACTTTAATCTCGCGCAAGAGGCATTCAACAACGGTTCCGCTGTTGTCATTGTGAACCAATTCATCTTCCCCTTCCTCCTCTTCATTGCGTACAACGAGACCCGACAACTGATCTACAAGTTTCAATGCTATCTCTTCCACCAAAATTTCTAAATTTGGACCAGCTGTCTCTGTTGCGTTTGTTGTAGTGTCACCTGATCCACGTTTTCCTTTCAAGTCTCCTGAGCCCTCGGAAAGCGCCCCAGTAACGGATTCAATAACCATTCCTAGAATCCTAGCGGTAGAAAAATCCACAGCACCACCTATTTTACCGATACTAATCTCAACATCGGGTTTTTCTTGCGAGTGATCGGTGGTGCTTTGGGGCGTTTTTTTATCCACGATCTTTATCATTGTTTGGCGTCTTGATCGCGGGGGAGAGGCAGACTTTGGCGGCGAGGCGATATTCCGTTTCGAAGCATACATAGAAAAGGCGCCTGGAACATGTGGATAATGATTGTCTTCCGTTTCGTTGCTTCCGGAATTATTAGAAGCCCCTGCTTCAGCATGATGGGCACCGGAGCTTCGGGATTCCTCTGCCGAAAGAGATGGAATAAAAACTTCGATCTTATCCAAACCGAAAATATTCTTCCTTATCCTCCTTCCAACCTTCAAATTTTCACCGCAAGGTTCCTCCATGGTCCTGATAGAGGTTCCCGCCCTTGAAGCTGCTACATCGCCAATCAATGCATCTAAACGGGCGTCCATTTCGTCTGCATCAACCTCCTCCTCATCTGCCTCGTCCTTCAATCGACCCTCCTCTTCATCCTTTCTATCCGACTCGTTGAATACCCCACTAGTAGCCGAAAGATATAAACTCCCCGCTTCGCTATGGGTAAACAGCGTAGATTCGCTGAGCATACGGCTTGCTTCTGCATCCATCTCATCTCCAGATTCACTATCCTCAGTTTCATTCGGGGATGACTCTGGGGTTTGCTTGTGCAGCACCAAGGATTTCGCCATAGGTGAAGGCGGACTGTCAGATGGTAATGGTTGGTCCGCGGCTTCTGTTGAAGGGATGTGCACCGAGGTTGATGTCGAGCGATCATAGAATGATCCCGATTGTGAGCGGGCATGTGTTGAAGAGGATAATGGTGAAGATTCATAAAATGATGCCGATTGAGATCGGGCATGGAGTGATCCAGGTGGTGAACCGGTACGGGAGAAAGAAGGCGGTAGGCGGGCACGAATCGAAGAAGACGACGACGACGACTCCGCGGGAGGAAACATGCTTGGCGCAAAAGCAGCCCCTCCTTCATCTTCGCTGTCTTCATCGTCGTCATAATTTATGGGCTGTCTCGTGAGGGAACCGGAGGAGGTATGAACCCGACTTGAAGCAGCAAATGGCGATGGCGCAAATGCCAGGACTTCATCATCGGACGAGGAATCTTCAAAGTCAGCAAATCTATCACTTCCGGAGAAGTTATTTTCATCAAAATTCCCATCTACATGCACACCTTCATCCTCAGATACATGTGATTCTAAAGATTTTTCCACTGTAGGTGGGGCTTCTTCATGAAGCGGTGATTGTGGGGGTCGATCTCGAATAGTGTTTGTTGAAGTCGCCATACTATGAAAGCTCCCAGCCTGTGTCAACGTATCTCTACTGGTCGCCATGTTGCTCGATGCCATTTTTTCAGTCAAAACTTCTGAAGCTTCACCAAAAATAGTACTGGCCGCGGGCGGACTTGGGGGCTCGAACAACGAAGCATCGGAAGTGATATATGCTTTGATTCTATCGAGAGTAATACGCCGCTTTCCCTCCTTGTGGCGCATGCCCGGTTCTCCGGCAGGTGTGACTGAATTTGTGGTGACACCCTCCACATCAACATCTTCGACCTCTAAATCCAGCATAATCTTCTCGCCTCCGTGTTCCTCAGGCGCGGTACTCTCCAGTGAGATGACTACCCCCCGTATCTTGATCCTCAGCCTGTCGCCGATTCCTTTGAACAGAGTTGCCAGTATTTTTGGCAGACCAACGTTTGTCCCTACGCCTAGTTCTTCATCATCATCGTCATCATCCGATGACGAAGCTGTACCAGCCACTGAATGCGTTGACGCGGTCATGTTATCTCGGTCCCGGTAAAGAGAATGTAGCAATTGGTCCTTCTCGCGCTGGGGTTGCGACTGCAAAAATGACTGAGCAAGATCCTCAGCTGTAGTGGGCAATTCATTGTTAGACTCCTCGTCTTCAGAATCGACATCAGGGCTGTTATCGGGGTTTTGCTGGCTTCCTGGGGAGGGTGGGGGAGATGGCTGTGCTATAGGAGCGATCGTAACGGACACTCTTATGTCGGAGAGAAGTATCTCTATTGATCCAGATAGTAGGAAATTCGCAGGAAGACTTAAAGTTAGTGTACCGATTACGGCATGTGTGAGTGCCACTCGAGGAGGAAGTGGAATCTTCATCAGCTGCTTAAGTTTCTGGAAGCGAAGTCAGTCACAAAATGGGGCTAGAGAAATATCCGGGCGATACGTACATCGACTTTAATTCCGACATCTTTGAGCGTAAGAACTGAATTACGGCCCACTGAACCCTCGAGATTTGATAGGTCGCCTAGAGTGCGTTCTTCAAGGAGGTCAAAGTGATTCAAAACATAACGAACAATCTTCTTCTCCCACTGAGCTGGAAGATAGCTCGGTAGGGAAAACATTTTGGGTTCGAGCTTGGATCTATTACAGAGCGGGGTTATGTATGGGTGGAGATATTAAAGCCAGGGTTGTGTGGCTAGACGGGAAGCCCCCCAGGATAGATCGTAGATGTAGTTATAGATATGGAGAGATTTGTTGTAAATAGAATGAGGGGCGGGCCGGAAGGGGGTGGAGAGGGGCTGGTGGGGGGAAGGGACGGGGGGGAGAAAGAGTGAAGAGGGAGGAGGAAGAAGAGCTCGACGTGGTGTAGGTATTAGCTTCCTAGCTAATATGAGGGCCACAACCTCGATACGGTGATTAGCGAATGTGATCAGCGGAAGTTTGTGCACAGCAACGGTGACGCAGGGGAGCTGCTGTCACTAGAGCTAGTGGATAAGAACAGTGTCGAGAAAGAAAGTAGAAGGGGTGGGTATCCTGATATCTACATGTGCGGGCTCGTGAGATATATTCTACACTCAAATATTTACCCTCCACTGCTTATCTTTTTATCTCTTCTTAAGGTTGCGCCTCCCAACGATCGATGACTACCACTGTCGGTGGCGATGTTCAGTGGCCCAGTTTGGCAACAAAACCAGCGCTAGAGAAGTACATACATCTCTCACTGTTTTGCTAGAGTAACCGTAGAAGCAACATCGACATCAACACGCGCACCATGGATAATGTAGTTAGCGTAGTGGAAGGTAAGTCTCGTGCCAGGTGACGGGTGTGACCTATGCCGAGTCGGAGTCAGCCTTCTGATACAGGAGGCCGATACAGTACCGGTGCTATTGTTTCATTCATTCTAGAGTCCATAAATGTACTTTACACTTACATGTAAGATGTATTTACAGTGCCGTATCTCTTCTTGATGCCATCACATATCCGATAGGTTCATCTCTACATGTACCTACATAAGTGATGCGATCTTTACAACTAGCCGTGCCTACACTATTTTCTTCCTATCTATCATCGTACTCTAAACCTCCAATAGACTATAGGTACGAATATCTTCTTGTGCATTTCCTTCCACTGTCCAGGTTCTGTTTCACGCGTTGCGGCTCTCGTGTAACGACTTAAGCCAACCGAATATCTCGATACCCCGTGACACGTGCATCATCACACCCCTAGCCCTGGTCGCGATCGCCAAATTCCAAACCTCCCCATCAAAGGGCTGGAATCCTTCTTTACCCAAACATCCATCGACGTGATTGTGCAGCTGCATTTTGCTCCCTTTCGCCCTCGTTGCGTAGCCCCACCCACACACCATCTATTCAGCTTCATCTGCTACTGGCTGTTCATTCTCCTGCTTGTTGGCCTTGCTGAACCCGACAGGTTCTCCCGGGGTTTCGTGAAAAACACCCACGCGAGGTCTCTTCTTTGAATCCTCCTCCATCCGTATCTTCAAACCATGGAGCCTCCTCCAACCCCCCCCCTATTTCGCCTCCCCTCGAATTCAAATCCTTCGGCTTCCTTATTCTCTCCACCCGCTGGAAACGTTCCCAGCAATGGCCTCTTTTCCTCCTCTTCCACACCTCAGCAACAACGTTCTAGTACCACTCCCGCGACTCTGTTTGCCGGCTCTACCCCGGGTTTCAAAATGAGCCAGAAAAGTAACGGGATGGGATTATTTGATTCACCAGATGCCACGCCAAAGTTTCCTCTCGGCGGTACTGGCAAACACGTCACTGGGGATTCCTCAAAGTTTGGCGCGCGCGCGGGGCGTGAAAGCAGAATCGGGGGCAAATACATGTCGCCCACTGATGGCGACGACGAAGAAGAAGATGGAACACAGATTTTCGAAGACAGTCAGGACGAGGGCTCTTACCAGGAATATGACACTCACCAAGAATTTGATGACGAGGATGACATGGACGAAACAGGGATCTTTGACGACGAAGACGAGGAGGTGGAACAGGAGACAGAGACAGAAGGCGAAGGATCTTTTGATCTTCTTCAGAGCAGAACCAACGGGGATAGCCCGAGAACGATATTGGGAGCGGGAGATTTGATTAAGCCAGGAATTGTATCCGAACCTGGGCCTCTAATTATCAATACGGAGGATGTAATGCAGAGGTTATTCCTGGAAATGGAACCTCCCGGGTCAGCGCTTTCCCAGCCAACAGGATATGATTCTGAAGAGGAAGATCTGGATATGGAACTGGATCGCCCCTCCCCGCCTTCCCCAGAAGAAAAGCAACAATTATTGACGACTTGTTCAAAGGAGTGGCTCGAAATATTTGCCCAGCAGCTTCCAAAGAATGACACCAAGTCACGGCTTTATAAAGCATACTATCTTGTTTCTCTTCTTCTCCCTTTGCACCACTCCCGCGCCAATGTCCCTGAGACATTGCGAAAATGGCTCTACACGCACAAGCAGAATCCATCACGACAGCAACTACACTCTCTTAAATCTTTCCACCCGAACTGTGTCTTTAGCCCAAACTACTGGGATTTCATCCACCGCCTCATCCTCCGTGGAGAAGTTCAAGAAGTGCATGACATTATGCGTACCACAGACTGGGATCAGCTCTGTGTCGACGCACCCATCACCAAAGCCCCTAAGTTTAATACCAGCTCTGGCCAATCTGTTCCTGCTATCGAGAAACGATATACCCGTGGAGAAATTGATACTATCAAGGCTGCCACCGCTACTTGTATGAAGTTGCTTAAAGCATGCCCCGGATTAGCACGCTCAAGCTATGCACCAAGCGAAACAGGCTTTTTCCCCAAGACCGCAAAGCATCACGGCACACCTGCCGCCTGGCGGATATGGCAAGGCAGCGTTTTTTCCGCTTGCGAGGAGCTCCGAGGGAGGAATACCGATGCCGAAGACTCTGTTTTTGATGATACGGATGATAGTTACTACAACAACTACCATCCCCGGAATGGGCTAGGTTCATTCGGCCTTACCATTGCTAGCGGAAAACCTAAAGAGAAGGCGCCACTACCTCAAGATGTAGCTCGTGGATTTAGGCAAATCTACGAAGTCATGCGTGGGGACCGGGATGCTGTCATATCAAGCACCGATAAGTGGGAAGAAGCAGTAGTTGGTCTCATGTTCTGGAACCCCGCAGGTTCAGCCAATAAGGGCGACTATGACGATTCAGTCGACGAAGAAGACTCTGATACGGAAGGAGGAGACCTCCAGCATGTGGACCGTAACCGCCGAGAAAGGGAATTAGTCAGGCTGTCAAGAACTATTGAGTCTCTCATGGAAGACATGCCAATTGATCCGACATCTGATTTGGATATTACAGTCGGCGGAATTATGACTGGTGATCCGACGGCTGTAACAGATTTTCTTCCTACTTTCTCGCTACTTGCTGCCTCGGCGGCTGTAGAAATTTGTGGGTGGGCCGGGTCCATTCTCCGAAATCCCATAAATGAAGGTGCCCTTGAGAAGAGAAGGGGTGGTGGCATGATGGATGCCTTTAATGAGGATGATGATGCGGTCTTTGGGTCAATTGGTCGGGTAGTATCGGAAGGGGACAAAGCCGATGGTGTGCTCAGGGAGTATGCGGCGGGACTATTTGGCATCGAATGGCTGGATGAGAATGCGAAGTTTGAAGGGTGGGAGGCTGGTGTTGGCATATTAGAGAGAGTCAAAGGAGGGAAAGAACTGGCTGGAAAGGCACGTGAATCGCCGTCGAAACCGATTTAGAAGCATAGCTGACTTGTATATCTAGTTACTTACCCAGCTTGAACTCAACTCGAAGGACAGGGTGCAAAAGTTGTTGCAGCACTGTAACGAGAAAAATCTCACCGATGAAGCCTCAGATATCGCAGCAGTAAGTGCCTCTACCACATTTTAGTTATCTATGCTAATATACTTTGTTAGTCATTCGCCGGTCGCCTCGTCACTTCTGCCACCTCATACGGTGACTCTCTTTACTTCTATTCCCTATCTTCCTATCATCGCCCCTCAATTCACAACCTACTCACCAAACTTCTTTCCTCTTCCCTCCTCATCTCTAGCGCCTTCCCCCCGGATTCAACCATTGATGATACCTTCAAAAAACTTTTATCCTCCCCCAAATCCACCTCCTCCCAGATCTTGCGCTTCGAGCTCTCCGGATATGCCACCCTTAGAAACTTCTACGCTCTCCGTGATGCTGGAAAGTTCGCTCCTGCTGTCTCTGCACTCGTTGCTACCATCAAATCTGCTGGCGAGAAGCTCGACGGGGGCGTCCTGGACCCTGAATGGGAGTGCGCAGTGGAAGAATGGACTCTCGGAGCGCTCCTCGGTGAACTTATCCCGTTCCTTGGGAGCGCGAAGCGCTGCATCACCGTGCGCGAGTGCATGGATGTTATGAAGGTTCTTACGGACTTTGAACTTGTTGGAGGTGAAACCATGCGCCGCGCCGATGAGTTCCTGAAGAGAGCCATTACGGCCAAAAAGGACATTGCTTCTCTGGCGAATGGCGGAGCTAGTAGCGGGAGGAACAGCATAATCAAATCGAGTTCGTGGGAGGAGGTGAGGAAGGCGATTGATGAGGGGGTTCTTTTGAATGGAATCGATATGGACGCTGTTGAGAGATCGTGGGACTGGAGAGATGGCGTTGTGGGAGATGGGAAGAAGGGTGGACTTGAGGAAATCATCCGCGTGGTTAGGCTGAGGCTCAGCCGAGAGGTCGCGAGGGCGTGGTTGGAAAGTGAAGATTAGAAAAATGTAATATTAGTAGTTGAAACTGGTTGAGTACTAGAGAGGGTAATATTACTTGTTGGAATGGAGATTTTGTATTTTTTTTTTTTTTTCCTGCTTTTTTCTTTTGTTACTACGTTTTTTTTTTTTTATCTTTTTTATTTTTGTTCTTCTACAATTCTTACGATATGTATGATCTCTTTTGTGCTCCTGTTTTCTTCCACCAGTTAATTACTATCCATGAAGCTGTACGTGAATTATGTAGGTGTGGGTTTGGGATACACTTCAATGGGATACATGAGAATTGGGAACTGCACGCATGCAATACTGGAAAGATGGGCGGAATTGCTGCTACTATAACAACATGCCGCTGTAGTGACGGCATACATACATACGTGGTTTAAGATTCTCGGTATTCTCGCATACTAAAACCTATCACTCATTAATTGGAATATGGAGTATTAGTTCATGTCATGGGCCATCACTCGGCTTCTCGGTGGGTATTGCACTGCTCTATTAATTGTAAACTCCCCTGGATCTATTCGGCCCTAGTAGACATTGCATGTACAGCCGCATTTGAAAAGTATTGGCACCTCCGAGCCAAACTCACGAGGCAGTCCTTTCTGCTTTTCAATTCTCATATTCGAGACAATTGCCAGAGAGAGCTGCAATGTCTCTATTGCGGTCATACCTATCAATAAGTTGAGTATGCGCGAGTGCCATGGTTTTTGGTGGGCCACAATTTATGAACGACTCAATATAGTAGGGTGCCAATACTTTTCGAATGCGGCTGTACGTAGGTATAAGTGTGAAACCCATGGTATTATGATTCAGGCTAACAGTTTTCAAAAAAAAATTTCAGAATCTCAGGCTTAGCAGGGCTCATAAGTTCGGGTATCTTGATTCTATTCGATGAACACCGAAAAGGGGCGCCGGGCCGGTTCGACTATGAAACATGTTCTATTGCTCGTAGGGAGCTCCCTTTTACGCTCTTTTGTCCACTCATTGGGGTGGTTATCAATTGAATTAAGCTTTTCTTAATGCACACCCTCTCAAAACTAATGGGAATTTTGCAGGTATTTGCTACCGTAAGACGAAACACCTGTGTATTTTGAAAACGAATAAATAAAAGGAAAATTCGATAGAACCCGGCTCTGAATACCGAGTGATATTATATGACGAGTACACCGGATCACATATGTAACTGCATAAACAATAGATCTTTATTCGTCACCATACGTATTCCTACACCCGTGGATATTCTTTTACTAAATATAACTTGCTGTATCCCTGTACTCTCTCTGACCTGACGTTTTACATACATGCCTTGAACAACTGAAATTCTCTACTAAAGCACTTTACTTTATTATCCTACCCCTCCATAGGCCAGCCACCGCCGCAGGAAAACTACCGGCACTCGCGATTCATCGGAATCCAATCGCTGGTAGTCACCTTCTTCAGACTACTCTACGCAACCTTATGCCCACTACATGTACTTAATATACAGCCCGTTCGGGAACAGGCCAAACAGAGTTTACAGGGATGGAGGCTTTATTTCGATGCCCATTCTATCACGCTTACATCCCTGTAAACTCCGTTTATCTCGCTACTGAGCGGGCCGTGATTCTGACCATGAGAGAATGAAGACTGCGTCTGAAACTTTCTTTGATATCAGGGATGAGTTCTGAGAATAGAAGGGCGGTAGGAGAAATCTACATGCATACATGGGTTTTGGTGTTCCAAAGCTAGCGCTAGTGGTATACTAGACCCCCGACCTACATGCATCTCCATTCTCTATTTTCAACTTCTGTACAAAACTTGAGATCCCCCAAGGAATCTATCTGAGATTTCCACTCAAGGCCGACTTTCAAACAGGCTCAAGGCCCTAGAGATGCCCACGGGATATATTTGATACAGATTCTTTGGCCGTCTGAGGTTACTATGGTTAGTATGTGATAATCTATCTCCTGGTAGGTCACACGAACAGGCTTTGTGGACTTGGATACAGTCTTCGCGACGTGCATACAGTATCTCTTACCCTGGTTTTTATTTCTTGTGATGTAAATGACAACTCTTTTGGTGCGAGCCAATCGTAGGAGATCTGAGACAAAAGATAGAGTGCTTGATAACCAAAGAAAGACAATCTACCGGGTGTGAGCAATTTTTGGCCTTAAAGCAAGGAAAAGTAATCTACTACCTATTCAGATGCCTTGGGCGTCTCAAGGCTGTACTCCCTACTGGGGTGAAACAAGCACTCCCCTACAACGCGGGGATATCTCAAGATATTTGTTTTTCCTCATACGTGGACCACAACATTCTGAGAGCATTAACCACACTGTTGATTTCGCTGGGGTGGGGATTAGATATATCATTTAAAATCTGACATGGGCACTGTTTAAAAGCAATATCCATCTCCTTCGCAGTATCAGGCTACCCATTTATACTGCCGTCTGTTATCAAACAAAAGACAAGTGGTTGTCTTGGCTTTCCACCTAGGTCTATCGGCATGTATTTATAATGACAAACTTAGGGCACACAGCAATTAATTGTGCCAGAGCTAGAGGGCTGGAGCTGGTATCGAGTGATGGTATATGACCCATCTCTGGACAGGGGGTGGTACATCGACTCTTAGGCAACTCCATAAATCGCGCCAACATCAACCACCAATAACGGACTGAAGATTATACACGCATATTATTAACCGCGGGAGTACATATGTGTGGCGTTGGTCTGATTTACTCTGCCCTTAGTAAAACTGCCAAGTCTCGATTTCAAGCCCTTAAATCTGCCGCGAGTGTCATTCCTACGGCCTTTGCCGCGGGTTAGGCCTGGTTAGATATCTGTACGCCAGAAACTCAGCCGCACGATGTACCCTCGGTCAGAGTTGGGATAATTGCTATAAAATAACTTTTTAAGTATGACGTTTCAACCAACATCGGTTGAAATTAAGATATTCTTCATACGGCACAATAGGCAGTTCAAGCTCTCCCAGCAGGAAAAAAAAGTATTGATCTGTAGGTACAAGCAAAATTGCACCTTAGCCCGTGGTGCAAATCGAACTTCTCCCCGCCAACCGACCCGCATTTTACCACCTCATAAAAGAAAGTCATTGGTAGGCTCCACTGCGTTCCACTCTCCGCTTTTGCTAACGGCGACTTGGTTGGCTCTCCAACAAACTACCTATTACTCTGACATTATTATTATTACCATCGCTATTTTCAGCTAGTTCCTTGCATTATCTCAGCCGGCCAGCCTTATTCATTTCTTCACTTAGAATCCCAGAATATCCACTCATGTAGATCTTACGATCGAGGCTTGATTGCGCCAAGTAGCCTTTAACTGGGTCATCACGAGGGATCACTCGTTCGGAGTTCAAGCTGATAACTAACCCAATCAGGAATTTTGTAGTCCAGACTCTAGAATGGATACAGAACCGGTAAAGCGTCGGTGGTAGAGTACGCCCCCTTGTGTCGATCAGCAGTGGTTCGTTGATTATCATTGCTCGCTGGCTCTGCAGATGTCTCGCCTACCAAACCAAACTTTACTCTAGATACTAACGAGTACATATGTAGTTATGTGCCTTGCCTACTTTGCTCACGTAGACTTATGGCATTTTTTGGGATGAATCCGTCCCTGGCTCCATCTGGGTAACTACTCTAGAGTAGAACGTCGCGTGCTACTTCGGGACCACACAGGAACTCTACCGCTTGAACTCTTCATCCACGCCCAGCTCTCACTGGTTCGCCATCGTCACAAGATCAAGCAATAAAGTGCAGATGCGGGCTTTACTCAGCTTACCTACGAGTCTGGAGTATTGTACGTGGACCCGTACTTAAGTAGAGTAGCTCTGGATAAAGAGCCAGATGGTCCGATCACCGGCCAGTAGAGGAATCGGAGCAGCGACAAAAAGCGCATTCAAAAATTTAATCCTGCCCGGACCTGTTGAGTTGGCGAATTAAGAATCGTCATTTATCCCTTTCGCGTCGGCGGGAGTCGACATGTCAGTTTTTTTTTGTCATCCTTGTGGGGTAGTGTGCTTGGCCATGTCTCACCAGTCAGGGCGTTTTTGTTTTTTCTCCTGCACAGTACTTTAAAGCAACTCAGTTAGGGTTACCCGGAAGGAACATCTTCCCCTCACCACAACTTCCATGCATCACATCAGGGTTCAAGTCGGTGAGCGGCGTAGAATATTGCTCTTGAAGCTAGTTCAGGTGCTAGATGTTGCCCCTCTTCCCTACTAGGAAGTAGGATGACACCAAATACCTAGGAGGAAGGAAACAAAAGGAGATGGGGAATGAGAATAGGGATAGTTGCCCTTTGCCAGTGGAGTGGAAGAACACAGATCCGAATTACATTTGAAGGGTTCAAAACCGCCACGGAGTCCGTTGTCGCGGCGGCGCTGCCCCCTATCGACCGAACCGGCGGCTTTCGAATCAAAACCTCGGTAACGGTTATCCTTGATTTTCCGTAGATCTCGTTCGCGTTTGCCCCAGGAAGGAGATCCAATCGGAGGGACGAAGATTCTCCTTTCTTGCAAAGTCTGATTCGCACGTGATGTCTCTGGTTTTGTAATTTTTGAAGCTCTTGGCAGGGTCCTCTGAGCAGGGGCCTTAGCTGGGCAGGGTTCTTGCCTAGCAACAGCTATTCTACAGAAACGGTGGGGTTAGACCTTCCCCCTGGCCGTGCAGTGCATAGCATATTGAACATCAAGCATTAAACGTTCGACCGGTGTGAAAATTTTTCAAGAATGCCCAATCATGAAATTTTTTCACCTGCAGCTTTCAAAAGCTTTGGTGATCGTGGGGTAATGCAATTAATGAAAGGACCGACGGGAGTTTGAAAGCTGTTGACTTTATAATTTAGGCAGCTTGGTTATCAAACTTTCCATTGGCGGTTTATCGCCGGTCTTTTTTGTTTGGATTCAATATATATTCTTTCTCTTGAAGGCATTGTACATGATGACACGCAGGACAAAAAGACCCTTTTCCGTGTTTCTGTGACAACCATAGGGAGTCTGAATCTAACTGCCGGATAGATGCACTGGGAAGTACTGGCTAGCACTACACTTGAGTACTGGCTCACCTAGCTAGGTACCGCCTTGTTACAGAAGATCTAGCTTCAGAAATTAAACTCTTGGTCACAACCGTGCGAAACATCTTTGTATACCAGTAATCCCAGAACGCTGGGTCCGGGTAGCCCGCCGAGAGAGAAAAAAGAGTGGTTGGCATATGTGGGCGCCTGCAAATGTCCACGAGGGTATTAGTACTCAAGAGTACCTGCTCTACGTTCGGTCCCCAACAATTATCCGTCTCAATTCGATTGCTAACCGTCTGTGCCTTGTCATCAGAGAATTCTTCCTGCCAACCAATGAGTGGGTCTGTTCGAAAGAATACATTGCCATTTCCGGGGAAGGCGAAGAGGGGGGGGTCTCTCGTGACATCGTGAAATTTGCAACCTACCGGAAAATGTTGGTGTTTGACTCTTATAGAATCTAGTTCTACGACCAGATTTGAAAGCCAAAAAAAATCAAGGCACGCAATGGATGACAGTATATAAAGCTGAGAAAACAACGTCACGAGGCTGTAGACGGTAGTAACTGCTTCATTAGAAAGGTCCGAGTGAGGACGTACAGGGCGGGCCGACCCGAGTGATTGGACCCAGATCGATATAATCCAGAGTCGTGTCTCTCGTCGACCTTTTGTCATCTTCATTCCAGAACAAACTCTAGGATTTGGGATAATAAAAATAAATAATTAATAGACAATATTGTAAATACGGGGATATATCACGTGGTTCAGGGATTGAGCTGTCTAGCATACATGTAGCTGCTAACTAGGGTTCAATTGTTGTTGCGCTCGAGCTTTTGAGTACGGAAAAGTCCCGAATGGGCTGGGCGCGTGAATGCACTTGCCCCCGTGACAGTAGATTTTTACTACTCTCGAGTGGATGAGGCTCATTGAATTGATGGGGAGTGCCAACATGTTATGTATATTCCATTGCACATAATAGTGATATTCTGCCTGCACACACTGAATTCAGCCGCATGTGGAGGAGGCTAATAAGACGCAGGGTGGGAGAGAGAAAAAAAAAATACCACAACCGTGCTGGGAAAGTTATGTAGGCATGTACTGTCTGGGTTCATAAGGTCATGCCTGCCTCCCCCGCATTTCATTTTCTTAGTCTAGCCTTAGTCGCCTTCCACCACCACACCACCCACCACCTTGTCACACTTCCCTTGCTCCTCCCGGCTGCCATTTGGTACATAAGTGTCTCTTCGCCCCCTCCCCTCCCCCCATCATTCATCGTGGACGGTTAAACTTTTTTTTGCTACCTTGCTACCTTGCTTGAACACTCATCACAACACGTCTCATTGCAACATTTATCGCTGGAATTTTAGTGTAAGAGTGAAATATATAGATGGACATTATGTCGAACATCCAGGCCCTCGGTGCAGGCTCTACAACATCCTTCCGTGAGCTTCTCCGGAAATTCAGACAAGAGCAGAAAGGCGGCTCTTTCATTGCTTGGAGCTGGTTTAATAGTAAGTAACAAAAAAAGACAAATTAAAGGGAAAGGGAGGGGGGAAAAAAAAGAAAAAAAAGACAAATGCTAACTGGGAAAAAAAAAGATTCTACAGAGGACCTCCCCTCCACATGCACAGCAAACTGGTGGGAAAGTACCACCGATCTCCAAAGTGAAAAAGCCGCCCAGCCCACAACCGCAACCGCTTGGGAATGTGGAGAAGCGGAATGTGACACCTGCAGCACCGATGAAGACGACGATGCAGCCTCCACACACTCCCATTGGCTCGGTTGCTACGACGGCCAAGAAGTCCAAGACAACGCCTCATTCAGCTCCGCATCACACGACGAGGGATATGAGTACTCAGATGACGATTCGGACGCGGTCTCAGTCTCCTCCGCATCATCGACCTATTCTGATGACTATGACGAACTCGATTTCGGATGGGAGAAGAAGCAGGAACGAAAGGAGGAGGAGTACCTGCCTGCGCTCGGCTGGTGGAAAGTTTACCGTTCGGGTTGGTGGGAGAACTCAGAGGGTGCGGTGCTTTCATTTGAGGAGGATTACGTTGGGTATCGGTTTTCAGCGCTGCTGCCGATCATTTCAGAGGAGCGGGAGGAGAGCTCCTGGCCCTGAGTGAACTGCAATAAGGAAGAAAATTTGACCGAAAAAGAAATTCGAAAAAAAATATTTTTTTTATTTTTTTTACCGACAGACTGCAAAGATCGATTTCATGGGATGGGCTGCCCATCAACCCGAAACTGATAAAAAAATTCACGGACCGCAGGAACATCCCACCACACACCACTGAACAAACCCGTCGCCACTGAACCACCGCCCCTGGTTCCTGGCTAATTTCCGAATGGGTAAAACGGCTGTGGCCACCTCGCCCCGATCAATGGTGAGGGAGGGCAGAAAATAAGAGAAAGGGCGAGGGTTACCTGCGCGCAGCCGGCTATTTAGGCGCCCCGCCGGCGTAAAGTTCAGTCCCTGCGTGTGCGACCCGGACGGAAAGGTCCTACGAAAACAAGGTACCGAAAACCGAGGGCCTGGAAAGCTTTACATACGGTAGTAACGATGGAGACTCCGAATGCGAGCATGTTGGCTGCATGTATGGGAAGTTGAGAGAGACGGATGTAGAGTGATGGCAGAGATTCAGCGTTCGTGCTGATATGGGCCTTTTCTTTCTTTTTATTTTTCTTGTTTCTTCATTTCCGAGCAATTGTAACTGAACTTGACTCACCTTGTTTCTCCTCTGCTGAGATTCTTTTCTGTCTTTGTTTCTTCTCTCAATGTTTGTACTCAATTAGTTAGTTAGCTTACCAGAGCCGAAACATCTTCGCTCCTCCTTTGTAATCAATAATGGTCTTGCAAAACCTGCTTCCAGAAGAACTCAATCAACCTGATTCTGATTAGATTGACACCTACCGTCCGCCCGTCTGTACGCGTCACATCTACTTTATTCCTAGCCCATTGCATTCCATTCCCACATCGCAACACCGGCCCGGCCGGATTATCTCCTCGCCCTACCTCCCTCCCCCTTCCCCTGCGTCTTTCCATGTCGTTTCATGGACGGTGATCCTTGTGGTTGCTGCTATAATCCCTGTAAACACTCTGGACTTGGCCTTGAATGTGTCCTGCTCTACGGGGGTCTGGGGGGGCCTGGATGGGTAGATAGAGTGGGTACATATCTAGATAGGGCTTTGACACCGCGCATGTGGCAGTGATCAAGGCCAAGGTGGTAAACAAATTTTCTTTTGTTTTTTTCCCACATTTTTTTCTTTTTGGCGCAGTGCATGGTGGGGGATGCGATGGGGGTGGGACGGCGCGGACGGACGACGTCGGCGAGGCTTGTTACAGATCTCTCTAGACCACATGGACGGGTGGATGGGTGGATGGGTGGACATTGGGTGGTGGGAAGAAAAGGAATGTTTAGAGTATCGTACCTACATACATAGAACATAGATCCCGCGGAAGCAAGTTGAGTTGTTTCATGATCTCATGTATCCGACCCGAGGGCACGGAAGCGGAGATGTCGTGAGCCGTTTTATTTTAGCGTGAAGAGGGAGGCAGTGGGGGGCGGAGGTAGGAAGGCGGTGTGTTTATAAGCACAGCTCAGGATGCGTGTTTGGCATGCACATGCTATTGCTGTATATGTACTCTAGGTGCTTGCATGGAAAGCTAGAGGGCGGATGTTGCTAAGGATGGCTGGAGAATGTTCGGATCCGTGCTTAGTTAGTGGGAGAAGAGGGAGGAAGGATGGAAGGGTCGAAGGCGAGGGAAGATGAGGTTCAATTATATATAATTAGTAGTAGATTAAGATTGTAAATGGGATAGTCCGCGCGTATAGAGTGGTTATAATTATTAATTACTTGTGTAATAATTGAATATGGTTAGTAAGATTAAATCATGAATTCGCACTCGATAGCGTTGCGCACTGACGTCTGATTGATTGGTTGATTGATTGATTGATATTTCCGTTAACACTGACGTCGTCCGATAAGATAATAATAGTGACAAAACATCGGCTTTCGCCATAAGTCCTCCTACCCATCGATTATTCTACCTGTAGTAGTAATCAAATCGATGCTTAATAATATATAAGAGATATCCAGGTAGCACCTACCTTCCCTACTCTAAACTGATCTTATACACTAACCCTCTTCCTTTTACGAGCAGTATTGTTACAATAATCCATCCCGTCGATAAACACGCACCCTTCTCTATCAAGGGATATCAACAATTTTGCTGCTGCATAGTGTTTGTACTTCATCGCTATATCTAGCAGCGTGTTCCCCTCTCTATCCTGCATTTCTAGATCAACACCCTCTGCCAGTATCATTATTAGATCCAACGGTATCATTAACAATACGTCTTCCGGGTTTACCATCTTTAGTAAATCGGCCAGTGGCGTTAGGCCGTCAACATCCCAGATATTAGTATCTGCACCACTGTTAATGAGTAGAGTGATCATGTCTAGCCTCAACTCCTTAACTGCGAGGTGAAGTGCTGTTACCCCCCAGATGTCCTGGGCGTTGACGTCGACACCAAGGGTGATGAAGATTTCTAATCGTTTTATGTCAAGTACACGGACGGCGAGATGTATGTATGTTTGATTTTTGTATCGTGACCTAAAGTGGGGATTGGCGAGAGCAAAGTGCAGAAGTGGTGTAGTGAAGTAACTAAAGAGGAATGCTATATCTATAAACGTATACCCTCTGGGAGTTGTACCACTTGGGTCTGCACCTCGGTCAAGAAGAAGTTGGATTAGTGATCCAGGTTTTCCAAAGGACACAGCTTGGTGCAAAACAGTCACTCCTTCTTGGTTAAACTCATTGATATCAGCGCCGTTATCCAGAACAACCCGGATGCAGTCTTCGTTTCCAAACTCCACCGCTATATTGAGTAGATTGCACCCGCCATACTTGCTGATAAAGTCGATATCCATTCCTTCCAACAACCGCTGAAGTAGCAGCTCTTCCCTGTCTGATTGGAAAACCTCAAAGTTGACTATGTTATCAAAAACGGTGTTTCCATCATTGTCCCTAATTCTAACATCTGCGCCGCAGTCCAGCAGTGCCCACGCAATTCGAGTCGTATCTCGTGGCCACTGAACCAGTAGACAATGAAGTGGTGTTTTCCCCGTCGAATCCATTACATCAACCGCCGCTCCTCTTGATAGCAACAAATCAACCATCTCTTTATAACCGACTATTACAGCATCGTGCAGAGCCGTGCACCCAAGGATATCCGCATCATTAATCTTCAAACCTTGCTCCAGGAACCGGGTAGCCATCTCCACATCTTGGAAAAGCACCGCCATATGCAGAGCCGTCTGTGATAAGCTGCTTCGATAATCTAGTTTCAACCGTCTAAGGATCATCATCGATATGGGGTCACAATCCCCATGCGTAAACTCCCTCATCTCAATCGGAGTCCATCCCCTCGAATCTGCAACATTGCAATCCGCCCCCGCGTCAAGCAGGACCCTAACGATATTCGGGTCCTTCTGTATTGCCGCTAGATGAAGCACCCCCAGTCCAGCATTATCTTGAGTATCAATCTTGCAACCTTGCTCGATCAAGCGCGTCATGACATCTACATGGCCCTCCCAGATGGCATGAAAGAGCGCCGTCCACCCACGGATATCCTTAACATCCAACTCCGTGCTCGACTCCAGCATCATCTCCAAATGCCTATGATGCCCCTGCCGCGCCGCCTCATGGAGCGGCGTGCACAGGTCGAATGCGTCCTGGACAATGAGCTTCCGGGCATCCAGCTCCAGCAGGGTTTCGATAGTACTATCTATGAAAATAGGGTGTACCGGTGGTCTGAACATTACAGGGCCTGAGCTGCTCCCCCGCACGGCAAAGTTTTTGCTATTCTCCATGATCATGGCCATGAGCTCGCGGTTTCGGGTCAGGGTTGCCCAGTAGAAGGCGAGCTTTCTATAGCGCGGCAAGAGGGCGTTACGGTAGAACATTCCGACTAGAAGCTCACAGAAGGAGCGGCTGACAGATAGGAGTGTTTTGAGATCTGAAAAGCAAAGGTTCTCGGCGATGATGATAATTAGTTCGTAGGGAAGAGGCGTACGTGATCTAGAAGGACTTATATTAGGCATTCGGGGTGCAATGCACTTCCGTGGTTACAAGGGTTTAGGAGGTGTAGATATATCGAACAAGACGATGATAAATCTAGTTCAGTGAACATGCAGTAAAAACATCGGGTCTTGAACTGTTGGAGAGTGATAGGTGATAGAGGTTGTGATGTCGTGTCCGATTAACAGCGGGTCAGGGTAATCCATAAAACCTGGCCTTTCTGCTAGCTACGTGAGAATTACATGAAACGTAAAGTAGAAGTACATACCTACTACATGTAAGCACACAGTATAACTTACGGTGATTGGAGTCTGTATGTTCTTAGGCGCTAATATAAGAGCACTCCGTGACTTATGTGGCGAAAATGATATAAATATGTATATGGGACTCCCCATTTAGATCCAACTCTCCCTAGACCCTGTATATGTCGCCTCTGGTTTAAGATTGAAACATATATGGGATTTTTCCCTCATATAACTTGTTTTTACTTGTGAATATGGTCCCTGAAGGCAATGAATCACTTATTGAAAACATTCGTCAACTTACTCACGATCCATCACTCGATTGTGTCATCAACCACATTTCGTCATTTACTATATCTATATACGCCCCCGCAACCATATCAAATATTTACACAACCCAATCTAAATAAAATTCCTTCTATAAACATGGAGAACCAAGGAGATCTTTAAACTACACTAACACTCACGGCGCTTTAGGTCTGATGATCGTACCCAGCAGAAACACAAAACTTTTGAAGAGGTTCGAATTGATACAAGTCACATGCACAGTGCTTCATCTTCACGGCTATATCTAAAAAGATCATAGTGATACCCAGCTAATATATAATAGTGTTAGCAATAAACCGAATCTTGATGTAGTAACAACGCTGCCCACCATTACATGGCTAAACACTGGTATCTTGAAAACAGATATAGAGGGAGGGATACTCCACCAAGTATGAAGACAAATATATATAAAATTGAAGGACAATAAAGTGCCACTCATTTGCGCTTTAATAGTTTTACCAGTCGCCTCGTCCGTACCTGATCGACGTGGGAAGGCTCTCCGGCTTTGGGTTTCCGGGATAATGCAATATCATACGCTGTGCGCCCAGTTGAAGGGATCACCATAGTCCTATCTGCCTTAAACCCGACAAGAATCCGGCAAGCGCTCAGTGCTTTCTTAATATCTTTTAGCCTTGCCGCGATATGCAGCGCCGTGACCCCCGCGTGGTTCTTTGCATTCACGTTCGCGCCAGACCACAGCAACAGGCGTGTTATAAAGTCCCAGCCGCTCTGCACCGCATAATGCAAGGGCGTGCACCCATCGAGATCTTTCGAATTGACATTGTCCCTGCACTCTCGGACAAGGGTCATTGCTCTCGTTCGCCCCTCAAAGTCATCGGTCATCTTGAAGTGCTCCCTATTAATGCACGCAAGATGCAGCAGATTCCGGCAGCACTGGTCAGTACCCGGAAGACCCATCTCGTTACTCGGGAGTGCTACCTTGTAGACAATTTCTGGGGGCCTTCCGTGCGTGTCCTGCAGCTGCACTAGAGGTGCTGCGGTCGCTATCATGTTTACGATTTTGCTGTTGCCTTCGAGAGCCGCGGAAAGAAGAATTGTGGGCTTGCGGTCGGAGCCAATGGGTACGAAAAGCTCGACCTGGCCTGCGCTGGGGAGGTTATCCACAGTATGGCTTTTCATGTAGAGAGAGGCTCCTGCGCGATTGTTCTTGGTGCCTGTGAGAAGGTGGAGGGGCGCACCCACATTGATGAGATTTCTGAGTGTGCCAGGATTCAGGGTGAGAGAAGCGCATGCGAGAGTGTCGACGACATTTAGATAGGGATTGTTGTCTAGGAATCTCTTGTAGAGGGGCACGATGAAAAGATGGTAGAATCGGCGGTTTGTCCGGATTAGATTGTAAAGGGCATCGTAGGAAAGGAATGGAGCAAGACAAACGAGGATGTCGTTTGGTAGCTGATCGACAAGAGGGAAGAAATCAACGGGATCTTCAATCGGTTTGCGCTGGCCTGTGAAGACCTTCCGAATTCTCTCCTTGAGTTGCATCTTCTTTCGACAGGTGGTTAGTCGGGGTGAGTACTTTCATTTTGAATTGCAGCACTTAAGTACTTTGAATCACCAAGGGCTAGATCTGACCTAGGGTACGTATACCCTCTGAAAGATGCGAGGTGTCCTATATATGGATCCTAAAATAGCAGTCATTACATGTGAGGTACGCTATATTTTATCCTGCTTGTTGCTATTATGACCGAAACGCGGCTTCATACGGTACACTACTGCCATCGATATCTACATATAGTACAGCCGTACGTATGTAGCCCGGAAGATCCACATGAGATCATCGAGCATCACTCGTTTATTCTGAGCGGAAATACGTACAAGTAACGTGCGTAGCAGCTAGTAGACTAACCCGTTTAAATAGAGGGTCCTGGGTCGATTACATGATGTGCTCTATACAAAGAAGATGAGTAACAATCAAATCGGGGGGAGTACTGATTGACAAAGTGCTTGTTGCGGGTAGATACGGGATGGGCAGAACCCGCCAGGTGGTAAAGTTTCTTGCTTTAAAACTTTCAGAAAGATAAAGAAGAAGGGAAGTGGGGCGGTGGGGGGGGGGGGGGGGGGGGGTTCGCAGCTCCTCTGAAGTTCGTACGTACATCACACTACTGCCTACAGGTTACAGGCTGTCCTTATATTATACTTCCAGGTGGTGTTTAGGGGCGTTCTTTAGGGCGGATGGAGTAATGATAAATTGTTCGAGAAGCGAGCGGAGCTGCTTCGATATCGACTATCGGCACGCGGTGGCGGTAGTCTTTCTAGTTCAAATATTAGGTGAGGGGCTCGTTTTCTAGCTTAAGGCGTTGTACTAGTAGGAACGGAATTATCCAAAGGGTCACTTATGTGCACGTGGAGAGGACAAGTTGCGGTCTAAAAAAATGGGTTACCTGTCGTTGGGTAAGTTACATGTCAGTTAACCAAATGTGGTTGGGTTGAAGTGATGTTGCAGCAACGGGAAACAAAAAGTAGGGTCGACCCGTTGTCAAACGCCCCCCCTCCCAAAAAAAACAACAATGCGCAGCCGAGTGATATCTCATGCGAAAAGCCGAGTGATCTCCCGTGTTCAGTCATAGAACGATGAAAATTGGGCATCCCGTCCGCTCTGCCATACACAAACCTCGTATCGCCCAGTCAGTACTGCAGTGGGTGACCATGCGGGAATCCTGGGTACTGAACTCTTTTGTGTTTTTTGGTGGTTGGTGGTTGGGGTGGGAGGTAAACGAAAAGTTGTAGCAGTGGTGGGGTTGTGGTTGGGAGTGTGGTGGTAACCGAGCTAGGCGTCTTAATGCTGATAGATCATAGAGCTCGAGCGACTCTGCATAGAGCAACCATGAGACGAATATCTTCTTAAAGGTGAAAGCTATTGATTGGCCTCTTGTAGATACTAGAGAAATTGTTGTGCACTATTTCCAAGTTGTTCTGGCGGGCTGTAGACTATCCCATCAACCGTAGCAACCGAGTTAAGGACCCGATTGGGTCCCACTTGAAATAAAGTGACCTTTCTTAAATTCACAGCAACACCAGCTTCGTGAGTACTATATTAGGAGCTCTTATTGGGATCGGTTGATAAACTTTCCCGCTTCTTTGTTATTAGTGAACAGGGCTGGATTATATCGTTTTTGTGTTTTTATCGAGGTTAGAGTTGCAAAGTACCCAATTGGAACCCCAGGCTTCTACGGTTCATGGGATAAAGATTTTACACTGAACCGTAATTTGCACGCGGGTATGACTGTGGATGGTGGTAATATAATGCGCATGCCTTATAGCTCATAGGCCGTGGATTACTAGATATTATAGTGAGTGCTAGACAGTTTATGCCAGCTGTTTTTGTATAAAATGCTAGGAATGTGGATTGAATTTCTCGTCCAGTAAACATCTCGGGTCAATGATCACAGCCGCAGAAAACGGTCAATTCAAAGCCAATGATATTTACCCATCCCCGCCCTACCCCACTACACCCCCTTCTTCCCCTCCGTCGGCCCCGCCACCGCCACATCCGCATAAACATCAAACCTCCTCTGCCTCGTCACGGGAATGCCCCTACGCACCTCCACCACCCTCTCCGGCGCCAGCTCCCACTCCACATACCCCTCACCCTCCTCCATCCCCGCCACCACCTCTCCATTCGGATCAACAACCATGCTGTGCCCCCACGCCGTGTACCCCGCCTCCTCGCTGCGCGCAGGACTGCACATCCCCACCCACACCTGGTTATCCACGGCCCTGGCCCTTGCCAGCAGCTCCCAGTGCAGCGGCCCCGTCGTCATGTTGAACGCCCCCGGGTACAGCATCGCGAACGCGCCCTGGCGCGCCGCCATCATCGCCAGCTCGGGGAAACGCACATCGTAGCAGATGCCGACGCCGATGCGCCCGTACGGCGTGTCGATGAGGGTTGGCGTGGCGCCGGCGGAGAGAACCTCGCTCTCAATGAACCGGATCTTGCCGGGGATGTCGATGTCGAAGAGGTGGATCTTGCGGTGGGCGGCGAGCAGTGCGCCGGTGGGGGAGAAGGTGAGGGAGGTGTTGTAGAGGGCGTCGGTGGCCGGTTCGTGCTCGGGGATGGACCCGCCGATGAGGTAGATGTTGTTTTCGCGCGCGGCGGTGGAGAGGGCGGTGTAGGAGGGGGTGAGGGAGTCCGGGTAGGTGGTGTCGCCGTGGGGGATGGGCTCGGCGTAGCTACGGAAGTAGGAGGTGCCGTAGGGGGAGTTGAAGCATTCGGGGAGGACGACGATGTTGGCGCCGCGGGCGGCGGCGGCGGCGACCTGCTTGCGTGCGTTGGCGAGGTTGGCGGCTTTGTCGTTGCCTGTGGGTGTGGGTGTGGGGGGTTAGTCTTGTCTTGTGCCTGACTGGTAGTGAGTGGGATTGCTGCTACGGATTACTGCTACTGACCGCTTGCGAGCTGGAGCAGGGCCAGTTTGCAGGGCTTCTTGAGCGGCGATGGGGGCGGTGCGGTGGACATTGTTCTTGTGGCGGCGATGGGACTGGTGATTGTAGATTTTACGGCGGAGAAGAGCTGCCGCAACATTCGTATATATTATATGTGCGAGATTGCGGGCAATTGGCGTCGAGTATGACCGGAGTTGCAAAGTGTCGATCGTCGGGTTTGAGGGTGAGGTTGATTGATAGCCGGGGTTAGGGTTTCGTTAACCGCAACCCCACCTACCCGTTCTGTGCTAAGCGTGCGGGTGCTAATGGTGCAGTACTAATGGGGCGTGCTGCTAGGCTCTAGCCCAGTACGGCGTCAATCAATACTGCAGCCCTTATCGCCGGCCGAAGGTCAGAGTGTTGGGTACAGTAATAATCTGTGTACTAGGAGAGCGCAAATATTGGCTAAGCTATATATGTCCTTCGTGTGCAGCAAGGGGTGGATGATTATCGCCTAGTTGAGCACACGCAGTCGAAATGTCCGATTTTCTGATAGACTACCCAGCAACAGTTTCTTCAGGTGTAGTGTACTGGCTTTTGGGCGGATTTTGAATATAGTTGTAATTAACGGTACTAGAATCGAATAGCAGCATGCAGTCGATACTGACCGTAATATGTGCAGAAATACCTGCTATGCTAATAAAGCATCAGTTTATTTCTCAAGGACACCTTTCTCTACCCAGGAACTGAACGTAACCAGCTAGCTGTTTAGACACGAATCTCTGGCCAGCTGGACTATGGGTTGAGTGATAACGTATACTGGAATATCGAATCTCTGGAGCCTAGGAAATTAAGCCCTACCAGAGCTCAGTCTTTGCGGACGCGAGTGAGAAGTCGTGAGACAGCACTCTGATTGTCAGCTCTTACTCGCCAAATTTTATATGTAGCGGTGGCGAGATTCCAGAAAGTGTGGGGAAGAGAACAGACACTAGATGAGGGCGTATGAGAGCTTGATGGGTGGATAGAGCTGGAGATCGTGGGGTGTAGTAAATTAACCACCTAGCCGGTAAAGTCTAGCTACCACATCACCTAGTTTCTAACGTGCCCGGGTCCCAGATGGTGTAGCTACATGTACGTACATATGTACTCTACGTAGAGTATCTCTTGAGATTTTCATAGCTGGCTCTTTCAATGCTTGCTGAGGCGACGTCGTCCTAGCCTAACCGGCACAATCTGGCGTAGTGGATCCGGACGGCTTTCTTTCTTTCTTTCTTTCTTTCTTTCTTTCCCTCTTTCTTTCCCTCTTTCTTTTCTTCTTTCCTTCCTACATGTATTTACTTGACTCTACAACACTACATAGTATAGCAGTTGGATGGAGATGAGATACTTCTGGCCATGAGCCTCACTCTTATAGTACCTGCCAATGCCAACCTCTATGCCTGAGTTCTATCCAACTAGCTGCATGCATATGCGCATGTAGTACTGGCAATGAAGTCGTCGAGGGCATATCTTATTTGGTACCAGCTAATCGAGTAAGTACCCTCGTTCTCGCAAAAAACCACTTAAATACTAACTACCAGGCATATGATAGGAACGCGATGATTTGGGCTTGATGGTACTGGTTAAAACAGAGAGTTTATTTGTCTCATTATACCTTTAACTATACGAATTAAGCACAGACCAAGAGACAGAATCTCACGGTTAGTGGGTCCCTTTTGATTTTGTCACTTGCCCGAATCGTTGTGGTGATATGTGGTATGGACACTGCAGATTGGTCTCTGGATATTCGATAGCGCTGGTTACGTTCGCAGTGGATCGAGCTAGACTTTTTGGTGAACTGGCCACTAGGTGAGTTGGGGTCGCCGAAGAAACCGACCCTTGTCCACGATAGCGGGTCCCCGCTGTATTACAGTTAATTACACCTCGCTATGGCGGAACTCGGTGTGCCGGATCCCTTGCTATCCCGTATGAATTCCCCGAGAAAGTTTTCTACTACAAAATCAATTTGCTATCCCGGATTTCTTGGGAATATTGCTATCTCGTACAAGATTTGGTGAATCTTGGCCATCCGGTATAGCGAGGTGCGACTGTATTGTCACCGCCAAGATATAAAGTGACAAGTCAACCGTGCACAGAGACATGCGTTTTGGGGAGCTGCGAAAGTTCGTTGGCGCAGGGGTATTCTCTACCAAAACTTGCATATTGACTGTCTCTGGTTGGCCCTCAAATACTGAGGTAGGCTGTTCTTGTGGCTTTTTAAACATCGGCCTATTTACTCTGATTGGGTATCTTGGTTTCGACTGTGTGCCAACGAGCACAAAATACGCGCAGCAGATACCGTCCTATGTGGACGTATGGGAAATAGGCTCGAGCCCGGACTCTCTCTTAAAGGACTTTCATCCACACCACAGCTGAGTACCCCGCAACACCTATCTTTCAATTACTTTTAAGCAGGCGAGTCTGTTCTGTCACCGGGAGATAGCTTTGTCAAAGAATCCACCGAGGTAAGATCATATATTTATAGTCAAATAAATAATTAATCTATTTCTAACGCCTTATTTCGACATCTCCAGATAGACGTAGCGCCCAGATCAGAACCCTTCCTTCCCAACCACGGAAACCTGCGTCTGTTGAGGTTGAGTTACAACTGAGGCACATCGCGAGATCGGACTTTCGTAAGTGGAGATGTATTGGTTCGAATCTGCAAGTTCATTCCGTAACATTTTTTCTGCCAGATTCAGGGCATGATAATTTAAGCCCGATTGAATATTTCAGCTCCACCCCCGGAACAAAATTCAATCGAAACTACCACACATAAAGCCACATCCGCGAAATGGGAAACTATCGATGCTATGTTTTCCTTGCTTTCGTCTTCCTGTGGGATCTCTGCTCGGCCATTTCTAATAGCACTCAATTCGAACCAATATTCGTTCCGGAACCTAGAGGCCGAGGAACGATGGGTATTTTCTGGAGTTGTGTAATCACTCTTTGTCTTTGTGTGTGGACCTCAGTTCATCCCGACGTTATCCCGAATCCAACAACATGGAGAGTCACAATTAATAAGATTATATGGATGTTTATCGCACTCCTTGCTCCCGAGTTGATTGTTGGGCAGGCCTACGAACAGAAGAAACAGGCTAAACTTGTCCACAACACTTGGTGCGCACACTTTAACATCAAACCAGGAAGCCCCGAGGATAAGATGGGAATTGAGGGGGCTTTTTTCGTCGTGATGGGGGGTTTTGTGGTTAATGAAGATCCAGAAGCGGGGGAGGATAGCGAGAAAGATAATTTCACATGGCACCGCAGTCTTACCTCTAAGGGCTTCCTAAATTACTTGTCGAAGAATCAAATCCCATTGGATGCTATCAACAAGAGGGTGATTGTGGATAAAGGTAAAGCCGATATCGTTGCAAAGTTCCTTGTTTGTCTTCAAGCACTTTGGATGGTCATACAGGCCTCTGCGCGTAAAGCCAGCGGCTTGCCGATTACAGTGCTCGAACTGCATGTAGTCATACAAGTGATGTTTGTGTTGATAACCTATACTCAATGGGGCTACAAACCCTTAAATGCTAATGAACCCATAATACTAAGTATAGAAGGCGAAATTGGGGTAACTTCGGCGCGTACTTTCCGAAAAGTTGGAAAAAATGAAAATTCGTTTTTGGAAATTTTGGACTCTATCGAGGCCAACTGGGAGCGTTCTCCCAGTAACGGCTGGGTGGTGATAGGCGCAGCTGTCATCACAGGCGTTGCTCATGCGAGTGCTTGGAACTATCCGTTCCCTACACATATCGAGAAAGTAATGTGGAGGGTATCATCCATCGCTCTCGCTGCACCGTCCATGTATTTTTCCGTGAGCGTTGTTTCGGAAACGGTGCGCAAAGTCACTAGAAAGTACTCTCGGGTGGACGAATTAGACACCGGAAAGGGCTCTTGGGAGGACAGTACCCTCTATTCAATCCTTACAGTAGCCTTCTTCCTCACCTCTGTACCCCTTTACATCTTGAGTATCATCTTTATAACGGTGGAGGCGTTTATAAGCCTGCGGAAGGTTCCTTTGAGGACCTACGATTCTGTTCAGTGGATGGATTATTGGCCTCATGTTTAGCATTTTATGTTGTGTATCATGTTTTGGTTTGCGTTTATTCCCCTTACTTGTTTCGCTCCATCTACATAGCTGGTCATGTTTCTTTATTCAGTTTTGTTGTTTTCTTGTGTATGCTGAGCACCGGAACCCACATAGTGGGTGGGGATTTCCGCTGTTGGTGGAGCGCGGGGCCCACGCGGGGGGGGGGGGGTTCTTCTTCTACTATCTGACTGGTTTCTTTTGTTTTTACAATTTCTTTGGGACGCATATATATACCTGGTGATGGAGATATATACAGCCTTTCTTTTATATAGTTTTCTTACAATTCGCGATGTAGTTGGTCATGGTGTTTTACTGCAGTCACGGGTATGCATATCTTCATTGATAGACTTTGTGCAGTGGCGATACAATACCGTATGTATGTTGCTTCATTGTAACGGCGAATGGTCAATGATCATTTGCTTAGCTATAGCAGGGGGGTATATAGATCCACTATACTCTACAGGGCGTTCATTAAATGGTCAGATATCATTGCAACTAAATCCTTACTAAGAATTCCAACCATTTAATGAACGCATGAGTACTTGTATATGCATATATATACTCTACATACATGTGCATACAGTCACCCTCCGTACGTGTTATAACGAACCTGCATATATACCCCAAACCCCCCCGTTCGATACAGCAGATTATTCGGTACAGCAGGTATACGTAAGATTTTATCATTTTCTATGTGAAATTCAGATTCGCATCAATCACCAAGGACCTGCTCATTCGTTATAGCGGATTTGCAAGTGGTTTTTTTTCTTTTTTCCTTTTCCTTTTGGCATTCGAATTCGGTATATATAGCGGAGGGTAATCAAGTGTATATGGTTCACTGTATTCTCGTAATTAAATATTGCAATTGGGGTGTGGGGTATTGAACTAGTGATATGTAGGTGGGTGGGTAGGTGTAACTAGTTAGTGTGTGGTGGGCCGGTTAACGTTCAATTGTGGGGCGCTGTTAATTAGAAGATTGAAATGTATTTAGATATGTGGAGAGGAATAATGCAATATGGGGCGGGGGGGCGGGGGTTCAACGTTTGTATGTAGGTTGGGGGGGTGCCGGTGCTAGTTGTGCGCTGGGAGGCCCACGTCGCTAGATAGCTAGCTATATGTAGGTATACAGTCTATCTCCCGCTATAGCTATATACATTACCAAATGCCAATAAAGCCACAAATCTGCCATTGCAAACGGGCTTTGGTGGTCCGAATTTCAACTTCACATCATATTGAAAATGGTGGTGTTTTTATCTGCTGTACCGGTCGGTCGCGAGTGGTCTGCTGTGTCGAACCAGGGGTTTTTGGAATATGCAGGTTCCTTAGAGTGGAGGGAGACTGTATATATATGTAAATTTATAAAGCAGGGAGCTACCTACTTGTATGTAGGCAGAGTTTATTATTATGGCTACATGATATAGCAATTTACTGATTCTATTAGCTAGTAAGTGGACCGCTTAAGCTTGACATGGGTACGATATTGGGTTTGGTACTTTTTGCCTCGTTGACAGCTGCAGCTGGGGAGGGATATATTAGTTGCTCGGCATTTAGTTAGGTTCATATATATACAGCTCGAGGCAGGCCTTTGGGTAGGTATCGTCATGGTCAGTCAGCCCAAGCTGGCCCGTGGTGTGTGTCAATAGGGGCGCATATATGGTGGAACATGCGATATTGTCCTCATGCACCGAGTGAGATTCCATGCATGAGATTGTTGTCACCCGCGTGCGTAGTAGTAGCAATTACTGTTGGAGGAGCCCCCTAGCTAGATAGCTGGGAGTCACTTATATCCTAATATAAGGCCGGAGAGTTAGTTACCCTTAGCCAAGATTGATTCTGTGGGGGTTCTTTGAACTGAGGTCTCAGCTGGGCCATTAGTTCACATGATCTGAGATCTAGAGACAAGCATATATATATATATATCGAGATCAATGTGCTGTGCGATGTGACGCGCGGAGCATCCCTAGCGAAGCTTCTTCAAACTGCACTTCTAATTAATAGCTAGCGCTCGACTAAGTAGCCACGTACTACTACGTACTCAACTCGCCACTTTTAAGGGTCGAAACATCATCTCAAACTGTTAATCCCTAATTGGCAGCCAGATCTAGGCAATGCAGCACTTCCTGCAGCTGCCATCGTTTGATCTAGAAACGTTAGCTCTTGCTACTACTCCATCTTCGCGACCGGTAACAGACGGGATATACACGTATCCTAACTCACACGGCCATATCTCCTCTACTCTGTTGTGTTGGTTACACGCGGCCTCTCTTGGCACCGCTCTCTTGTGCGAGAGCTGTGTTGCACCAGAAATAGAACAGGGGTTGGTAGGGTCAATCATCGAGTGCGCAACTATCCTTGACCCATCTCAGCCGTCCATTAATTGTGCGTGCATATGTACATACTCTCTATCAATCTCATAGGCTACCACAGATTCGCCCCCCCCCCCCACCAGAGAGAGGCCAATGTCTCAGACATTCAGCCCCAGACAGAAATTGTCAACATTTAAGAGCAGAGCTGCGGGGCCTTTAGCACCCAACCTCTATTAAATATAATATCACCAGCTAGCTAGCTTATATAGAACATATATATATATAAGCCATGGTCCGCGAACACCGCCGACTGTCCTCCCTCAACTTCCTCTCGGGCCCATTCCGCAGACTGCGCAACAGATCTGCCTCCACCCCCCCACGCCACGGCACACCCCTCTTGACACTCCCCGATGCGCTCCTCACCGCCATAGCCACCATCCTCGACGACCCCCTCGACATCTCGCACTTCCTCCTCTCCAACCGGCGCCTCTCTGCCCTCCTCACGCCCCTCCTCTACGACGCCGCCTTCCTCATAAACCCCTACACCCGCCTCGCCGCCTCGGCCCTCTGCCGCGCCGCCAAACTCGGCCATGTCACCGTCGTGCAGCACCTCCTCGACCGCGGCGTCAGCATGACCGACCCCACCCCCTGGACCGGCATTGACCACCCCCTCCACACCGCCGCGCGCGACGGCCAGCTCGCCGTCGTCGAGACGCTCCTCATGCACGAAGACGCAGCCGCCGCATGCCGCATCACAGACTCACACGGCTACACGCCCTTCCACCTGGCCGCCCTCAACGGCTTCGCAAGCGTCACAAAGCTCTTCCTCTCCCCGCCCATAAACACACCCGTCGACCTCCGCTCCGACCCGGCCACAACCCAGCACGGCGCCACAGCACTCCACTACGCCGCATCATGGGGCCACGACAACGTCGTCAAGCTGCTCCTCCGCTCCGGCGCGGACCCCGCGTCCACCACGTCCGACGGCGCAGCGCACACACCACTACAATGGGCGCTGCAGAACTTCTGCAATATGGCCCCGCTGGACCCGATCGACCCCGCGGAGACCATCATCGCGCTCCTCGCTGCACGGCCGGAAATGATAAACACGCCCAACGCGGCGAGCGGCCGCCCGCTGCTCCATTTCGCGGCGACAAGCGGCGACTACTCCCCGCAGCGCCGCTTCGGCGAGCACTACTCGCAGATCCGCGTGTCACCCACGTTTGCGCGCAGCGCCGCCGCCGCCGCACTCCCGCGTGACGCGCGGGGGAGGCGGGAGGCCGCAAAGGAGCTTCACAAGCGTGTTATCGCGCTACTGCTCGCCAACGGCGCTGCCATCAACGCTGTCGACCGCGAGGGGAAGACGGCGCTGTTCCACGCGGCCGAGCACGGCGAGGAGCATTTTGTGCGGAACTTTGCTGAGCTTGGTGCGGACGTTGGGGTGGTGAGTGCGGCGGGGGAGACGGCGCTGGAGATGGTTGTGGCAAGGAGGATGGGCGGGGAGGGGTGGGAGATGGTGGAGGCGTTGTTGGATCATGGGGGGTTGTGGAGTTGGGGAATGGGGGTAGGTTGGCGGGGGAGGTGGGGGAGAGGGAGAGGGGGGAGTTGGGGCGGTTCGTGAGGGCGCATGAGGCGAGGATGAGGAGGGGGTAGGTGGGCTGGGGGAAGATGGAGAAGGTGTTTAGGTCTATGATGTAGTTTTCTGTTTGGATAGTTAGCGGCGCGCATGACAGCTGTTCTAAAAAGTGGTAAAACCGATCCTTGACCTTAACCACATATATAGGAGCAGGCACACTTATGTTACTTGACAGGTAAAGTCGTTTTTGGCAAAGGGAATCATGAACCACAGTCGAATCTCGCTATAAGGGTAACATCTATAAGGGTAATCGCCCTATAAGGGTACGGTTTTGCGGTCCAAAAAATTTGTATGTAAAAAAAAAATAAGGGTAAATGACCAATACTTGCTAACCTTGCTATAAGGATATTCTTAGACAATTGAGGTTTTTTTTTCTTTCGGTGTGTACCCTTATAGAAAAAGGTAAGGTTAGGGCCAAATCTCCATACAAGTCGCAAGTCTCCATTAATTCATAGTCCCTCAATCCATTATTGAACCGGAAATCGACTAAATAAACCTAACCCTGATTTTCCATAAGGGTAACTATGTACATACGCTCTCTCTATAGTTAAGGGTAGGCTGCGACCCAATTTTTTTTTTCGAAATTCCCGTACCCTTATAACGAGATTCGACTGTATACGCACAAACATGACAAAAGCTATTTACCAAAAAAAATAAAAAATAAAAAAATAAAAAAAATAAATAAAAATAACGTCAGATACGGATATGCAAAAAAAAAAGAAAAAGACATAAACAAAATGATAAGATCCCCAACTAAGATGTACCCAGATCCAGACAAGATGGCCACTCACGACCACCACCACCACCACCACCACCACCACCACCACCAACGCTGCCCCGAATTCGAAAGAAAGGAAGCGTAGAGGTAGTTTTATAGTCATACGTTAATTGAAGATGGGCCACAGGCTATTTCAACTTTGTATACGTACGTATACCTGTTTGGACAAGTACACGGTACCAAGCTCGCCAGGTGAAGCACCGGTCGTGAGCGGACAAGATTTGTGAAAAACAGAAAAACCTATATATGATAACACCTTATAAATAGCTAAACATACCGCGGTTAATTACATGTAATTACATCCTCAACACATCGCGACCCAAGTACATGTACGTTGGCAAGGGTCAATGATTATAACTTATTTTGTTCGATGCATCCGGGCCAGAGTCAGCATCAATCTCATCCTATGTGCAATTAACGTAATTGCTGCCATCCCGGCGATTCAAAAGCCTATGAGATCTTATGCATGATAAGGCATTCCTAGTCACGAAGCTTCCCGAAACACAAGCTTTTCGCACAGATTGTTTGGGCACGTGCGCACTATGATTGATGGCGAAACAACAAAGTCCCAACCGTAACGGAAACACCTCTTAATTGCCTGACCTGTGATACTGTAAACTACATAATTATATTACAGCGCCGGTTCACCTCAACTAATTCGAGAAACAGCCTAAAATTGGCGTGTATAACCAAACATCCGCCACAGGAGTCTTTTATTGGTTTCGACCCCGTATAAACCTTTGCAGGTCGGATGTCAGCTTTAATTGATTAGGGATCCATTCGAGACCCAGGCGGGTGTGTAATACCCAGCATACTGCGCGTAATACTCAGTCTTCTGGGATCGTGTACATGTAACGTGACTGACCGACACCGTCACCGTGCAAGGATGCTCACCGGCCGCGGCCGGTAGACAGTCGACGCTGATTGGCTTCAGCGACTGCCAGTGACCACCGATTGATTGCCCACCGACTTCTCGCAGAACCCACTCCACTTCTTCTTCTCCTTCTTCTACCCCAAGATGGCCGCTGGCTTTCCAGCTCCAGCTCCAGCTCTCCCCACAAATTCCACACCGCACGCAAAATGCCACTCACCGCCCTCGCCGCCGAGCTCCTCCTCCTAATCGCCGACGAGCTCTCCCTCCACGACGTCTCCTCCCTCCTCCGCGCAAACCACCACCTCAACACCCTCCTCACCCCGCACCTCTATACCCGCGCCAAAACCCTCCTAGTCCCTCTCCCTTCCCGTGGCGGCCAAGACCTCGAGCTCGAACCACTTCTCAATAACCTCGCCCGTCTCGGTCGCATCCGCTCCGTCACACACATCCTCAATGCCGGCGCATCGGCTACCACTGGCTCCCCACCCGCACTCTACACCGCCGCCGAAGCCGGCCAGGAGGATATAGTGAGCCTCATGATCGCGTACCACATGGAAAGAACCCAGGGTGTAGCCGTCTGCCGCGTTGCGTGCCAGAGGTACAATTCTGGCCGCAGCCCGCTGCACATTGCCGCACAGTGTGGCCACGACGCCACAGTCCGCGTGCTGCTCGAGGCGGACTTCAGCGTGATGGAGCAGACCGAGGACGGGGCGACGCCGCTGGTGCTGGCTGTCACGAACGCCCGTGTGCAGGTGGTGCGGACGCTGCTTGAGTATGGAGCATCGCCGAATGTGGATGTGGGCGGGTTGTCGGTTTCCGCGGCGAGGAGGAAGCCATTGATCCACTGGGTTGTGAAGAACGCGTTTGTCTTGAAGGTTCTGCGAGGGTCTGATCTACTGCCCATACTACGCCTGCTACTCGACTACGGGGCTGACGTTCTCTCGCGTGACGGGTACCGCGCCACGCCGCTTCACATTGCCGCCAGGAGCGGGGATGGTATAGAGCTGAGGCTACTTCTGCAGTCAACCCCGGAGAGCAAGAAGGCGGGTGGGAAGCTGGTGCATAGTCAGATAGTGGCGCTACTGATTGAAAGGGGTGCGGACGTCAATGCGAGGGATCAGGGGGGGAGGACGCCGCTGCACAATGCGGCGGAGTTTCAGGATGTGGAGATGGTGAGGACGTTGTTGGAGGCGGGGCGAAGAGGGAGGTGGCGAATGGGGCGGGGAAGACGCCAGTGTGGTTGGCGAGTGCGAATGACTGGCCGAGGGGGTCGGGAGAGATTGTGAAGTTGTTGGAGGATTGGTCGATTGGGCCTGACAAGTATTAGCTTGTATATGGGAATATCTCTAGAGACATGTGTAGGATATTTTTTGAGGGTCTGGCACCCTCTAAAAAAAAGCATCTCGATCAAGTAAGCGTTCATGACAATGTAGGGCTTGTGAAGTAGTATGCGAGGTTTATGGATGATCACCTCTATCTGTTGATCAGGTCGCGAATTTATCAGAGATGGAATCGAATCGAATTGTATGGATTGAAGAAGTAACGAGGGAAGGATGAACAGGCTCCTTTTATAACCAACAAAGTTGTGATAAACACGCATCATCACACTCGTTGTCTTGACACAGTACTGATATAACAGATAGCAAAGACCGTAAAAACAAAACCATCCTCAATGAAGAAGAGGGAGAGGGGGGGAGGAACAGAGGGGGAGAGGGAGAGGGGGGAAGAGGAAGAGGAAGAGGAAGAGAGAGAGAGAGAGAGAGAGAGAGAGAGAGAAGAATGACCTCGCTCCCACAAACACTCAAACCCCCCAATTAAATTACAGCATATCCTTCATCCCACTGAACCAGTGTTCCTATACTCTGTCCCCTCACCAAACACGATTACCACAATCTATCTAGCTACATGCAGCCAGAATCCAACCCCTCCCCCCCCCCCAGACCGCACTCACGCCGTCGATCATATTGTTCGATACACTACGTGCACATTCTACTGCACGCGAGTGATGCGACGTGATGAGAGTAGCACAGTCTAGGCGCTAGTGTTAGTGGATGCCAAGAGTAATTATAAATGTAGCGCTGCTACCAATGATTCTCTAATAATTGGCGTGCTCGGCGATCGGTGTGAGAACTACATACATTTTCGAACATTGTTTTGTTCAACGTGTAGAATCACTCGAGTCGTAAACACAATACATATGTACTTGTAACCGTCTTCTTTCACGCACGTACGTACATGCAGTGGGGCAAACCGCCTTTGTTACCTTATGTACTTTGTCTGGCCGGCCCATGGTTAATTTGCTATGTACGTACCTGATCCACCAAATTACAAGTAAATAGAGACCCCCGAATCACTAGCTAGCTAGCTAAGGCAAGCCCGCGAAATACCACCCACATCGTAGAAAGCCCACGGCCAATTCCTTGGCGCCCAATAATGAAATCGTCAAAGAGGCCCACCGCACACCCACCGCCCTTCCAGAACACTCAGCCAACAAAGAAACCCCCCTTCCCGCCCCAAAATAAATAACACGCACCCACCCGCCCGCCTACCATGCCCCTCCATTCCCACCCCCACTGCAGGCACGCATACGCTTTCCCGCAGCAGCAGCACATAATGCCGCGCACATTCTTCACCATCCCCTTCACCTCCTACACGCCCACCAGCGCCTGGACCTCCTTCCTCACGCACCTCTCCCAACCCCACCTCACACACACGCCCCTGCACCTCATCCCGCAACCCATCTCCTCTCGCGACGACGCCGACAAGCTCTTCTGGACCACCCTCTACACCACCAAAGCCCTCAGCAGCGACATCTCCTCGCCCACGCGGGCACACCTGCGCGACTGGAAATGCACACTCACGCTTGCGACCGCGCTGTCCATGCTCGTGGACCAGGGCACGCTCACGGTGTTCATCGGGCCGAACTGGAGCAGCGGCGAGCGGGCGGAGGCGCAGCGCGCGGGCGGCAGCGCGGCGGGGAGGGTGTGGTGGCACTGTGTGGTTGCGTATTGGCGCGATGGCGTGTGGGGGGTCTATGACCCGAGTTTTGCGGGGGGGAGGGCGGGCTGAGGGGTATGGAGGGGATGAGGTTGTTTAGGGATATGTTGGAGGTGATGAGGGAGGATGGGTTGGTGGTTGATGAGGTGTGGGTCGGGGGCGGGGGGAATGAGGGGGGCGAGTGTGCGGAGATGAGTCGGCGATGGGTGCAGGAGGAGGTGGTGGTGAAGAGGGGGGTGGAGCTGGGGAGGTGGGAGGGGAGGGTGGGGTGGGTGAGGGTTTATGATATATAGATATTGTGGAGTTGTAGTGGTGGATTGATATATTGCGGGGTTGTGCAAATAGAGAGAAATGATAGAAATGGAATAGAGGGAAATGATAGAAATGCGGGTTTATTGGCAGCCAATTAGCGTGCTTGGCGCTTACCCAGTACATACTAGTAGTGCACTCTCTTGTGGATTTGGTGATTCGTCAGTTTGGCAAACAACGGCCCAAACGCACTTGGAAGTGATACTCGGGTCCCCAAGGCACCAAGCGTGTAGCATGTGATTAAGACTCACAAAGTGATACCCGAAACACATGTCGAGGACAATACTATGGAGTGCCTGAGTAAGTGGTTACCTATTCTACAGATGGGCATTTAACATTGATACAGCAGAAACACGGTTTTAATTGTGGAGAACTTTAGTGGTATTGTTATTGCAAGTTACAATGTAAAGATAGAATTCACCATATGGCTCTTTAAGCAAGCCCTTGGTCACCAAAGAAACACACAGCACAAATCCACAAACGTGAAGCAAATAAACAGTATATTCAAAGCGCGGTCCCATCCCCCGCCTCAATTACGCAACCACGCGCTCCTAAAGTACAACCCCCCCCTCTCTCTCCCCCCCTCCCAACTCACCCCCGCACACACAAAACACACAACACACAACACCTACAACTTCGCCTTCGTCTTCTGCGCATTCTTCAACACCACCTGCCCGCCCACCACCGTCGTTAACAACCACACCCACCCCGTCAGCGCGCTCAAAGGGAACCCAATCCTTACCTCAGCCTTCGTCGCCTTCATCACATCGCCCTTCACCTTCAGCTTCCCGCCCATAAACAGCTTCTGCGCCGCCGCCTTCCCGTCCACAAGCTTCTGGAAGTCCTCATCGCTCAGACTCAGCACCACGTCCGGCTTCGCGCCCTCCGGCGCGAGCCCCTTCCCCACCGTCCCCGTCTTCTTGAGGTCGATGTACCACGACTCGCTCGCCTTGGCGGCGTTGGTCAGCGTGAAGGCGAAGATGGCGCTGCCCTTCTTGATTGCGTCCTTCTTGGCGGGCTCGGAGGCGAGGGAGGTAGCGATGAGGTCGAAGGCGACGGAGGAGGGGAAGGCGTCTGCATGTGCGGAGGGAGGGGTTAGTCGGTGGTGGCTCACTCAGGCAATGTGGTCTTTTGGAGCTGAGACATAGCTCGCAGAGGGGCAAACATACCTGATTTAAGCGACATGGTTGGAGCGTTATGGTACGTGAAGGAGTAAAAAAAAGTGGAAATGAAGACGTTCAGTGAAGGGATAGGAGAGGAGCTGGGTCGGTGACTTGACTTTGCTGGTGGAGAGAAAGGGCCTGTGGGGTGTGTGGAGGATTGGGACAGGCTCGCGGGTTTATGTACGGTGCGGACCGAAACGGTTGGTTTGTGTTCCCCCGACCGATGAAGTCACAAACCCATGCATGTGAAAGCTCGGTACGCGCTTCCCTCCACCATCACCCACCACTATTGATAAGTAAGCTTAGAGGGCTGGGATGGCAAGGTGGCGTGGCCGAGTGGTCTAAGGCGCTACGTTTAGGCATTGTCAAAACCGTAGTTCGAAAGAGCGCGAGTTCGAATCTCGCCGCCATCATCTCTTTTTTATTTTCCTTTTCTTGTGTTTGTTGGGAGGGGCTTACTTTTTGGACCTTTTTCTTTCTTCATGTGTAGACAGACCGGCCGGGCATGCCGAACCCGCGCACGCGACCCCACGCAAGCAGGGATGGAAACTGAAACCGACATGTCAGTTAGTGACTAAACAGCATGTGAACCCAACACCGAACCGCCGCAACCCATGTGATAAGTACATACATACTCATCCGAGTGAGAACCCGTGCATGTATGTATCTTTCGGGCATGCAGCGATAATCCATACTATTTTTCATGCAAGCCGGTATAACCTACACCACCTAGTATGTGCGTGCCGTTCCCGGTTTAAGATCCGTCTAGATCTATAGTATTCCCGCTCTATATACGGAGGTTGCCAACTAAGTGGCTGGTTAATTCGCGTCAGAAGAAACGTCGACATGGCCCCGTAGCATGATCGAGACTGGGAATCTAATTACTGTAAGCCCCACTCGGGAGTGGGGAGTGTGAGGGGGGGAAGAGTGCAGTAAGATCGATAAAGTTCGGGCTGCAGCTAGATGCCCCGCAGTCGGCATGCTCTGCGCGTGTATAGAGCAGGACCGCTAGGTAGTGGTTACATGTAGCGGTACATACATGTAGTTGGGCCGGTGTGCGCATGCGGGAGAGGCGACATGGGCGGAGTGGCCAGGGGGGGGGGGGGGGTGTGAGCTAGTGGGGTAGATATGTCCTTTCAGCCTGACCGACCTTCAAGACACACCCAGTAGACAACATCATGGCGGGGAAATACGGGCCAGTACATGTACTCTACATGTAGTTACGTCCAACCATCCGTAGCCCGCCCACCTATGTAACTCTCCCCCAGTCCTCTTCACCAGGTACTGTCGTTCACAGGGTATATATTGATGGACACTACTAGGTGTTGACGTACAAGCTAAATTTTAAAAAAGACAATCCGTCAACACCCAGTGTCCGCCAATACCCCGTGAACGACAGTACCACCCCTCCCCCAAAAAAAGCAAAACCACCACCAGCCCCCACCCACTTCCCCATTCCATCCGCACCACGCATCACTCAGGCCCCGAGTGACAGTCCATGACGCAAAACAGCCACCAAATGTCGTGCTACACCACCATGGAGTCCGCCCCCACTCTTGCGTGCTCAGGGCGGGTGAATGAGTCATGGCCCACGCCAGACTATATGTTAAGAATGGTTTGGGTTTTTTGGTTTGGTTTGATTTGGTTGAGGACTTCCATTACTTGCATTCATTGCTATCGGTATTTCCATATCCATATCCATATCCGTCCGCATCATTAAGCTACAGTATCACCGCATAACCGCAACCAGCTAACCAACTATGTATACACTCCTCCCCCTTTCCCCCCTTTCCTCCTCCTTCTCCTCCCCTCCCCCCTTATATAGTTGGCGTCGTAAACTGCCTCTGATCCGTCACCACCAGCCCGGCCACACTCGCACTCGTCAACGTACTAATCGCCCCCGCGACCAGCGCACTCAACGCCAACCTACTCACGTCGCCCGCCCTCGACGGCGCCACCTGACTCAGCACGCCAATCTGCGTTCCCAAACTACCGATATTCGCAAACCCGCACAGCGCATACGTCGCAATGAGTCTCGAGCGGTCACTCAAGGTCTCAAACTCGGGCTCCTGCTGCAGCCGCGTGTACGCCACAAACTCGTTGGCAATGAGCTTGGTCCCAATGAGTTGCGCGACCTTGTACAGGTCGCCATCGCGCGACACACCCAGCAGGAAGGCGATGGGGTAGCAGATGTATCCCACGATTAGCTCCACGGTGAGCGGGGGGTCATTGATGTTTAGGTAACGGCCCCACCATGTCAGCAGGCCGTTACACAGCCCGAGCAGCGCAAGAATGCACAGCAGCGTGCTCATAATCATTCCCGCGATCTTCAACCCCAGCCACGCGCCATTGGCGAAAGCGTGGAGTGCGTTCGCGGGCTTCTCCTCGGAGGCGTCCTGCGGGACGACGACGCGGCCGGCGGTGAGTGATTCTTCGGTCTCGGGGTAGCGCAGCTTGGAGACGGCGAGGGAGGCCGGAATGGACATGACACAGGAGGAGATGAGCGCCTGCGGGTTGATGCCCATGCCGATGTAGGCGACGAGGACGGAGCCGGCGATGGTGGCGAAGCCGGAGGTCATCACTTGGTGGATCTCGGCGAGGGTCAGGTGTGGGACAAAGGGGCGGATGAGCATGGCCGACTCGCCCTGGCCGATGAAGGGGGAGGCGGCGGCGACGACGGCTTCGGCGCCCGAGACTTGCATGGACCAGAAGAAGAAGACGGCAAATTTCCCAATGAACCATTGCAGGATGCCCCAGTAGTACAGCTGATCGTTGCGGGTTTGTTGGTTAGTGGGCACGACATGGAGAGAGAGATAGGATCGTAGGGGGAAGGGGGGCTCACCAGCTGCACCAAGGCCACGAAAAAGATAATCGCCGGCAAAACACTGATAAAGAACATACCCAATTGCGAGATCTCTGTACTCGTCAAGAAGGCCACCCCATCCTTCGCAAAGCTCAACAGGCTCTCGGCCAGCCCCGATATGAAGTGGAAGATGTCATAGCCTACACCGGTGCGGAGGACAAACAGCGCAATGATGAACTGCATCAGCATGCCCACGAGGACGGTGTGCCACTTGACATGCGCCCGGTGCTTGCTCGTCGCCCAGAGCACGCCCACAAACACCAGCATGCCAAACAGCGACACGGCGCGGTTGTCGCGCGTGTTGTTGAGCGACTCGGGGGAGGCGAAGGCGCCGATGAGGTACACGCCGATGACGAGTACCGCCGACAGCGGCGTGCGCAGCTGGGACGGGACAAACGTGACAAAGCGCACGGCGGTGTGCTTCCAGAGGGTCTGTATGGGCTTGAAGAAGAGGCTGACAGGGAGGTAGATGGTGAGGATGCGCAGGGCGATGCACAACCAGAAGAGGAAGGGGACGACCCAGTTCTTGTCGGCGCGGTGGAGCACCAGTGATGCGATCCACCATCTTTACGATCGTGGCAGGATATTAGGGCTCATGCTTCTTTCCCCGGCCAAAAAATTGTAGAAGGGAGGGGAGTTACCCAGTGAAAAGACAAAAGATAAACGCATGCACAAACACCCGATACTTCCTATATAACCCTCCACTACCACTGCCTGCACCACCGCTGCCTGCACCGGCGCTGCGGACGCTGGCGCCACTACCGCTTCGGCTCCCTTTCTCGATATCGCCGGATATGGGCGCGCTCTTCATGGCGTGCCCGCTCTCGATGTCGGCGGGCTCATTTGCGGCGGTGGTGGTGGGGGAGGATGAGGAGGGTCGGAGATGTTGAGCGCTGGGTCGGGGTGCGACATTGCGGCAACAACAAAGGAGGAGGGGGGGGAGGTGGTGTTGTTGGGAGGGGGGTATATATTAATGCGGTGGGATGAACGACAAGAGAAGAAGGGAAAAAAACCAGAACGAGGGCGAGGGGAAGGGGGGGATATATCTATGTTATAGTGGAGACAGAGTAATCCCCGAAACCTGTCTGGCCGTTATATCGATTTTTTTTTTCTCGCTCTCTTTCTATTAATTGGGTCCCCACTCAACTACCAGCGCAGCTAGAAGAGATTGGCCAAAGTGCTTGCTTGCTTGGTAACTTAGCGCGGCGCCGGCCGGATTAGTTACTTGATTAGCTCGAGTCGACCCCTACTGTCGTCTCTGCTTTGATAAATACCTAGCAAGTGAGATTCCTAGATAGATACCTACCAGCTCGATAGGTAAACAGTTTCAAACAAACCGATTGGCAGCGTGCGTTGGTTGGTAATAAAAGGGCTCCCAACTAATCTGGCTACCGTCCCACTGTGCTGATAGAGCATAATGGGGGAAGTATAGATATCTAACTGCACCACCTTCCTCTCTCGGGGAATTAACATGCCAGGGGATGGGGGAAGGCCCATGCCAACTCTAATCCTCGGATAATTTTCGCCACTGGGGTATCAAGGTTGTACGTAGAAGAGTAGGCAGAGGGTCCCGCCTAGAATTCCGGTGTGCTTATCTCTACTATGTAGCACTGTTAATTATCATATCCACTCTACGCGTCGTAAGTAGATATCAATATTAGTACAGCGAGAGGTAGAAACAGGGGTCTAAAAACAGGGTTTCTGTGGCTGGGCAAGCCAATAGGACTCCTCCCATATTTCTACAATAATCTTACCGCAAGCTGTATTTGGTGTTTAGTACAGTAAGGCATTGCGTGTTCCAATGGCTCTGAAGGATTACCAGGACTACTAGGGTTTCTCGTTTTATACGGCATTGTTGAGGACAGGTTATCACGCCACCTATTCTTTGCCATAAGTCCACAGTTGTAGCATACGTATCTAACAGTATACGTAGTGATAAATAGGCGGATCAAATAGATACCAGATTTTTTTAATATAGATCGATGCTTTCCTCTACTCTAGCCAGAGTGGTACGTGGGGGGATAGCTATCAGCAGAATCAGCATATTCTGGAATGCATGTTACTCGTAATTAATAGATAGATATCGATATCAGTGTCGCGTGCGCCGACCTCTAGCTTCTCAGCTAGCTACCTTGGTAGCTAGGCCACCATAATATATCAACACCTCAATATCCACTCTCTTCTGCTCGTCCAGATAAGCTCTCCTCCCAATTTCCACCACACGTTTCAACCGCCAGGAAGGAAGGTCTCCCTCTCTCTCTCGATCTCTCCCTATCATTATTAACCGCGGCATCACAGGTGACAAGTCCAGCCATTCCATTCGGACTGCATGGTCAGTCTTGTCAGCTCCGAGCAAGAGGCAAGATGACGCGCCAAGACTGTCCGAAAGAGGAAGGTTGCCCGCTCTGGAAGGTGTGTAACCAAAACCCTGTCTGTAAGCAGGCATCGTATCGTGTATCGTGATCACCGTCCCGAAGATTGGTAGCGCTTTGGAGGAGGGTAGATACAAGGCTCTGGGATTAAGTGAGTGAACGGATCCTCACCAGTCAACACCCCATTTAGTTCATTCACTTAATGCCAGAGCCTTGTACAGTAGGTACTATCGGGTTCCGGATTGTGGAAGAGCCTGGTATGCGTGCGGGTAGAAGAGTAGTGGTCTGATTTTATTTATTTATTGGGTTGCGGTTCGTTGGTATGGTGATAAGTGGACTGTTGGTATTTGGTACCTATTTGTGAGTGTAATATCGGTGGAGGAATGATTGTAATTCTGTAGTTATCAGGAACTAGCTACGGTATCGGATGAATCTGAATATACTGCTAGCTAGCTATGCGGTTATATATAAGTATCATACCGCCTTAGCAGAAACTGAAATATCTACGGCCAGGCTGGTACCTACACACCTCAGGGAATTCAAGGCACGCATGTATATGAGACTCGCAGAGCAACATGACAGGCCCAAGCCTCCGCGCAGTTCCGAGTGGGCGCAGAAAATCCCCGGAAACCCCGATGGCCCTCCTTCCCCACAAATTACCCCACAAAAAAGAAATAAAAAAGTTGCGCGCCCCTTAGAGTAGCCTGTATGGAGTGAATAGCATGTGGCCCGAGTTTTTGTTACGTACTCGCAGAGAGGTTCGATGCATGGAATATACCTGCCGGCTAGGCTTCATCTGGGGTTGCATCGAAGTGGAAGGTAGGTGAGGTGAGGATTCGCGGGGTTGTGGGGTCGTGGTGCGAGATATCAGTACCTTCGTTCTGTAGGAGAAGAAGCCTAAGGAACAAGCAGCATGCTGTGCCAAATACTGCGCCGGGATATAACGTGAAGGTATAAATAAAGAAAGGCTCCCATCTCTACATGTATGTAACATGCTTCTTTGCATGTCATGAAGCTTAAGCTTAAGCTCTTTCATTCCATCATGCGGGCAGTACCGACATCATCACCAACCACGGGGTCCACCGCCCGGCTCTTTGTTCGTAATATGTGCACCTACTCTACTTGATTCACTGGGAGGGCATGTATGTAAAGTAGGGTAGGGTAAAGTATAGCGGTCTAGGGTGATCCGCACATATGAAGTCCTTGAACCGTAGTACCTACTTCTTGAACCTGTAAATACTTGACCGTGGCCGCCGAACCAAACAGCCAACGTCCCCTCCTCCCAAAAGCCAAAACAACCACGACCATGTCCACCACCGACATCGAATCCACCGTCGCCACCCAGCTCGAGGCCTACCATGCGTCCCGCGCCGCTCTCATAGCCCAAGAGAAGGCACTCCGTCACGGTCAGTAACGTTCCTCATGTTGCTGTCCTCGCCTGATCCGGGATCTGACTGACTGACTGACTGACTGGCGTGACGTCATACCTGGCAGACTATGCGTTCCGCCAACGCCTCTCGGAGACTGCCAAGAGGGCCTCAAACATCGTGGGCAACATCCGCCACTACGAGGCCGCAACAGTGTGGACGAAGGAGGTGGAGGACGACGAGGGCGATGTGTACCCCGGCATGATGTTCACGCTGGCAAAGGACCGCATGGAGAGCACAAGGCTATGGAAAATTGTCAAGAGAATGCCGAAGGGCTGTTTGCTCCATGCGCATCTGGAGGCCATGGTCGATAGTGAGCTTTCCTCTGTGTGCTGCTTGTATGTACATGTGAGGTAGTGTTCCTCAACTCACTGTAAACGATACTAGTGGATTGGCTGTTGAACCTCGCGTTGGAGACGCCGGGGCTGCATATCTTCTCAGATATACCGCTGGTTTCGCCAGAGGCGTTGAGGATTGCTACGATACAGTTTCAGTATTCGCCGGAACCCCCGGCTGTAGCTACATCACTATATTCATCGGCGTATGTTGCGAATGGGTTCGTTCCCATTACCGAGGCCGCGGATACGTTCCCAGCGAACCTCCTCATGGGATCCGAGGGCACAGGCACAACTTCGAGAGAGGCGTTCCTGGAATGGCTTATCGACCGCACCACAATCACAGCTGAAGAGAGCTTAAAGCATCATGAAGGGATCAATATGGTCTGGCGAAAGTTTCAGGGCATATTCAGAATAATCTCGGGCATAGTCTACTACGAGCCAGTATATCGAGCATTTGTCCTCCTCCCACCCGCCCCCCCCCCCCCCCCTCTCCCATACCCACCCCGCAAGAACAAGCTCTAATGATTGCAACGAAAAAAAAAATAGGTCCGTCATATTCTCCACCATTTGCATCTGGATAATGTTCTCTGGGTGGACATGCGGGCAGCCTATGCCATGACCTTCCGCGCGGCAAACACAGGAGAAATCCTCCCCCGCACTGATGTCATCCGCGCGTTTTCCGAGGAGGTGGAGCGGTATAAGAAGTCTCCGGAAGGGGCGGGTTTCTGGGGCGCGCGTATGATATGGACCACCATCAGGAGCTTCGACAATGAGACGATTAGAGCCAGCATGAAGGAATGCGTTGAAGCCAAAAAGCTCTATCCCCATGCCATCGCGGGTACATCCCCCAAGCTTACTTTTTCTCACATACTCAATTTCGCTAACACTTTCAAGGCTTTGACTTGGTCGGCCAAGAAGACCTCGGCCGCCCGCACAAGGAGCTTATCCCCGAGATCCTCTGGTTCCGTGAGTATTGCCGCCAGGAAGCGGTTGATATACCATTTTTCTTCCATGCCGGCGAAACGCTCGGCGATGGCAACGCCACCGACGAAAACCTATTTGATGCTATTCTCCTCGGGACCAAACGCATTGGCCACGGGTTTTCGCTTTACAAGCATCCACACCTGCTAAGGCTTTGTCGTGAACGTAAAATCTGCCTTGAAGTGTGCCCAGTCTCGAATGAGATCCTGCGACTGACATCCAGCATTCTGTCGCACTCACTTCCGGCGCTCCTGGCGCATGGGGTGCCTGTAACCTTGAACAACGATGATCCGGGAATTCTTGGGCAGAAGACGACGGCGAGTATGACGCATGACCATTGGCAGGTGTTGCAAGCGTTTGACAATGTTGGGCTGGAGGGCCTGGGGGATCTGGCAGAGACGACTGTGAGATATGCAGCATTCGAGGGCGTGGATGTGGGCGTGGAGGAGGGTGTGAGGGAGGAGAGGATGAAGATGTGGAAATCGGATTGGGAGAAGTTCTGTGAATGGGTTGTGGCAGACTTTGGAGAGTGGGAGGAAGGAGAGGGGGCTTAGTGCATGATGAATATAGCGTACAACTCACGGCGCGCATAACCGAGGAGATATAACTATTATATCGGACGTAGGAGTAATCGTTTTCTAGCATTGTATTAGTATTATAAGGACTAGGGCTGGTGGTTTACACCTAAGAGCCCACTTCGGGTGGCCAGCTAGTTTGGTTTACGATTGGTACCATTTATCGAGAATAGCATTGCTGAACTTAAAAAAAAGAGTAGACATCCTCTATGATCTGAAATATCAGGTTTCATTTGGTGTATCGGTTTTACATGTAATTATGAATGAATATTTTGGCTCAGTCGACGATCCTGGGGACGTTCAGGCCTTTCGAGTGGTGGTCCCTAAGCTACATATATTCGATAGCATATTTTGTGAAGTATCGTCATATAGGCGTTAAAACATGTATGTATGTCTGCCAATATACTAATGGAACTAGGGATTTCTTTTTGGAGCGGGGGTCTTTACAGCAACTAAAATTGCTGTGATCTCTTATTACATCTGTCCCTAAACACAGCTTGAAAGTCATGCAGTATCACTCGCTTCTATTATATATGGATATGGACGGAAGTCGGAGTATCGGAGCTCCTGAAGATAATACTCCTACCATCATAGACAGCGGTAACTTTCCTTGTATAAAGTGGTCCTTCCATAGAATGATCTTTGGTAATAACCCTTGACAGTGTGCGTGTACAGAGAAAATCTTCACATGGTAAAGGGTGGGTGTGACATCCTTAAGGCAACTCAAGGATTAAAATATATCGAAACTTGAAGGCTTTCATACCCTGTATATTATCCGGTATGTCCTTATCATAGTAGGAAGTGGTGGCATATCTATCGGCAGGCCAACTTGCATATACTACGCAGAATTTAACGGAGCAGGACGAGAACTGGCCTAACCCTTGCTGTGCTTAGAATCGCTTTACATTCTGATATATGGGTCCTATCACAATGCGTAAGAGGAGCTACCAAGAGGTTAGAAGCCACAATCTGGCTCAGTATATGTGTATGTATATTACACCTAGGCAAATGGGGAGAAACTATTAGTAAGCTTATACACCATATTGTTTCATGCATCCCACTTACATTAATGTTTAGTTTTTTTGCGGAAGTCGTCCATCCAGGCGATTAATCAGCGCTGCAGCCCGAATTTGATTCAAGAGAGGTAGTCATAACTGCGTTTTGATAGAGTCTGTATTTAGCTCAATCTTATGTCCTGGTCCATGAAGATCTTTCATTCTAATATTGTAAAATACATTTTCGTCATTTATCATAACATCTCACTCGACATCTGGCTTCTTAGCGCCGGAAGAGGTAAAATGGCTTTATGTTAGAGAAACTGACTTGAAGCACCACCGATACCACATCGTTATGGCGACTCCAATCGGGAAGCCGATTCTTTGATCGGTCTCAACATACAGTGTTGCATTTCCACGGCTGAACTGAGGTGTGGATATCGGGAAATAGATTAGGCATGAGACCAACACCATTTCCAATCCAAGAACTTAAGCTTCATTTTACCGGTTTGTTTTGTCAGGTTTTGTCCAAAGGCAAAGTCGGTTTCGGCAGCTTGAACTTTGTTCTTGACTTAATATCGCCGTTATAGCGTCTCGAGCCCAATTGACTACGCCAGAATATGGTGTATCCATAAAAGCGAACCTGCATGGAGCACCAACCAAGGCAGAAACTCTGGAATACACCGGTCCCTGTAGCAATGTGGTCCTTTGTTACGGGACGGACAACGAAATAATTAATCTTGGACCCGCGGCCCGCACTCAGGCAGTCATACGTATCTAATCTCACTCACTCCATGCAACGGCACATTTTGAGACTGCTTTGATCAGTCAGTAGAGGAAGAGATTGCCCTGTCTTAAAGCATAGGTGCTATTGCAACACAGCTGAATGCTTATCACACCGTCCAGGAGCCTATCATGAACTATCACGCAGGTCTCGGCTTGTTGCGGCTCAATCACCCCTAACCTCTAGCGCTGATCCGATAGCCCCACTACCAGCGCCAAGGCGTTTCAACAATCTAGCCAACCAAACGGGAATCACACGACGCACGCGATTCCCCTAAGTTCAACTGTACGCGACAAAGCAGGTGTCCGACGTCAACCTCCGGACAGAACTTCCTCCAAGTGTTAGACCAGATTTCTCGAACGCGATAAGACATCAGCCCCTCGCTTCGATGAGCGTTGGTTACGTAAATTCGGAGAGCGGGGGAATGATTGTGGGAGATGAGTGAGATGGAGAGGAAAGGATTTAAGGATGCTGTTCGCCCCGAGGTGGGAAAAGAAAGTTCTTCCATCAGTTATCTCGTAAATTTCTTTAGCATATCCTCGTGATTACCTTTATCTCAACTTCTGCAAGACTTCACTTAACGCCACCATCACCGCCGCCTTTCTCTCCAGTATTCAACAATGACAACTCCATCCACAATCGATCCCAAGTTCTTACCCTCAAAGGACCAACTTGGTGTTGTAGGTGTTGGCTTCTCTGGAGGACAGGTATGTACACCATGCGATTCTAGACTGCACCCCCACTAATATCACATAGACCAAACCAGGTGTCGATGCGGCCCCCGCAGCACTGATTGAGGCAGGACTTCTAGATTCACTTTCTAATGAGCTCGGATACACCATCCATCATGACGGAAAGGTTCACAACTACACTGAATACATCCCACCTTCAGATCCGCCTCTTCAAACAGGTGGCGCACGTGCACCAATGCTAAAGGCTCTCACTGTATCAAACGTCACTAAGGCCATTGCAGACCAAGTATATGAACATGCTTCACAGGGGCGCCTAGTCCTTACACTCGGTGGTGACCATTCTATTGCAATCGGTACCATCGCCGGCACAGCGAAGGCTGTTCGAGAGCGTCTTGGCCGTGAGATGGCCGTGATATGGATCGATGCGCACGCTGATATCAATACACCGGAATCATCAGGATCCGGTAACATTCACGGTATGCCGGTATCCTACCTGACCGGTCTTTCGAAAGCACCCAAAGAAAACCCCGAGGTGTTTGGGTGGATGAAAGATGAAAACAGGATCAATGTATCAAAGCTTGTATATATTGGCCTGCGTGACGTCGATATTCCAGAAAAGAAAATCCTCAGGGAGAACGGAATAAAGGCATTCAGTATGCATGATGTTGATAAGTATGGCATTGGTAGAGTGATGGAGATGGCGTTGGAGCACCTCAACTGTGGACCAGGGCAGGAGGGTATGCCGATTCATTTAAGCTTTGATGTGGATGCGTTAGATCCGCAAGTGTAAGTCTCTCAACCTATTTAACTATGGGCACTCTTACTAATAGATCGAATAGTGCACCAAGTACAGGTACTCCTGTTCGTGGCGGTTTGACACTGAGGGAAGGAGATTTCATATGCGAATGCATTCACGAAACCGGGTGCCTAGTAGCCATGGACCTTGTGAGTTTGCCCTGTGTCTTTGGAAAAAAAGGAGAGAGAGAGAGGGTTGCTAATTATTTCGCTTCCGTAGGTCGAGGTCAACACCATAGTGGAGGGAGTGGAGCACGACAGTTTTGGATCGATGGAAACAGTCAGGGCGGGATGCAGCCTGGTTCGGTGTGCGCTCGGTGAGAGTTTGCTGTAGACCAAGCCAGTCTTGTTGCTTTATGATTTTGGTTCTGTGCGGACTGTATTTTATCTCTGTACAATCAGTAGAAATGTAGACCAGTCCTAGAGCTCTAGAATAGAAACTATGTTGATATTTAACTAGAGTAGCCATTGGGAAATATCGAACCTCAACTTCCTGAAGTGATGGGCCTGGGGAAATGTCTAGGCATTTCCATTATTCACTCTATACGTAGATCATTTCCTTTCTGCGTTAATGACGGGCCGGGCCGGTTTGGCTAGATGCCATAGTATTTCTGCAGAGTTTTATCTTATATCGGAAGGATGCAGGGCGAGATTGCATGTAAGAGTAACTAATTCTTCCGTGAGGTGCGTTATGTGGACATTAACCGCTGAAGTGCTTATGGTACAGTAATCTTTTGAAGACTGTCCTCATGCCATACAATATCGCCAATTTGGCAGAGAATCCCATCATTGCCACTTGTCGATAACCCACTCGACGGCTCGATCAAGCTTCTTCTCCGCCGGGGTAACCCACGTCTTTCCCGCGCTCACGGTATCGGTACCCACGCGAGATTTCAAACACAAGCTTGCATATGTCACCCCTCCAGTACACAGCCACCCTCCCCTACGGGAACTCGGCAGCCTGACATTCTCGCTTCGTCCGGGGCAGGAACGGAAATGAAGCCTCGATTGTCGTCCCAATACTCCATATCTACGTGGACGGGAGTGCTTTAGGAGGTTGGGTCGAAAGCGAAAGCTTAAGGGGCGTGTAGAACTATATAAACAAAATGCATGCAAGTGATTGAAGGTATAATTTTCTAGGTTTAGAGGTACATATATTGTGATCCTGGGCTGCCTCCTTGAGACCCCTAACCCCGGGGATACGGGTTCTCGGTATTGCCGTCCAGGAAGGATTATTATGGACTCCTGACCCCAAATACAGTGCACTGAGCATGCAGCAAGGGGGAATGGACTACCAGCTGTACCGAGCGTCGTGGGCCGGATGTCAAGCTGTCACAAGCCCGAGCTAGACTTGTCTTATTTGGCGAAAATGAAATCCTCGGGCCTAGGAAGGTTTCCCAGTATTCAAATCGGGGAGACTGGGCTGGACCATCAGTTATTGCGGTTACGTGCACATGATTTTCTTCAGAAAGAGGAACATACCCATATTTCCGAGCTGCCCGAGGCAGCCCATATTAACAGTCAATTGCTCATCAAACATGAATAGAGGTAAATCTAAAGTCTAGGTAGCCTCAGGCTCTGTTCGGACCGCAGTGGACAATAGTATCCGAAGGACAGTAAAAATACGTACCGGAACCATTCAAAAGAAGAGTTTGCTTGAGGGATTTATATTTACTCAACGAGATAAGGTGATGTGAGGTATTATTTTGCGCACGAGTAAAACCTTATTTTGGCCAAGCCTGGGGAAGATAATAGCGGGCACGTGTTAGCACAAGATTTTTAGTTTCTCCCTCTCCACACTGGAATCGATTGACAAATTTGACATTAGTTTCTGGGCAAGTGGAGCCCGCCGAGTGATAAGTCGTGAACACCATATTCACATTCCCCATAATTACATTATCATTAGACTAACGAAAGTTCTATCAAAACTCTCCAGCTATACCTGCTGCTTTCTCTCCGTCTCCTGACTCCCCTTGTTACTACTCCCAATACCCTCCTCCTCGTCCTCCTCTAGGGCAAGGCCCAGCACCCTAAACTCAATTTCATCAATCTCACTTGTCTGTCTTCTCGCCGATCGGTTCACCGAGAACCAATACGGACTCGCACGGGACGCCGAGTCTGCAGATGCTGTAGTGTGCTTGGCGGCTTGCGCTTTGATGAGACGGTACATGACTGGCGCGTTTGCGACACAGCAGGCTACTAGCATCTCGATGGATGCGAACTATAGAGAAAATGATTTGTAAATGAGGGTTGGGGGTACGCGCGAAAGGAATAGGGAACATACAAGTGTGCGCCAGCGCTGGATTGCGTGGTTTTCCATCACGAATGGAAGCCGGAATATGCTGACTAGGATGACGAAGAAACCAAGCGAGAAGAGCGCATAGAGTTGGATTTTTCTGTTGCGCATTAGATTTGTAGACTAGGAATGGAAATCCTATGATAAGAGCTTGGGTGGGGAAATACCGTTTTCGTGGGAGACTGGTGTGGAAGACCATGGGAAGGGGATAGAGTATTAGGACTAAGTCTGTTGCGATATTGCATGCTCCGGTTGTGTATAGCTGGGCTTCGGCGAATGTACATGCTCCTGTGGATTAATTCGAGTTATTAGTTCAGACGCATAGTGATTGAATGGGGTTGATTGAGAGATAACATACTGCCTGGATTTGGAATAACTTGCCCTAGGTGGAGTTAGTATGTGCGGTGATTCAGAAGAGCCAACAGTTGAATTAAATGTACTTACAATAGCTGTTGTTTCGAGATATCAGAACCAGAAAAAGCCAGTTTAATAAACCAAGAAAGTGCGGAATGATGAACTTACTGATTAAATGGCCGGCACTCCAATAGAGTCGACACCATCACCGCCGCAAATGTCAGGAATAAAAGTACCCATATATACTTGATATACTTCCTATACACCTCCAACAGCTGAACGATCCTTGAGTACAGCGCCAGTATACATGCTTTCATCGACCAAATACTACTTCCGTCAGCAATTGCTTGAAGTCCAATCCCCAGCCTAGGACTCCATACATACAACGCAGCATAACAGGACCTAGCCACCAACGCCATTTTACTCCCCATCTCTCTCCTTTCCACTTCTTGTTTTCGCAACCCGTTCCTCGCCCACTCCTCCACATTATTCGTATCCCACACCAACACCAAATGAATCACCACCGTCCTCACAACTAGTATCCCGAGGGCCCCTAGCATCCAGTAATCATCGTGCCTCCATTTCTTCTCTCTTGCCCAGGTTGCAGACAGTCGTATTGTGATGATCAGAAAACAGATTGTGTAGAAGACATAGCCTACTACTAGCGTGGTGAGATCGGAGAGCATTTGGCGGTGGCATGATAATTGAAGAAGTGGGGAGTTGTCGCGGTTTTAAACTTGCGGATGAAGCGGGACGGACAGCATATTGCAGGGAAAGGGACCCTGGCATGGCGTATGCATCCACCGATGTCATACCCGAGTGGGGCCGGGTAAGGATTAGACGGTAGACTCATTTGAGTGGGTTAGAGGCGGTAAGCCCTCACACTAATCAAAATAAAGCGAGTAAAGGGAGTTTCTCCCTCTCTCTCTAAAGGTACATGTACTTTTATTTACCCCGGAACTATATGTATCATAGGGCGATAAATATATCGAATTGAAAGACACTCTTCATGCATGCCCATGACACATTACTGATGACATGCATCCTCCGGGGCGCATGGATCGCGATGATTACCCCGGCCCGGGTCCTTTTGTTTTTGCTCTAGAGCGTTCGGGAAAATGTCTTAAGCTTAATTAGAATACGTATATACGTGTGGGGGAGGGGGAGCAGCTATATGTCCGAGTTATATAAAGGTGAGGCTCCTCAATGTTTGCTTTCCGGTGTGAGCCAATGAAATAATTGACTGAAGTGGTGTGTACAAGGTTGGGTCGTCCTCTACTCCATCTTGCACCATACGTTGTATGCCGATATATACCCATTCCCAGAGGTCGTGGTGGTATGTAACCATTTCTCTACACCAGGACCCGGAGGGTTCTGGCATGCTTCATACACCATTTCTTTCCCTCTCTCGCCTGGTTGCTATGCCGAAGTTGGAGTTATTGCTCAGTCCCTAGGCGTGCTTACTGAACCCACACGTACACCGTAGTACCAGTTTCAATAGACCAGCCCGGGCCCGAAACACGTTTAGACTGTCCCAAGCCCATCAAACCCTTACAACCGGGGCCTGGCCTGGCCCATATATACATGTATATACGGGCCTAACCCCGGAATTCTTTGATCATGATAATTCATACGATTCTAAGAAAAATATATTTGACTGTTTATTGCGATATTAAAATCCCATATTTATCCAAAGATTTGCTTTTTCATAGAGAGAAATGAGGATTGAAGATGATGGATATTCTTAAAATATGCACCATTTCGGCCCATATAAATTAGCCCGGGCCTCAATCGCCTTAAGACCCGGCCTGGCCCGGCCTCAGACACCCTGGCCCAAGCCTGGCCATGGCCTAGAAGGCCGAATCCCGGGCCGGTCCATATAACCTGAGGCCTATCAAACCTCTGCACCGTACCAACCATGACTACATGTATGTATACCACACCAGAAAAAACATCGTAGGGCCTAATACTACAGGTGGGATAGGTTTTATGTTTGGTTTAGGACATACAAGTTAATTTCATTGAATGAATATATTGTTCACCGGAGGTTAATTTGTTAACGCAGCGCAACTTGTATGCCTCTAGCTTTAATTGCGGATTTCTGTCTCGACCTCCTCGACTAGATCTCGGGGGTTAAGAGCTCTATAAAGATTTCCTATATACGGAGCTGCCGGAATTAAAGAATATGTAGTACGGCTCGTCTACTTTAGGGATATCAACACTTATTCCACGGCGGGAGCTTAAGACTCATGGTGGCATATCTAGACTAAACTCACCCGCAACCCGCTCACGAACGACTATCCACAAACCAAACCCAAACAAGCACCTGTTTATCTCTACTTTTAACTATATACACCCCCCCCCCCCCTTTTTTCTTCCTCCACCCCTCCCTCACCGGCCCTCCCTGCCTATTCATACCTCTCCTCCAACCCCATAAACTTCTCATACACCTCCCGCGGACTCAACACCCACTTCCCCTTCTCCCCCACCACACACTCCACCGCCGCCGTGCCCCCCTCCAGATCCTTCTCCCCCACAACAATAATATAATTATACCCCTTCACCCTCGCCGCCTTCACCTTCTTCGCCAGCGAATTCCCACTCTCGTCCACATCCACCGCAAACGTCCTTCTCCCCATCGGCGCCGCCCCTACCCCTACCCCCACCCCCTCACCAACACCGGCAACAACCCCCCGCACCTCCCTTGCATACGCAAGCAGCTTCTCGCTATTCGCCACAGGCAGCACCACCGCCTGCCTCGGCGCCAGCCAGAACGGCCACCGTCCGCCATAGTGCTCCATCAGCAGCGCCATGAAGCGCTCAAAGCTGCCCAGCACCGCGCGGTGTATAATCACCGGCGTCACCAACCCGCTCGTCTCGAGCTCCTTGGGATCCGTGGGGGCCTCGCCGCGCGCCTCGGCTTCGGGCGCGGGCGCAAGATAGGATAGTCCGAAGCGCTGCGGGAGCTGGAAGTCCAGCTGGATGGTGGCCGTCTGGTGCTGCTTTCCGTCTGAGTCGGTGACGAGAACGTCGATCTTTGGGCCGTAGAAGGCGCCGTCGCCGGGGGAGAGGGTCCACGGGGTGCCGGAGGCGTTGAGCGCCTGCGTTAGTGCGTCTTCGGCGCGGTTCCATTCGGCGGGGGTGCCGATGTGGTGGACGGGGCGGGTGGAGAGGACGAGCTTGTATTGGGGTAGGTGTAGAACGGTGTAGACGGTGTTGATGAGGCGCAGGGTCGCGAGGATCTCGGTGGAGATTTGCGACGGGCGGCAGAAGATGTGCGCGTCGTCTTGGTGGAATTTGCGCACGCGGGTGAGGCCGCTGAGGGCGCCGGAGAGCTCGTTTCTAAACAGGCTTGTGTGTTAGTCCACCATTGTCTCCACTCCCGGGGCATATGTAGTGATAGGTAGGGCATACCTGTGCAGCGGCGCAAAGTCCGCATACCGTACCGGCAGATCCCTAAAGCTCCTGGTAGCACCCGCATGTTTAAACAGCAAGCAATGCCCTGGGCAATTCATTGGCTTGAGCCCATACTCCCCCTCTCCCTCCTCCACCTCCTCCGCCGGATCCTTCTCCCCGCGTGCAGAAACAGAAAACATATCGTCCTTGTAGTTCTCCCAGTGGCCGCTCGTCTCCCACAGCGAGCGCTTGTAGATAGTGGGCGTGATGACCTCCTCGTAGCCATAGACGGCGTACTGCGCGCGCAGGAAGGACTGTAGCTTGTTGAAGATGCGGGCGCCATTGGGCAGGAAGAGGGGTGAGCCTGGGGAGGCACCATGGGTAATGAGGAGCTCTTGGGAGGTGGCGATGGCGCGGTGGTCGTTGGGCGCACTGGTGGTGGGGGGAGTGGTGCTAGACGGGGCGGTGGGCGCCGGGGGTGTGCAGGAGCCGCAGAATCGGTGGAGATGCGGGCGCGGGTGGGGGAGAGTGGTTCTGGCGGTGAACCGGGGGAGGGGCGAACCCGTCCGGAGGAAGGAGAGGTGCGGGCGCATTGCGGGTGTGTAGATGTTCCGGCGCCGGAGATAGGTTTGATTTGTCGGGGATCTTGAATTTGCTGGGGTGGACCTGGGCCTGGCAGAGCCGCAGCTTTGGGGGTGGTGGGGCCCTGCGGTAGGGTAAGTAACGAGTGATAATTGGGGTGAAAGGTATATACTGAGACGAAGGATACCAGGCCTCTTCGACTTTGTGTTGATTCCCAAACAATGGGACATATTTCTGGTAAACCTGTCTTATTGATGGTCTTTTTTTTTTTTTTTTTTTCACAATCAAAGTGACTGGCACTAAGCCGATTGCCATAACTGTAAGGTTGCATGCAATTAATGAATTAAACAAACTGGCACTAAGCCGTATCGTGGCCGAGTGATAGCCTGTGATCGCTTGTCCCTCTAGTTAGCTATAGTGCTATTGTTTTAAATCCCATTGTCGGCCTCATAAGCTCACAAAGGGAACACACATGGGTAGGGGCTCAACAGCCAGGGTACGGCTAAAACGGACAGAGAAGAGTACCACGAACATACCCCGAGGCATTTCGGAGGTGCTCGGTATCTCTTGACGGTGCCATGTTAAACCTTCATATATATTACCGCCGGTGTAGGATCTGCCCGCGGAAGAAACAAGCACGAGGTCTTTCGAATTGTATCTGTTTGAATTTGGCAGATAAGTATTAGCGGTGAGGTATATATTCCTGATAACAAGTTTGTGGTAGAAGAAGGGAGCATGCGAGATACTGTTGCCTGAACTTCGTTGATGAAAGTTATGTGCCATAGCATACATAGAGCTGTAGACATATACTTCCATGGGGGCATGAGACGCTCTTTACACAGGTCGCCAGCTATCCTTTGGAAACTGCACCGCCACCTATGTATAGACCTTCCCACACCCCCGTAGTATGCGTGTGCGTGTGCGTGTGCGTCTTTTGTAGAATTGTTGCCGTATTATAGTTTGTGCTCTATCCGCCCTCGATCATTCTGATACCTTGAGAGGTGCTTTGGTGATCTGCGCAGGCATCCGTCGAGTGAGGTCCCATGAGAAACATATATTGCCAGTGTTGTGCGTTTCACCCGGTAAACGAATTACCTACTATGCCAAGTAGATGTAACCAGCGACACCTCCAAGCTTAAGATGTTCCTGCATGCCTGCTTAACCGAACCCATTATATTCCCCTCGTCAAATCAGTTTCTTTGTTTCCCAGCTATCGATAAGCAGATAAGCGCAACAAGTCAACCAAGCATTTCGAACACGATCAGCACGAAACCAAGCTTAGCAGCGCCGTTCCTAACAACCAAAGTCAGTAACGTCAATCACTAAAGATCTGCAAAGTCCCTGGCCAATGACAGGCATGCAGGATGTGGCGCTGAAGCCCCACCCAACTTGGCAACGCCACAAGCGCCAGCACAGCACGTCACTAGCACGGTGGGCCAAAGAGGACAAGCAAGACAGCAGGAGAGAGGGCAGCCAACAATGCATAATAGAAAAGGCTGTCTCTTCCTCTCTCTGCCACACACACCACACACCTTGACACCTCCCCCGCAATCCCGCAATTCCCCCCCCCAGAAACATAGACAATGGCCCGCAGAGCCATCACCAGCGATGCTCCCGCCCAGCGCGGTACTCCCGCGCCAGAGATAAAAGCAGATACCACGGACACGAGCTCAACAGCTAGTCGGGCTTCCACAGCACCTAAACCGTCGCGCAAGCGCCGTCCTCGAAACCGCTCGACCGCCTCGACCGCCTCAACAGCTACCAACGGCTCGACTACCCCCGTGCCCAGGACTCCTACCCTCAAGCAGCACACCGCTAGTACGAACGATAGTAGCTATGATCCCCTCACGGAGGCTGTAATTAGCGCCTTTGCTACCTTTGGTGAACTCTTCCTCTCCCTAATCACCTTCCTTCGCGATAGCCTAACTACCACGCTGCGCCTGCTGCGAACGCCGCTCTCCCTCCTCCTCGGACTGTACCTTCTCGCCGTCACCGCCGCATACTGCTACCGCGCCCTGTCGATACCTATTACGCGCGCGCTCCTCCCGCTATGCAACATACCGGGGGTCTCGCTGCTAGATATACCGTTGTGTAACAATGCATATACCGCGACCCCGACGCGCACGTCGAGAACGGACTTTAAGGCCCTGGTCGACCTGCAGACTTCCTTCGAGGACATCATTGAGAAAGCAGCCAGCGGCTCAGGCTTGGGTAATGACCTGAAGAAGTCGGAGTTCGCAGTGTCGGACTTGAATACGCTGGTCCGCAGTTCAACACTCGAGTGCCGGTCTTGCTCCTTCTTCCCCCGCCCCGCAACCCACCGCTAACAGAAACAGAGATGAGCTCTCCATCCGCCTCGAAGACTTCATCACAGGCGCCAAGCGCACCTCCAAAGATCTCACACGCTTCAGCTCCAGAGTCTCCGGCGTTGTCGACTCCATCATTTCCATCGACACCTTCGCTCTCCGCACGCTCTCCGCCGCCCGCGCAATCGAGCTCTCTGCAACCCCACATAACCCCGTGGTCCAATACGCACTTGCGCCGTTCCGGCGCTTCACAGCAATGGCGGACGCAGAGGCGTCTGTCATGGACACCTTTATAAAGGCGGGCAATGTCATGGAGGAGAACATCAGGAGGTTGGTGTTTCAGGCCAAAGGGTTGTTGGAGGATCTGGAGACGATGGAAGAAAAGTTGAGAGTCATACATGAGGTTGTGGCGAGGGAGGGGAATGTTGTTAATGAGGCATATGACGATGTGGTATGTCTCCCTTAATACCCACACCTCTCACCTCCGTACCGGGCGCTGACAGAAAATAGCTATCTCAACTATGGACGCTCCTCGGCGGCAACCGCAGCGTCCTCGGCCGCTACGAGTCGCAACTGGCACTCCTCAACGACCTCGCCGGCTATCGTGGAAAAGCGATGGCGCATGTGCGTGTGTCGCTAATGCGGTTGGAGAAGATGCAGACGGACCTGGAGGATCTGAGAGAACATATGGCGAGGCCCGGGGTGCTGGCGGAGGCAGGAATGGAGGGGCTGCCGTTGGAGGTGCAGATGGAGACGATTAGAAGGGGTGTGGAGAGGTTGAAGAGCAGTATGGAGAGGGCGAAGGGGGTGACGGATAGGTAGATTTCCCTCTCCTGTGTTTCTGATTTACCGTTTCGGAGGGTCTGCTGTAAGCGGGGCCTGGGTGGCCGAAAGAGCGGGGGTGCGGGAAAGCGTGGGTTGGCTAATAGTGGGTATGTAGGCAACATGAGAGTATGCTAGCGCAGCATACCGAGAGTACCATTGGGATAGAACAGATGCTGGACGGATGAGCTCTCAGAGGAGATATGTTGTTTTGAGGGGATTTGCAGGGTTTTTCTCTTGTTTCCTGGACTGGGTTGGAATCGGGGCTGTTATTATTGGGCTGAGATGGGATATCTTTTCTGTTTTTGCTTCTTTCGTGTATTTTTATTATTGCTCTCGTTTTTTTGTTTTTTTTTAATCGTTTTTATTGGTTTTTATTGTGTCTGGTCTTTGGTTTCCGGTGTCTTATTTGTAAAAGTGTGTAAAGCAGTAAAAGTGTGTACATGGCGCAACCGGAAAATAAACATTCTGTTTACTATGTAATTAGCTGGTCTGATTAGTTAGAAACGGGGTCATGAACCATCACTCGCCGCCTGCGTGGAAACATGCCCATATGATCATTGACTCCGAGTGACGGGCTTGGCATTGCATCATTGAAATTGGTGGAGTGGGCGGTGGGGACACAACGTAAAGCTCAGATGTTACCAGGCTAGTGGTGATCCGATTCGTATATCTGAAGTCTGGATTGGTGTCGAAAATGTCGCTCGGGCTGTTCTGCTCTGTCGCTCGGCTGGTTGGAGAATGGAAGTACATGTAGTGATGGTTGATGATGGGGATTAAGCGGTCGTGACAGCTCAACTTATAGGGCCTCGAAACTAACACATATCCTGAACCGCTTACAGCCACATAAGATTTGCAACGTGTTTGGACATCTAGCCCAGATAATCCGTCCCGCCAGGATGGTGGCTCTGCGCTGAGAAGCCGGGAACGGGACGCCAGTACTCCACACTAGCGGGCAACCACATTTGGGGGAGTTGCATGGTGGCCCGAGCTAGGGTAAAGACATCGTTACCGCTACCGTCTCCCAGCGATAATGCCGTTGAAGCAACGTCGCTGGATCAATTGCAACAGCACCAGCACCACATATAGGCTAGAGACGCTTGGGAGCGGTATGCCTGAGGATTGTGAATTGACCACAGAAGCTGAAATGACGAGAATCGAGCGGCATCTAAGTGCGAAGACTTAGGTTGGACGCCTCTCGGAATTTCCCTGGACAGCACGGTGGCTCAAATACATTCGAGGAACCCCACACACCGCCCGCCGCACGCAGTGAGATACCGTTCGGGACAATCAATTCACAATTAGGAGCGTTTGGCTTCGTCTTCCAGTACGAGAGCAATCATTGAGATCTGAGTATTTTCCCGTGCAAGATTTGAAATACATTTGGCCTCGTGGTACATAACAGAAAGCATGGCAAGAAGTCCTTTCCCCAATATATCCCCTACAAAAGTCCTGGAACAAAATGGACACTCCTACCATTCGCTGCCCACCCACGTGATCGGACTTGATGTTTGCGATCTAGGCCGATAAAAAGGAGTTTGATAGATGTTATGGGTCCCACTAGTAGTGCTTAAATAAGCGTCGAATTACCACTTTAGCTCTCCCAACTTACTACGATACACTACTCCCCACACACACTCGAACATCATATATCTTTGAAAAGCAGCAGAGTATACGAAGAGTGCATGCTCGAGTTTGGAAGAGGGAGTACACTGGTGGAAAGTCATTATTATTACAGCTAGTTAAGGGGAATGGAGGGGTTCAACGGGGGTAGCTAAGGGTTTCTGTTTGTAAGCCAAAGGCTTTAGGGGGGCTGGGGGACCGGCGGAAGAATTCATTCGATCTTGATTCATGGAGGATATGAAGGAGGCTTTGGGATTTAACTAACTCTTCATTTACTATCTTACACCGTATTCCTTACGTATTGATTTGAATAGATCTCTCGGCTTTAACTGAAAGATCAAACTGTACCGTTCATCGTATCAACCACGTCTATAATTTGGTGAGAGAAACTGCGTAAAGAAGGCTCGCAAAGCCTGTATGATTTATATAACGATTGAGTCAATCCCCATCGTTCAACATGCACTGCGAACAGTACGGGGCGGTCCTTTTGTTCCCACTTTGCCTTTCATTAATAGTTGAAACAAGTATCGTTTACGAACTCCAGGCTAGTACGACCTACGAAAGCGACATCTCAATCTTAGACAAAAACGCAACAACAATATAACATCTACAAGAAACCTAAACCCAAGCCTGATGATCTAGTCATACTCTGTCCAGTCGTGCATGATCGGACTTGAGTTAGCAGTAGAACTACTAAAACGGCGTCGATCGAGCTATTGGAGACGCTACTAGTGTCAATTCAGGAAGACTTTCGCCGTTGTGTTTCTAATAACTGATTCCATTGTAACCATTCCTGCTCCATATATCACCAATCTTATATTTACAGCGCTAGTTTACATAGCAACCCCCATCATGTTCCTTTTACGTGAAATAACAACCGGGCGTAACCGTCAAGTCGACAATTGATCTCTGAATATATAGTTGATTCAGTTCTAACTATTCGAGCAACGATTTCACCATGTACACCCAATATCAGTTTTGCTGAATTCGTTGCCATGGCAATCAGCGTGCTCTCTTTAATGAGATAGTCAACGGATCACCCGACTGCCACTCAACAGGTCTCTATTAAACTTACCATCAGCAATTAGTATTTAATAGCTGATTTAGTCATAACCATCCTCCAGGCACAGCGCCGTGCGTAGTCGGCCCGAGTCTCTCTTACCGGTTGCCATAACAACCAGCATCGCTCCAGCCCAACCACCAACGGCGCCTTAGCCAGCCCATCCACGAATCCCCCCACCAGAGAACATTTCCAACAGACCTACCCACAGCTAGCCGTCTGAGTACTTCGTTACTCTCCCCCCCCCCCCCCCCCCTTCCCCGCGCCGCACCACCCATCATATATCGACTTACGGACTCCCGCGCCCGTCGTTTTGGCCTAGCAAACTAGCCGAGTGATACACCATGACGCACTCTCTGCACCCCCCCCCCCGGGGCGGGGGCCAATACGCGCATTAAGGGCAACTAGACTAATATCTACCAGCCAATCAACCCATGAAGAAAGAAGTGTTTTAACCCAACTCCCAGCATATATCTTACCAACCGGCAGGTCTCCTCCGACTATGATAGGCACTTCTAGACACACATATGGGCACACAGCTACCAGATACCAACCCCGTGTATGCGGCTGTGGCGCTCCGTCAATCGATAATGCTAGACTTATATATATACCGGACTCACGTATCTAGCCATGGTAGGTATCCGGAGTCGAGACTGAGTACCAGGCTCCGATCACCGCCTAGTCATATAACGAAACTAAGTACCTACACTCTACTACACACAGCAGAGCCTATATATCGCCGGGCACTGTACTAAACGAGCTCTATATAGCCTGGGTCATTCAAAAGCCTCACCCAGTGCTACCTCGTATCTAGTGATCCGGTTGCTATGGAGATGGGAGAGATACGACCGTCTCCAGCTATAATTAAAGTCTCCTAATTAAGCCAGGGAAATCATTTCACCTAGGGTCATGCGTATTCAGCGGCGGCAGGACAAGCCGGCCGGCTCTTGGATAGGTTGTGTGAACCTAACCCTGATTGCAACATATATCAAACTGATTGGGCCCTCTATAGACTAGAGCTCTCAGGTGTATGTAGCTTCGGGAAACATTGGATCGAACATCGCCACCTCTCCTGGGCTCATGCAGATTTTTTGGGTACTAGCTGTTGATTTCATGCCGTTATCCCATGAACCGTAGAAGCCTGAGGTCCCAATTGGGTACTTTGCAACTCTAACCTCGATAAAAACACAAAAACTATATAATCCAGCCCTGTTCACTAATAACAAAGAAGCGGGAAAGTTTATCAACCGATCCCAATAAGAACTCCTAATATAGTACTCACGAAGCTGGTGTTGCTGTGAATTTAAGAAAGGTCACTTTATTTCAAGTGGGACCCAATCGGGTCCTTAACTCGGTTGCTACGGTTGATGGGATATCAGATCAAGGATACAACGAGAGGAAAAGTACGTCTATAAGTGTATATTTCAGTTCGTTTTACAGAGCTTCCCCGGTTAGCTGATCGGGACTTTATATCGTGCATGAGAACGTGCCAAAGGAACAAAAAAAAAAGCATAAAACACAAACGCAAACGAAGACGAAGAAAAAAAAACAGGAAAGAGACATCCATTAGTACCCACCAACCCATACCACCCAGCACTCGCCATCGCCATCGCCACCACCAAAGCCCAATCCAAGCCAAATCAAGAAAAACACAACCCCGCGCCCCCCCCCCCCCCGCTTTCCCCAAGTCTCACCTTACTTACTCCTCCTCCTCCTCCTCCTCCTCCTCCTGCATCTCCTCCGCACTCATCGCCTTCTCAATGACCCTCAGCGTCCCCCTCAACGGCAGCCCCACCACATTATCAAACGTGCCCTCGATCCTCTTCACCAGAATGCTGCCCGTCCCTTGTATCGCATAACCCCCTGCCTTATCCGCCCCCTCCCGCGTCTTCACATACGCCTCCAACAGGTCGTCCGTCACCATCTTGTCAAACTCCACCACCGTCTCCTCCACATGGCTCTCCTGCGCATACCCTGGGTGCACCACCGTCTCCAGCGGCACCATTGCCACGACCGCCGTGTACCTATCCCCTCACATCCTCAATCAGCACAGTCACCCCCATCCCAAAAGGCAGAAAGAACAACTACTCACACTTTATGCGGCATCCCATCCCTCAGCGTCTTCAGCATTGCCAGATGCCCCTCCTCGCTCCGCGGCTTCTCCATGATCTCGCCATCATACGTGACAATGACCGTGTCAGCCGCAATGACGATCGCCGGCTCGCCCAGCGCCTCGTTGTCGATCTCAGTCTTGTACACGTCCGCACACTTGTTTGTTGCCGTGGCGAGCACGTACTCGAAGGGCGTATAGTGCGACTTGTCGAGGTTCTCGGCGAACCTGGAGGGGATGACCTCGATGTCTGTTAGGCCGATCTACGGGCTGTTAGTTTCTAGTTTGTGGGCCCTGCGTGGGAGGATAGGGGGAAAGGGGAGGTACTTGGGAGAGGAGCTGCTTGCGGCGCGGGCTGGCAGAGGCGAGGATCACGCGCTTGCCGCGGAGCGCGTTGAGCGCAGGGAGGGAGAGGGGCGCGCGGGGCCGCGGCGACTTGGTGCGGGTGTAGGGTGGGGGTGCGGTGCTGCTGGGGGCGGAGGCGCTGTCAGGGAGGCGGATGGCGCCTGGGGTCGGGTTGTCGCCGCCGAGGAGGGTGTTGTAGAGCCACGATGCCATTGTTGTTTGTGGGCGGTGAGTTTGGGGTTTGGGTTCGGGTTCGGGTTTGGGTGCTAAGGTTGAGCGTGGGTTCGGTGATAGGGGTACGGTGAGGTGTGGGTGTGTGGAGTGGAGCTTGGGAGGTTTTTCCGCGTCAGCTTGAACAGCTCAGGGTCGTTGCTGTGGTGATGGTGATGGGTGTGTTGGCTGGGCGGCAGGGGTGGAGGGCGTTTAGTAAACTACAATTGATGGTGGGGATTATTATTATTTAGTTGGAAAAAGAAATATAGGGAGGACCCAAATCGGGGGACGGTGCTGCTACTCTACTGCGACAGCGGGATTGGGGTGTGGTGCCGGAGTTAGGGGGTTGCTTGGTAATGAGATGTCGATGTGAAATCAGTTTCGCCATTTCTCACCGGGCTACATACTGTAGAGAGACAGAGCACTCAGTATTGCTCGAGATCGCGCCATTGGAATGTAGAGTAACGGCGGGAGGCGCTGCCCCTGCGCCGTGGAAAGTGCACGGCTACGATCTTTGGCTTTCGAATGATGGTTACATACCATATAATAGCTGTCCTTAGAATACCGACGGAGTGTCCTTTCGAAAGCTGGCCAGCTGAACCCACAGGGCCTCAAAAACACTATCATCTTGGAGATGCACATGTATCTATATATGGCTGGACGATAATATATTCTCGCAGAGCTTTCTTTTATCCACTGGACCATGTTTTAGAGGAAGAACCGCGGTTAATCTCCAAAGCGAGTGATAACAGGTGTCTCGCTAGTAATGCTGTCCCTTTTGAGACTAGAGTAGAATAGTAAACGTGTCATGAATTGGGACCACGTTTATTAGAGACCACATCCTAGGGACGTCCTCTCGACCAATTGATAGTGTGTTTACTCTACTCTATCTCTAGATCTGTTGCCTTGCATCTTCATACTCGATCAGTATTCATCCGCAGCGCTGCCCCGGCCCCTGACACTGCCTCGGATCTAAAACGCTATTAAGTCTGCTTATAAATGTGCAACACCAAGATGCCATCGTGTGTGGAATTTACAGGCCACTCAATGATTCTAAGCAAGTGTCCGTAGGACCACGAGGAGAAGAAGAAAAAGAAGAAGAAGAAGAACAAGTAGGAGGCGGAGGACGAGGTTTCTGCATCTCGGCCAACCTCTGCAATTGCCAAAAGGAAAGAAACCCTTCAAGATCTCAGGCTCCACAGCGGGTCTTCCGTCAATCGGACGTGTTCCGGCAACAACAACTAGCGTCACAAGCGCTCTGTATGCCGAGGCACCAAGGTTCCCTCTCCACCACTAGTACTACTTTCTCCCCTAACCCTTCCTTGGTTTAATTCGTTCCTGATTTCTAATGGTGGGCCCTACAGCCTGACGACAGAACACCGCAGAACGAAATCCCACCCAGCTGGGAAAGGTGTGACGTTGCCATGATTCTGCCCTACTCTAAAAAAAATGCAATTTCAAGCTGCTCCCCCAGGTGGGCTTTGTTGCAAACCCGCCAACCTTCGGGGGTAGAGGGCAGATGGAAGGGCATGGCATGGCATGGCATCCCATCCCATCCCATCCCACCCCCCGCCATGGAACCAGCTAGCTTGTCGCTGCTGAATTGAGGTGGACGGAGCATCTATCTTTCCGAGCCTTACAAATTGAAACTACTTCATCTTCTTCTTCATGGGCCGATAGCTAGATATAAAGCAACCCCCTTCTCAGTCCCCACCGATATCCCACCTCCAATTCCATCCGATACACACAGCAATCCACCCAATTACCTCCAACCAACAGCACCCAAAGCCCCCCCCAATTTATAACATCCACAATGGTTCAAAACAAAGCCATCGTCTTCAAGTCCGTCCCACACGGGTACCCCAACTCCGACAACCTACGCCTCGAAACCCTCTCCGTCGACCTCGATGCCGTCCCCGCCGGCGGCATGATCCTGAAGAACGGAGTCGTCTCCTTCGACCCCTACATGCGCGGCCGCATGCGCCCCGCCGAGACCAAGTCCTACTCCGCCGCCTTCGCCCTCAACGCCCCGATCGACAGCGCCGGCGTCTCAAAGGTCGTAAAGTCCGACTCACCGGACTTTAAGGTGGGCGACATCGTCACTGGGCATGTCGGGATGGAGGAGTACGCCGTTGTGCCAAAGGAGAGGCTCGGCGGTTTCAAGGTCCTGGATAACAAAGAGGGACTTCCGCCCAGCTACTACCTTGGTATCTTGGGCATGCCCGGATTGACCGCCTAGTGAGTATTTTCCACCCTCTTCACCACCGGTGCGTTCGCATCTGAAGCCAATGGTAATTAAACTAACATACACATCCCCCAGCTCCTCGTTCTACGAGATCGGCAAGCCCAAGAAGGGCGAAACCATCTTCGTCTCCGCCGCCTCTGGCGCCGTCGGCGCCATCGTCGGCCAGCTCGCCAAGCGCGAAGGCCTTCGCGTCGTCGGATCCGCCGGCACCGACGAGAAGGTCGCCTTCCTCAAGTCCGAACTCGGCTTCGACGCCGCCTTCAACTACAAGACGGAGTCGCCCTCCGCGGCGCTCAAGAAGCACGCGCCCGAGGGCATCGACATCTACTACGACAATGTCGGCGGCGAGACGCTCGACGCGGCGCTGGACGCCGCAAAGGACTTTGCGCGCTTCATCGAGTGCGGAATGATCTCGCAGTATAATCTAAAGAGCAAGGACGAGATATATGGGCTCAAGAACACTATGCAGATTGTGGCCAAGAGGTTGACGATTAGGGGGTTCATCGTGGGCGATAAGGACTTCGGCCCGAAGTATTCGAAGGAGCACCAGGAGAATATTAGGAAGTGGCTGGTGAACAAGGAGTTTGTGTATCGCGAGACGGTGACGGAGGGGTTGGAGAATGCCGTGGACGGGTTTGTGGGGATGCTGAAGGGGGAGAACTTTGGGAAGGCTTCGTTGAAGGTATTTTGCTTCCTCCCCACCTGACCCTGATATCAATTCAAATACTGTAGATCATATGAATAGTCCGCTGACATGATAATAGATCGCCGATCTCGAGTAGGTTGCATCCTTTTGTTAAATCCCACCATTGTATAGTACAAGGAGTTAGGTTATAGGGTGGGGGTGGGGGATCTTGCTTTTGGGGAACTGTTATTTCTAACACGAGTGCTGTTGTTGATAGCCACGCCGGCGAGAGTAAGCTGTAAGATGCACGTTGTAGTTCTGTATCATTATTAGGAAAAAACGAAAGTTGAGAAGGGAACCCTGCTGGATAGGATAGCGAGGGGCGGGCGGGGACGGAGAGGCAATGGGAGGGGGGATTTACGATACCTGATCTGAGAATTGAAAGAGAATTGAAATAAATGACAAACGAATTGAAACTTCTAATGATGACTTACAACATGTGGGACCAATGATTACCGCGCCGGTAAACTGATAAAAAGCCATACTGCCCCGATTAGTAACCCCCTTGACAAACCTTGGCAAACCTATCTCACGTCGCACCTACCCCGCACACAGCCAGAGAATAAAAATACGTAAACAAAGAGCTTGTGCAAGCGTACTTGGTCTAACGGTTATGATTTTCGCTTCCCAAGCGGGAGAACGGGGTTCGACTCCCCGAGTACGCATCTCATCTACCTCCCCATCCGTAGAGAATATGTCTGGGGAGGAGATTGACCCCCTTTGCCTTATCGGTTTTTTTTCTTTCTCTTTTTTCTCTGTTTTTTTGGTTGGTAGCGATGTATGCAAGGGGCCGTCTCGTGGATTCACTACATGTCCATATGATGAATGGTGGGGGCCGGTCCATCCTGTACTGGTCTGAGCTAAGCTAGGGTGTATACCAGCTATAGGGGCAACGTGCATGGAAACAATCATTCTGGAAAAGGACCTTTTATTTTCACGTTGGACTGGACGGGAGATAGAGGCAGCATCAATATTGGCGTGACTTTTAGATACATGTATGTAGCGTAGCTATAGTCCACGAGGACGACGGGTGTCTTTGTGTCATTGCCTGGATCCGAGGACGATGGTACAGAAGGACGAGGATCAGCCTCGAGGACTTGCTCAAGGGATTGGCTCTATTATTGCTGTTGTGCGGTGTGTGTTTCAGAAGGACATTTATTCTGTTCTCGCTGAATCTCTAGCTCTGCAGGTGGGTTGCGAACCATTGTAGTTGACGCAGGTCATTCACCAAGTATCTATCTACCGTCCTGGCTGGCTATAGTTGACGAATATATATATATGGGTAAGAACAGGAATTGAAGATTAACTAACTAACTGGGTGTTCTTTATATATGATCCATATTATTGCCCGGAATTCTAGTACTATAGCTACCGGCGCAGCTTGGATGGCGCACCGCATGGGCTGGGGCGGGATGGGATGGGTTGGTTTGAAGAGTATCGTTTTGTCCACAGGTGTGCGTCTTTTAACGGTATCACGATCATTGATAGCAACCGACCTAAGTAGCTGGCCTCAACTGTCAATGATTAAAAGGCTCATAACGCTCACATGGACGGGCCAAGCTTGAAGGCCGCGCTTGATACCAGGCTCTAGCTCTGTTTTGTATTTCCGGAGAGCTGAAAAGCCTAATCTTGCTTTCAATTTACTTTTGCTTTTTGAAATATCTGAAAAGGGATATCTAGTACAGGCCTTCCAATGATCGAGCCGCCTGCACAGTCTTTACAATAACAGAAAACCGGGAATATAAGCCTCCCTGGTTACTCTACTTATCAGGCATGACGATAGAGTATAACCTGCTAGACCGTACTCTCGCACTCACCGCGGCCCAAGACTCGAGCTTCTCTCTGCCTACTGTATGTTTACCATATCCCCCTACATACGCACCAGGATGACGTTATCATCCAAGCGAACCCTCTACCTCTATGTACCAGTGAGTGCCCATTCACATCTTGGCGTCTACGATTCCAATCATCCAGTAGATACGCACAACCCCGAAAGGGCCATCCCTACTAACCCACCAAACCTTACCCCACATAGGGCTGTCTTCCCGACCGATCAGTCCATCCCTGTCCCACCACGCCTTAGCACGGCACACTCCAACCCCCTACCCCGGAGATCAAGTTGTCCCTGCAGTGCATTGCATTGCAGCGACTCAGTATGTGCAACATCACCACCTCAGGTACTTTTCTTCGGAGCCTACCGAACACGCCCATGGCCCCCGAGGGAGGTACTGGGCAGGAGGCATAGGTACAAATAGCCCCCTCCCCTCCGATCATTGCCCCAACACACCTCTCCCATCATTGACCGTGCAGAGTACCTTCAATGGCACCACCACGCCCCACTGCCCGCCTCCTCACCCTCGCAGCCCTCACCGCCCTCACCGCGGCCACCAGCAGCACCCCCGACTGCCGCTGCTTCCCCACAGACCCCTGCTGGCCCTCCCCCGCCGACTGGGCCGCCCTTAACACCACCGTCTCGGGCCGCCTCGTCGCCACCGTCCCCATCGGGTCCGTCTGCCACGCGCCTAATTATGACGCGGAAAAATGCAAGGCCCTGCAAGGCACCTGGCACGACCCGGCCGCCCACGACGAGTCCTCGTCATCCATCATGGCGCCCGTGTGGGCGGCGCAGAGCTGCGACCCCTTCACGGACCCGAGCACGCCGTGCGAGTTGGGCAACTATGTGCGGTATGCCATCAATGTGACGGAGCCCGCAGATATCGCGGCGGGCATTGCGTTCGCGAAGGAGCACAATGTAAGGCTGGTGGTGCGGAACACGGGGCACGACTATCTGGGCAAGTCGACAGGTGCGGGGGCCCTCGCAGTGTGGACTCACCATCTGAAGAACATCACGTACATCCCGGCCTATAGTGGGGCGGCGAACTGGACGGGGGCGGCGATGAAGTTAGGAGCGGGTGTGCAGGGGTTTGAGGCGTATCGGGCGGCGGATTCGTATGGTATGAGTGTGGTGGGGGGCGAGTGCGATACGGTGGGTATTGCGGGCGGGTATACGCAGGGGGGTGGACACAGCGCGTTGATGTCGAGGTATGGGCTCGCGGCGGACCAGGTGCTTGAGTGGGAGGTTGTGACGGCGGACGGGAAGCACCGCGTGGCGAATCGGAAGAAGAACAGTGATCTGTATTGGGCGCTGAGCGGCGGCGGTGGAGGCACATATGGTGTGGTGACGTCCATGACGGTGAAGGCGCATCCGGATGTGGTGACTTCGGCCGCGAGATTGACGTTTACGCATGATGGGAGTGCGGAGATGGTAGAGAAGTGGTATGACGCCTTGGATTTCTTCCATCAGATGACGCCGTTGTATACAGACCGCGGGGCCTTCAGTGTCAACGTGTATTTTACGGGATCTTTTTCTCTGGGCCCATGGTTTGGGCCCGGCCTCACAAAGGCCGAGAGTGAGGAGCTTTTGGCACCGCTGGTCGCGAAGCTGGATGAGCTGGAGCTACCATACACGTACAATATGACTGAGTTCCCGTCGTATCTGTCTGCGTTCAACGACATGTTTGACTACATTTCAGTTGGTATCGCGCAGTACGGTGGCCGCCTCATTCCCCGAAAGACTGTGCTGGAGAACCGTGAGGGACTGAACAAGGCGATTCGTGGGATCGTTGATACCGGGTCATTGATCTTCGAGGTCACCACCCATCCGACATTGGAGGTTGCTGGGTATCCTAACAACGCGGTGCTCCCGGCGTGGAGAGACAATGAGTTGAATATCGTTGTCACCATGTAAGCATTGGCCCTATCTCAAACATGCAGAGCTAGATATACTAACAATTGTGATAGTCCCTGGAACGACACGGCACCAATGTCGAAAGCCTATGCCGACCAAAAGACCATCACCAACGTGTGGGACGCCGCGCTCCGCGAGATTGCCCCAGACTCGGGCGTGTACATGAACGAGGCCGACCCATATGAGCCAAACTTCCAGAAGGAGTTCTTTGGCGTGAACTATGACCGCCTGCTCAAGATCAAGGACAAGTATGATCCGGAGCACATCTTCTACGCGATCACTGCGGTTGGTAGCGACAGGTGGATGGTGGAGGATAGCGGCAGGCTGTGCAGAAGTGGGTGATTCTCTTTTCTTTCTTTCTCTGGGTTCGAACTGATGGATTAGGCGGGGTGGGGATGCATGATGAGTTGTAGGAGATGGGGGCTAGCTTTCTTTCCCTCTTTAATATATAGTGGATTGTTAAGCAATGTAGAAGAAGAAGCGGTGGGCGTTTAATATGTGCGGTTAGCTGCAGTATAAGTATATCATGTTTAGACACTCACCCATAATCGAAAATATTCACCGAGAAACCCGCTGCACATGCAGAGTCAATCAGGCATCCGAACATGAGACAGCCGACCAGCGGTAAATGAGTAATTTAGGTACACATAAATAGATGATACCGCGCGGGCGGAAACTAAGCATCGATCCATCTCAGCAGCCAGCATTAATAAACAGCAGAAAAACCGACCAACATTTAGAAATGCAAAGGTACATACACTAGTGACGTGAGTCGAATTAACTTACATGTAATCAATATACATATATGCGGAGTGCATGTAGTTGGGAAGTCTAGATCTAGATGTTGTGATAGTAAGGGGACATCCCCTCGTTTCTTATTCTCCACTCTAATAGACACCTAAGCTATTACTCACAACGTGGCTCTAGCTCTCCGCTCTCCGCTTGCATCTATTACCAGCCAAAAATAAGGGTTCTTACCCACCCCGTGCTGAGATATACACCCGAGTGACACCCTATGAACGTAACACAGCTCCATGCACATAGCCAGCATGTCTCACCTCCCCACCCTAGACAGACAAACAGACAAACATGTGACGCAACCACCACCCACTGGTTGCCTGAAGAAGCGGCTGCCTGGAGCCCATTCACACCCACTTATACGTATGTGGTCGAGGGAGTCTTCTTTATCACCTCCACCACCACCACTCCACCACCACCACTCCACCACTCCACCACTCCACGCAACGTATAACACAGATCCTAACTACACAGCTATCCCCATAATCACAGTAATAAGAATATTCACAATGGGGTAAGCCATCCCCGCCGCAAGGACCCTACGTAACTACATGTACCTACAACTAACCCACTCACCCCCTCCCAGCAACGGCCAGTTCAAGCTCTACTTCCCCTCCCACGCCATGCCGTTCATCATCCCCAACGCCGAGATCCCCGTGTGTCCCCCTCCCCCTCCCCTCCCCCTCCCTCTCCCCACACTAACACCCCCTAGAACATCGTCGCCATGATAAACCTCATGCTCAAAGACATGGAGACCAAAGGCGTAACCAAAGCCGGCGGCTTCACCTTCCCCGCCTCCGATGGCTTCGGCGCAACAATAAGCATCGAGATGCCCACCCCCGGCGACTGGATCCTCGTCGACACCTACTACTCAACCGTCATCCACCAGGCCGTTGCGAAGAGCACGGTGAGGGGCTCAGGCACGTATATGGTCCTGCCGATGAAGGATGCGGGGCTCAGTGCGGCGGATTTGAAGGCTGCGTGTGCGAAGGCCGCAGCGGGGGCTAAGGCCGCGGCGGAGCTGGTATCGCCGCCGCGGTATGAGGCGATGCCGACGGCGAGTGCGGTGGTGGCGAGGGCGGTAGTGGCGGCGAGGGCGTTGAAGTAGGCGAAAATGTAGGGGTGCGGCGTGGTGGGGTGGTGGTGCGTGGCGGTTAGGTGATGGGGGTGGTGCGGGGGTGGTGCGGCCTTCCCCGCCCGGTGTTTTGTTTTGGTGTTTTGTCTTGAGGTTTGGGTTGGGTGATATTTTGTGCTTTTGGCTATTTATTGTTTCTTCATTCTTATTTACGGTTATCATGTTATTCTTATCCTATCCCTATCGTACACGACCCATATATGTTTTTCGCACAAAACCACTTCTCATAAATCCACAAGTGAAGTGCACTACCACCTAAAACCGCAATACGAAGTGCTACCGCCTGATCCCCCCGCACCGCCCGTCCACAGCCCCTCATGCATTGCCCGTGAAGTGCAGATAAGCCCTCGCTTAACCCCCACCCCACCCAACCGTTGATCTGCACTTCCGCAACCAACACAGCCCCGGTTCCTGCCACTGTGTAGTAGTACAATGTCGTGGTTAGTAATCATTGACCTTGCTGGTACACTGCTGCCTTGTGCGTGTGCTGGGGTCATGGATATCAGTTATGAGTAACTCGGCGAGCGATATAAACCCGCCAAACTCGCAGTTCACACTACAGTATTTAATTCTCCTCAAGAGCCAAGTAAGAGAATCAAGAAACAGCTCCGCACGCGAGATCTATAACCACCGTACAATAACCATGGGGTACACCCACCCCACCCCACCCCACCCCCACAGTCCTAGCTAACGTACACCTCCAGAAACGCTCAAATCAAGCTCCTCTTCCCCGGCCACGACATCCCCTTCACCGTCCCGTTCCATCACTCCTCCGTACTCGCCCCCCCCCCCCCCCTCTCTTCTCCCCTTCTCTCCACCCGCACTGACACCACCACCACATAGGAACTCAGCGACAAGATCAACAGGATCCTCGCGGACCTCGGCCCCAGCACCAACCTGAAAAAGGGCGAGTGGCTCCTGGCAGACGTGGCGGGCGCAGAGCTGCTGCATAATACGTGTTTGGCGAGGGTGAAGAGTGATAGGACGTATCTGGTGGTGGATATAAAGGAGGCGGGGAAGGTGAAGGTGGCCGGGGCGGCGACGGCGACAGGGACGGAGGTGGCAACGGGAGAGGCGGTGGGGAAGGGGGTCGGGCCGCCGCCAGGGTATGAGGGGTAGAGTGGGTGTGCGTGGGGGAATGGAGGGGGTCCTGTGCATGCTTATGCTTAGTTGCTGAAATTGATCGTTGTCCACGGCGTAATTGTTTGATAAGATGTAATTTAGCTTGGGAGTAGATGGTTGAACCTGGCCCGTGAGAGGTTAGTATGCTTTTCGGTGTTTGTGAAGCTGGGTTGACAGGCCAGTAAGGCTAAGCCTGGAGAGGCCGCTGGCTCATTGAATTGACGTCTGTAGAATATGGTTTCAGCCTAAAAAGGTACATACATGTATGTAGGGCTGATTCAGTGTTGTAGGTTTTCGAAGGTTAGCTGGTAATCTCTTTCCCTAGACATAACGTGTATGTAGCTTTCATTATAATCGAGTAAAACCGCCCCCAACCAACGCCCCCACCCCAATTCAGTCTGGTGAAACTTTCTATAGCTAAGCGAACAGAAGCCGTCCTTTTCAACTGAACACAATAACCTCATATTAATGAAAACTATGAAGGTACAGTGGATAGTTTCGTTGACTTACGGCACGTGATCGAGTGATTATCTATGATTCTAATTACCAGTTCTAGTTTCCAGGTGCAGCAACTACAACCAGGCGCGAGGAGTGGTTCTTTCAATAATTAACATAACCTGTCCTAGATATTATTGGGTACCAATTCATAAGTGCGACTTACTAAGTGTGACATATCAAACAGAGAACCTTTCGTTTTGAAAGTCCTGACCTTTTTTTCTCCCGTGAAGGAAAGAGCTGAAAAATAAAACGTTGCAGCGCAGGTAGAGTGGCTATGTAAGATAGTTGTGGGGAATGCGATGACATGTGGTGCTTATGACGAATGACAGATCACAATGGTCACGGTGTCCTCGCTAGTTAGATTTGCCTACGGCTACATTCCTTTATGTCTCTCTTTCTTTCTTTCATCTGTTCATCATCAGTATAATCATTCGAGATTTGTTTTACTTTTAATAACTGGTCTCGAGCCGAGGATTCCTCCTGTCATTCACATGGGACCAAAATCTATTCTGAACTCCTAGTTCGATCCAAAAGGTTGACGACAATATATTTGCCAAGGTTGCAGTCTACAATGACAGATGTCTAGAACCCGCTTAATATTATAGCAATTCACCTTCCTAAACCTCCTAAAGGTAAAGCAGGTATTTGCTCTAGTGCTCTTCCGCTAACCTTCAGGATACTCATATAACCTTGGCTAAGGCTTATGTGTGTTTTCATCTAGAGATAGAAATAGGCCTTTGGTTGGGCCTGCATGCCCCGGCTAGTGAGGTCTTGGAATATTTGAGGCTCGGGCCTTATGCGCATACCCGGACCGGCCTTGCAATGCTTGCAACATCCTCAAATACTATGTTACTCTACGAGAGAAACTCTCAAGAAATATCGGACTAAGCTCCGCTCTTGTAAACCTGGATTCGACATCTCGATTGTTGGTTCCGCTGCTTTCTTTTCTTTCATGGTGCGCTAATAGTCCATCCAGCTGCCGATCGTTAGTCACCGATCGTCATAGCTTCAATCAGGCAGTCACACGGGTCGGCGAGTGAGTGATCAGTCGCTAACAAAACGCACGAGCCGACTAAAAGCTGAGTACAAGTCGCAAGATAGTGCTAGGCACAGCCCGTGAGACACTAGGTAGACAGAAGCTACCACATACAAACCGTTCTATTCTCTAGATAGCGTGATAATTCTGCATCACTTGTAATTATTCGTTAGGGCTGAACCTGCGCTTCCTTCCACCATCAGAGGTATTCTGTGCTCGCACTCATGGCGCATCGAGGGCCAGTGGGACCTACCAGCCTTCGGGGTATATTTTCGCGTACCGCCCCTCTCCACTGCATACTTTTTAGACGCGAGCCTCTTCCATTAATGGTTTGGGTTGGGCGCACGCTTCACATCTCAGACTTCTCATTTAGACACTTATATATTATGGAAGAAATAACATGTCACATCGCGTGATCTCGGGATTTCGAAACTAGATTTAATATGCCATCGAGGCTGAGGGAGAAGCATCACTACGGCAACACCTTTGCTTCCAGAACATAGAGAGTGTTAGCGCAGTGCGATACCAGGAGGCAACCACCAGTCTACGCGATCTAGATGACCTCAAGTCTTTAATTCCATCGGCGGGTGTTTGCTCATATACTGTAGCTTGACGCTTTCTTTGCCGAGAATGTCATCGCACTTTGATATCACCTCTAACTTAAATAAGCTTGGCTTACGATAGATAACTTGGTGAGTCGATTGGAGAGGAGTTGGCTCGAGTCTTGCTTTATTCAATTTAGATCCAAGTACAGGTATAAATACGTCGGCCTATAGATAACACACCGTCCTATTAATGGATCTATTCTCATTCTGTGCAAAATATCATTGTATTCGATGTCCTCTTCAAAGGCAGAGCTCATTTCTTGGATACATGAATCTCTTACATAATCTATGTCTCACGAGCAGTATTGTAGTGACAAGTACGTGTATAATATGGCTAATTTCATCTAATACGCAACTTAACCAAACTCGTTACACTTTACAGCACAAGCTCCTGTGTCTATTCGCAAGTCCCAAATCCAAGTGTGACTATAATGATAGTGAGCATACCCACCCTCTACCTGTTTCTAGGGCCTATCATAGATAACTCGCATGTTAGTAGGGCTCGTCATCATAAGGTCCATAGCTATATAGTCTAGTCGCCGCTCTCAGGGTGATGATCATTCACCTAAATTCCGTTTAAAAAAAGCGAGCCGGTGAGACCGCACCAATGAGTGCCATACGGCCGTTGCCGTATACCTACATCTTTAGAGGTTCTGAGTTGAATATGTCCACTATACACTTTGCCTATCACTAGTTAATACCGTCATCTCCACAAAAACCTCACGGCAATCACAGTATCTCTCACTAAACTAACATGACTTTTTCAAACTAGCACGCTAACGACGATAGGTATTTACTACTTTACACTCTCTACAAATTAAGGGCTTGTGGTATCATCCCACACACATCGTTCTCCGTACGATGATCAGTAGTCAAAATAAGCTAAATAGAGGGATGCATAACAACGAGGATATATATATGGTACACTAAAACACGCTCGGCAGGCCACTACTCCGGCGGCGGAGGTACAAGGTATTTAAGTATCAGGAGCACTGCGATCCGAGTGAGTTGACACTCAGCTTCCCCGCCACAAAAGCTGCTCTGTGCGAAAAGCTGCTCAGTGTCACATGTGTCGGGCGTGAAGTACCGGATCTCCCCGACTGTTGCGTACTTTTTTCTCTCGGTTGCGCTTTTTTCTTTCCTTTTTCTCTTTTCTTCTTTTTTTCAATCTTTGCTTTTTTGGTGGGGTGGTTGGTTTGGTTCACTGACGATGATTCAGATTTCACACTAAAGTGCGAGTATGCGCGCGAGCGCAAGAAGCGAGGTAAAGCTTCTCGAAAGGATATCCAGCAGCAACAGGCTGCGGCCGCTGCAGCAGCGCAACAGATGGACAATTCCTCGCCAACGGACATGCGTCGGGCGTCTTCCGACCTGCCGCCGCCGCCCCGGCCTGGTAGCAGCAACGTTCGCAAGCAATCGTCATCCGCGGCAGCACTAGAACGTCGCTCGGTGATCTCCACGACATGTCGCAGCATCAAATGCAACCACCACCACCTCCCCCACAGCAACAACATCACCACCACCACCTTCCCACTCCTGAATCCCCATCACTACAACTGTCGCACGATGGCGTTCCCTCGGGTATGCCCATGCATTTCGATCGTATGTCCCCATTCCAACATCAATCGCCGAACGGCGCCGGGGCGCCATCACGAATGATGCCGGGGCAGTCGGCGCATGGGGGTATATCGCAGCCAGGGTCTGCCACGGCGAATGGATTTCCGGTGAATGAGTTTGTGCTATCACCCCAGGGTCACCGAGTCACGCGATGAATTTTTCAACAAGTGCTGCGTCACCATTGTCAGGGTTTTTGGGTGGGCACTCGCCTGAGGATGGATCGCCGTCATGCTCTCTATGCCCTCGCCTCCGACGCAGTCATATTCAGCTGGTATAAGGTATCCGTCTTGTTGCCGCTACTACCACACATAACACAGATTATCCCACCATTGCTTGCGTGTGACCTGTGGATCTGTACTTTACGAATCCTACGACTGCGTTCTTCCAGCCAGCTTCCCCATATGTGCTAACCCATATCTTCCGGAAGCGCTCGTCCTCCACCCCCACAACCCACGACAGACCTCCCCCGCTCTCCTTTGCGCCATGCTCTGGGTCGCTGCACAGACATGCGATGCCCCTTTCCTCGCTGCCTCCCCTGCTGCACGAGGAAGAGTGTGCCAGAAGCTTCTTGAGATATGCATTAGCCTTCTTCGGCCGCTTGTACATGTCAACTTGACACAGCCTGCACCCACGGACACCACCCCTCTGGAGAATCTGAGAACGGCTCCGCAGGTGTTGGCCTTGGTGGACTTGGAGGTGCACCTGGCGGTGGCCGGGAAGGTGTAGGTGCGGCGGGAACCCTGGACGATGTGCTCACATATGCGCATCTCGGTATTGTGATTTCAGCGAGCGAATTCAAGAGCGCATCACTACGATGGTGGCACTCAGCATGGACACTGGCGAGGGAATTGAAGCTGAACCGCGAACTCCCCGCCGAAAGTCTGGTTGACCAGATGGCGAGGACGACATGGATGGGCATCACTCGCCCTCTGATACAGGCCCGGGAAGCGTCCACTCACATCACACGGTCAGCAATGGCCGCATGTCTGTCAGCGAGGAGGATAAGGAGGAGCGCAGGCGGACATGGTGGCTGCTCTATGTGGTAGATCGCCACCTTGCTCTATGCTACAACCGCCCCATTGCGCTCTTAGATGTAGAGGTGCGAGAACCTTTACCTGCCTATGGACGATATTGCTTGGCAGAATGGAGACTTTTATACTCACGACCCTCACAACATGTACGCGCAGCACCCGTCCTCTCCGTCACATAGCGGTCTAGCGCATCGCCGTCTCGGGCCGTCGAACTTTGAGGTCACGGGAACAGGCTTATTCGAGTTTTTTTTACCGCTTATGACGATTCTTGGGGAAATAGTGGACCTCCACCATGCCAGGAATCGTCCCAAGTTTGGTGTGAGGCAGGCTGGTGCTGAGGGTACCGGTTCCTTTGGCGGAGGCTACGATGAGCTGGTACAGCAGATCACCCAGCAGTTGGATACGTATTCGCGCAGCCTGCAGGAGTTTGAATCGGCCAACAGTTCGGCGATCAAGGAACGGACTGAAGGCGGGATTAGTGAGGAGGGGCCCAAAAGAGGGGAATAAGCAGCTTTCGGAGGCCGACATCCAGCTGAAGATTGTTGTGTCATACGGGACTCACGTAATGCATGTACTCCACATCCTCCTCTCTGGCAAGTGGGATCCTATCAGCATGCTTGACGATGACGACCTCTGGATCTCTTCGCAATCAATTTATCAGCTCCACCGCACATGCTGTTTCGGCCGCTGAAGCTATCAGCAACATTCTCGAGTACGACCCGGACCTAAGCTTCATCCCGTACTTCTTTGGGATTTACCTGCTGCAGGGTAGCTTTTTGCTGCTCCTGATCGCCGATAAGCTGCAGGGTGAGGCGTCGGGTGCTGTCGTCACTGCTTGTGAAACAATCGTTAGGGCGCATGAAGTTTGTGTGGTAACACTAAATACAGAGTATCAGGTATGTACCTATTCCCTCACCTTTATATCCGAAAAGCTTGTTTTCTGACATATCAAATAGAGAAACTTCCGAAAGGTTCATGCGAAGCGCATTAAGTCAGGTGCGCGGCAGAGGCGCACCAGAGGATATGGAGGAGCAGAAGCAGAAGAGGCGGGAGGTGCTACAGCTTTACAGATGGTGCGGAGATGGAACCGGACTCGCGCTTTGAAAGCAGAAATGGATTCTACGACCCTTCTCTTCACAGACGACTACTACCATTGGACGAACAAGGACAAGAAAGAAGCAGAGGAAAACGACAACGATATCAACTGAATATGACTACTATCTGACATGTATAAAAGACGCACGAGTCGGTGTAACAAAGCAGAAGCGGCAGTACGGAACGAAAAAGGATACCCACGGTTTTTGTTTGGTTTTTGTTAATGGCGCGAAATTTTTAAGGAGTGCAATGGGGGGTCCGGGGGGGGGGGGGGGAGGGCAAAAAGAGAGAAAGAAAAAAAATATCGGTGTTGTTTAATTTGAGCATAGGTGGTGGTTGGAGCTCGGGGGAACAGATCTGGACATCTTCCTTTTTTTTTTTTTTTTTTGATCTCTTGGTGTTTTGAATTCTTTCCTTGTGTTTTGTCTTTTTATCTTTGCTTTTTATTTACTTTGTGGGCGTTAGAGTACTTAACCGCAGGCTGCGTGTTCAGGCTGGTGCTGAAATGGGTGGCTTTTGGGTTCGTTTATTTTTCTTCCTTGACGTTTACTGGCCGGAAACGTGGAATTTAGCGGTTTCTGGCTTTTCTCGATATCACTGTCTTATTAGGAGCCTTATTTTCTTTTCCTCATTGTCAATTGATCCATACTTACATCTCCCTTTCTTACCTTCTATAAGTTGATCCTTTCCGGGAAAGGTTTCAATTAACTTCTCTCCCCCAAAAACTTTCTTGTTTACTCTTTCTGTTTTTATACATGTGCAGATTGGTTAGCTGCCCTTTTTGATTAAAATATAATACAATAGTGCAGGAAACAAAAAAAAAACAGTTTGAAAGAACAACGAGTCCCAATATGCATATTTCGTTATATTGTTATCGCCGCCTCAGCTTCTTTCTTATCTCCCTCGCTACGTCACAACCAGACAGAGAAGCGAGCGAGCGAGCACCAGGGACAAATCGGGTGATCCCGTTGAAACATAGTCTATAGAGTGTACTGCCCCGGTTTTTGTTTTTTTTCTGTATACCGGAATATCTTTAGACCGGGGAAGGCGCCGGGGGGGCATGCGATATGTTCATTGTTGACAGGCCAAACCCGTTTTCTTCGGAAACGAGTATTCACATGGATATCTTTTCCTTTGCCTTCTCCGAAATCCGGACCAACACCCACCCCCCCTTCCCCCTCCCTTTTTCTGCGTGTTTTTATTTTATTGTCTTATTTGGAATAAAGCACTCTAGTCTCACTCGTCGCAATCGAGGCACCGATGTACGTCGGTGAAGATCGTCGTGCTTAAGAGAAAGAAAAAATAAAGCGATTTCTGCGTGTCACAGAGAAGCACTCAATCTCAAGGCTACAGGTTTAATATATCTCTTCTATGCATCTATGCACCATCAGAATCAGAATCGGGAAGAAGACCCTCCTTGACTTTGAGGTACCGCAGGGGTTCGATTTTTCCGATCTTTTTTTGTTTCGCTGATCGAGTCCAAGTGTGGATATGTAGGTACATATTTTACCTGGGATAAAAGCGAAGCGAAGAGGGAGGAATTAAATACGAAGAGGAAGAGAAGGAAGAAGCAATGGGTACTAGGGATCGAATGGGAAACGCCCATCTTGCAGCTTTCGTATATTGCGACGAGGTACGTTCGAGGTACCAAGAGTCAATCATCCCCTACCTACTCTATTTTACCCTCACTTTATTATTCTACTTACCCCGCGCCCCACATCCTTCCCACCCTCACATCCTCTCTCCACTAGACCAAGACAAAAAAACGTTTGGAGGTCGGTCAGGTCTTGCGGGGTGAGCGCGGCAGAGAACAGCTAACCGAGATATGCAGTGTGTTGTGCAGGGTCTCGGGTGAATTGTCGCCGAAAAGAAAAAAGAAAAATACTCTTACTAGTCACCACGAGCGAGAAAAAGCAAAAAAAAGAAGAAAAGTTCTGTCGCGCATGACATGATCTGACCGGGGAGAGAGAGAGAGGGTTAGTGTGCTGTTGTTGTCTAAGGCACACCTGGGAGAGTAAAGTGTGTTGATTCCCAGGCACAGGGCGGACAAATTGCCCTTTTGAAAACGAAGAGGAGGAGCTGGGATATGTCTTTGGCTGGTTGTTGAGCCTTTCCTGGTGCTTGGGATTTGGTGATGATCCCCCTAGGTATGCCTGGTTCGCGAAGCTGATTGTCTCTGGAATACCCATGCAGCACCAGCGGAGACGACTCAGTGAGTTGTTCAGCAAGCAAGCCGATAGGTCCTCGATACGAATAAACCCTCGAGTCTCTGATCCATGACCTAGGGTGAAAGAAAAAAAAAAAAAATTGAAGAGAAAAAGATTCTAGAAAGAAAGAAAAAACGGCAGAGCTCCCCTCTCCCGGAGTGAGACACTTCATCACTGAAACCAACCTTCTGTTCCTCCAGCGCATCGCATTATTGGATTGCAAAATGAAGATGTTCCTGCCGGTTAGTTAATCCCGGCCACCGCCGCCGTTGTTTCCTGGAGGACAGACAGGGGTTAGCTAGTGCCATACAACCAACACAGCTGCTAGTCTACTACTAAAGTCGTCCCAAAGTGGAACATCCTAATAATTGGATAACCCTAACCCATTAGTGATCTCCGTCACTCAGGGTCACTCACCCCATTGTTGCTGGACTATTATGGCTAACAATAAAGACTGCGGAGATAAACGCCAGTGAGGATGGTTTAACAGAAGTCTAGGTAGGACTCTAGATAGTAGCTCCAGGCACATTGTGACACTGTCGTCTAATTCTAGATAATGACAGTCCGGCTCAACATGCGTCGGACAGACAGAGTTGAGGACATGCTGGTTCTGGTCATTCATTGAGCTGCTGGCCTCATGCTCACAACACGGCCAATTAACTATAAGCCTACTACATCATAACACATCATATTGCGGGCGGTATCCAGGCCTACATTGAATAGAACGCTGAAGTTCAGCGTATGTGAGTTTTACGACCCGAAATTCAGTCATATACGTTCCCGTCCAATACACCGTATTTCGATGTCTAGGCAACTAATCATCGGTCAATTCAACCCGCCGATATCCAGGCTAGCCAACAAAAACTAATCTCACACCATATCGCAGTATCAAAACAAACCAACCGATATCCAGACTAGTACAAAACAAACCCACATCCCCCACATTGAGTCTACCAACCAGCTACATCTCTAACTGCCGGGTATATAGTCTCGTTCCCAGACTATTTTCGCTGCCGCACCTCGTGGGGAGTGTGCAGAAAACTTCAAATCAAAACAGCGCCTCTAGGCACGAGACTAACCGCAGGGTATGGGTATCCATCATATCAGAAATTAAGAAAGTCTATTCTCGCCTGACCTGACGCACAGGGGCGGCCTACCTTGGACCCAACGTTTACCGGGTTTTCGAGTGTTATGCTGTCAATGAAACTAGTGCACTACATGAAACCGGGGAACAGGGGGGGGACTATTCGTTGGTACCTACAGTGCAGCTGCGAATACGGTATAGATCGGCACGACAGGCTAGAGGACCAGGGGGATGTTAAGCTTACTTGGTTAAATAGAAACAATGGACCTTTTATATACAGCCGGTGGTGGGGTTTTCATTGGAGCGGGATTCCAGAATTGCCTGTTTGCATGGAGCTAGTTAGTGTCCAATTACAGAGAAGCATAACGGCTTTTAAGGGAGGGTCGCTTGAACAAAGTAAGGGCCGTGCACATACGCTTCCTACAACCCTAAGCTCCCGCCTAAATGCACAGAAAATCCGGCCAGTCTCGAATCGAACATTAGGGCCGGCAATGAACTTGGGAACACTACGCCTGTTGGGTTTAAAGACTTCAATTGAGGGGAATAGATCTCATAAACCAGCTTAGCTTAAAGATACACGTACGTAACCCTAGTGTGAGAGTGGTGGCGGCTTGTCCGTGCGAGAGATGAACGTTATAATACAAGAAGTGATGAATGCTGTGCATATTTTTAAGAGTAGACTGGGCCAACAGGTCAAAACGTGGGTCATTGCCACATATGCAGTAGTCGAGTAAACCTGAATTCACAATGCCACTCCATTCGTATGCGTACATATATGCATGTAGGCCGCCACGATCTTATGCAGCGCCACTTGATACACCCCCTCATAACTAACATGTTTCTGGAAGGGCATATGTCTCTCTATAATTTATCCTACAAGCAGGTATGCGCATTGCCATGATCCAGCAGAGTTCCAAAGGACAAGTACTGGAACTTGAGGGACGGTGAAGATTTAAGCTTAAACCTTAAACTTTAAAATGCGCCACCTAACCCCACCTATTCTATGCATGTACATGTAGCTAGATATGTGGCTACATGTATGAGAAAATGCCTACACGCACGTAGCAGGCCTGAACCCCACCACCACCACCGTCATTTTATGCATAGACAACCACCATCTCCACCACTGTCGATCACCTTGTACATCTTCCAAGATCTGCCATTATCCTCTCTCTCACGGATTTCTATCTCCCGACCAATACATTCCGACCAAATCGCCACGATCTTCAACAATTAGGTGCATCCCCTAGTTCCTGCCTACATTGATGACCTTGATGATCGCTGATACAGCCACCTCAATTAATTACGCCTACCCACCTAGCTAGCTAGCTACCCAGCCTAGCCTACTAATCCAGAAAATCACTAGGTCATCTCAACAACCCTTCTGCGGCACGAGACTAAGAGCCAACTTCAACGCTTACTACTCGCCGCGTCGAATCAGACCTCAATACAGAAATTCCAACCACCGGATAGGCCAAGTTCGCTGCGCGGCTTTGGTTTTCCCGGTGGGTTAATCATGGATTATCACTCGGTCGCGCACATATATACCAAAATCACACTTTGTTTGTTTAATTCATTAATTTATCAAAATCACACAAAGGATACCACAACCACAGAACAATCCCAAATTTATATTAATATCTCACAATCACCCGAACAACAGGATAACAACAAGAAGAAACGGTAACCACCAACATAACCTCCAATATAACATTACTTTTGAGCTGACTCATTCTATGCATTCAATAGCTTGAGAAAAAGAAAGAATCCAAAACTCACCTTTTACATCCGCATTGCATACCCGGTATATCTATCAACTTATTAGATAATAAGAAATACAAGCCAAGCAGTCCGGTCGGCGAAAGTAACTACAGGATTTTCCACATACACGATACTTACTACATGTACCCAAAACTTGTTCACCTACGACGTACAAATATGGTATCAGCCCACAAAGGAGCTAGCTAGCTATCACAGACAGGCAGACATCAACCTCTTATTATACACAGCACTTTGACCTTGGATAAATCCTATGTAAGTTGAAGGGTGTGGTGCTGCTAAGATAGAACAGTGTATTCTGTTCATAGGTATATGTGAAAATCAAATAAGTAATTCGGAAAAAAGAAAGAGAAAAAAAGAGAGAAAAAATATGAAGATAAGGGAGGGGGGAATTTATCCCTTGAACCGTAATGTAGGGCACGCATACGGGAGCAACAACGACAGAAACCATCACGGTGTTTGTGTGTGATGAATTTATACTTTGCAACAACAGACATGCACCCAAATATTGCGTTTAACAGATCACACAGTTCCCACTTTGCGTTAGGTTCCTCTAATTACAATTTTACCTGACGGTTTAAGGGATAAGATGTCGACGTGGCGGTAGCGGTAACTTCCCGCTGCAGGAGGAATTCACCCTGCCTATATACCACCCAAGCAAGTCCCATTGACAACATCGTGGTGTGGCGTGGTGGCGTGGTAATAATAATCTACCAACGGGTGGAAGCAGTGATGAGAATGCCCAACATGGTCTCTTGAGGGATGATATAGGATCACGGGATATCACTCGCTCGCTCTGTCGGTTGCCAAGAACGCCGATCGAGAGACGGTGGCTCGAGTGATACGATGAAGTATCTCTGAAGTAGTAAAGAATCAACAAGCAATATATAAGAGGCCAGTTACACAATACGATACGATAAGATACGATACGATACGATACGATACGTCTAAGAGGTTTCCATAAATAAAAATAAAAAATAAAAAATGATGATATCCTTACCCCTTACCCCCCCCCCCCCCCGGGCCCCCCGCCTTACCCATCGTGCACCCCATATCTGCCCCTGCCCCCGCCGAATAAGATAAACCAAAAACAGAAAAAAAACAAAAAAAAGAATAACTTTTAATATAGCACGCAATCCGCATCAACAAAAACTGGCTACATAGCTAGGTAACATACATGTACATGTAGCCGGCGTGATCTACTTAGTACTTTCAAAAATCATCATACGACCCTTACGTTAGTTATAGTACCCGCGCGTTCATAAAATACACCCGCCGCCCTGCGCCCGCCCCCAAAAAGAACCACACTGCACCACACCGCGCCGCGCCGCCGTCGCCACCGTCTAAACGACGAAAAACCGAAAGGATAAATAGAGATAAAAGAACCCAAAAAAGAGAGGAAAAGATAAAAAAAAAGAATACTCAGAGAGAAAAAAGAAGAAAAAAGCTAAGAATATGCAGCGGGCCCCCACCGAGTCATCTAATTACAGCAGTTGCATCGATCACCCCTCCCCCCAAAAGAAAAAACCCCGCTCGCTGACTGCCTTTACGCCTGCTCCACCTTCACCTTCTTGGCCCTCCCCACACTCCCCGTCGCCGCCGCCTTCTTCCTCTTCATCCCCCTCCCCCCACCTCCTGCGCCGCCGCAACCTCCACCGTCCTCCTCCTCCCCCTCTTCCCCTTGCCCAGCGCCGCCGCGGCCCCCAGCGTCGTAACCTGCTCAAACTCGCCCTCCGCAGGCGTCAACACGCCCTCTGACCCGGGCGCCGTCGTCCCCTCCGTCATATCCGCCACCTCCTCCAGCTCCCTCGCCGCCGCCGCCTTCGCCGCCGCCTCCGCCTCCTGGATACGGATCACCTCGCTGATCTGCGTCCACTCGCGCTCCATGTCCTCGCACACGCGGCGGCTCTCCTCGTCGCCGGCGTGGTACTCGATGCAGCTCTCGCACTTGATGTAGAACGCCTGACTACTCGGCTCCAGCCCCAGGTTCTCATACTCGACGAGCGACTCGCCGAGAAGGTCGATCTTGTCAAAGTCGATGCAGTCCTCGCAGTACGCGCTCTGGCACCACCGGCAGCGGAAGAGCATCCCGCCCGCGTTGGTGGTCTTCTGTGAGCAGTCGGCGCACTGGTGCTGCGGGCAGTAGAACTGGCCCATCTTTGACTTGCTGCGCAGCTGGAACTCGCGCGTGAGGCAGCCGTAGTGGTAGGTGCGCGGGCACCCCGAGCACAGCGTGAGCTCGCCGCCGTCGTAGCAGATCTGGCAGTAGTCTTGGTGGTCCATTGCGCGGCGCTTGCGCTTTGGCGGCTCCGCGAGCCGTGGGTCTTTTCCGCTGAGGGTTGCGACGGCCTCCCAGGCGTTGTTGCCAATCGTCTCTTTGAGCACCGGGTGGCCGTCCACCATCACCACGCGCTCCATGCCCAGGCGGCGCGACTCGCGCGTCCATTCAGCTGAGATCTCGTGGTTGCTGTCGCGCTGTGTGTTGCGAACGTGGTTCTTGCCCTCAAACACTCGCGTCTCGACTTTCTCCATCTCCGAGAGCCAGCGCTTCTCCTCCTCCTCGTTGTCGGCTGCCTCCTGCGCGGTCTCCTCGTGCTGCAGCTTCTGAGAGTACTCGGTGCACTTCTTGATCGTGGTTGCCCAGTCCCACTTGAGCATCTCAGTCGGGTCGATCTCCTCGCGCGCGATGGCCCGCGAGCCGGAGCGCACAAGACTCATGAGCTGCGAGGTCGTCAGGTTCGGCATGTTGTCCTCTGCGCTCGACGCGGCGTTGACTGAAGAGGTTGACGTGTGGATGTCGCGCATCGACTCTGTCACCTTCGCGGACAGGTACAGCTTCTTGCGGATCCGCCCCATCATCTGCTCCTCCACCGTGCCCTGCGTGATGAGCCGGTACACGGTCACCTCCTGCGTCTGCCCGATCCGGTGCGCGCGCGCCTGCGCCTGCAGGTCTGCCTGCGGGTTCCAGTCGCTGTCTAGCATAACCACATTACTTGCACTTGCCAAGTTGATACCCAGCCCGCCGGCGCGCGTCGAGATTAGCATCACCTTGTAGTCTGCCGTGCGTCATGGTTAGTCACTCGTCGTCCCTCACACCACGTGACCGGGGGAGGGGTGGGGGGGGTGAGGGATTGGAAAAATATACCAGGATCGTTATTAAACAGCCTGATAGCAAGATTGCGGCGGGCACGCGCAGTCATGCCGTCGAGGCGGCCGTACTTGAACTTTGTGCCGTCGCCGCCCTTGAGCTGCATGAGGTCCTCGCAGATGTCGAGCATCTTAGTGAAGCCGGAGAAGAGGAGGACCTTTTGGCCGCGCCTGAGACAGAGCTCGTCGATCAGCTTGTCAAGCAGGATGAACTTTGACGACGCCAGGATGACGTGCGGGCCATTGATAGGCGGTGACGGTTCTGCATTTGGGAGCAGGTACGGGTGGGAACAGCACTAGAAATCATCAGAATCAGTAATAGCCCCCCTACAAACCAAAAAAAGAGACCCATGAAACACACCTTCCGCAGCTGCATCAACAGATTCATCAACTTCTGCCACTGCGTCCCCTGCTTCTCCTTAATCGCCTTCTCCACAATCATCCTCGTCTCCCCCCACTGCTCATCCCCCACGCCCAGATTCTCCAGATCCCTATCCGCCACAATCCCCTCCTTCCCACGGTGGTGGTCATCCGCCTCCTTCTCCTCCTCAACCGCCTTCTCCTTCGCCTCGCGAAACACCTGCTCCAGCACACCCTTATCCAGCCTCGTCAGCAGCCTCTTATACCAAAACCGCTGCATCGGCACAAGCGGCAGATACAATATCACCTCCGTCTTCTTCGGCAGCCCCAGGTTCACGCCCTTACTCTCCTTCATGCGCCGCAGCATGATCAGCTCCAGCAGCCGGCGCGCATTGTCCATCACCTTGAGATCATTCTTGCCCGCCGTCAGGTCAAACGCGTCGGAGAAGACTTTGCTCGTGTTGACGTTGAACACCTCGGGGAACAGCCAGTGGATCAGCGCCCACAGCTCCGTGAGATTGTTCTGCAGCGGCGTCCCCGTGAGGATTAGCCTATACTCGGCGCTGAGGCCCTGCAGCGCGGAGGCGACGTTGGTCTTTTCGTTCTTGATCTTGTGGCCCTCGTCGAGGACGACGTAGCGCCAGACGAATGCGCGGCGGAACCACTGCTTCTCGCGCTCAAACACCTCATAACTAGTAATAACCACGTCGTAGCCGCGGTCACTGTTTGCATCATCATCAGCGTCAAGGCCAAAGGTTTCGCCGGTTTCGGCAACCTTCTTGAGGCGGTCGCGCTCCTCGGCGGGCCCATGCAGGCGCAGGACGCGCAGGTGCGGGGTCCACTTTTTGCATTCGGATACCCAGGAGGAGACGACGGAGAGGGGGCAGACGACGAGGAAGGGGCGCTGCTGGTCGGCGGGGCAGGGGTGGAAGGTGGTCAGGTATGAAAATAAGGAGAGCGTCTGCAGGGTCTTTCCGAGCCCCATTTCGTCGCCGAGGATGCCGGAGGAGCCGTTGTTGTACAGCCAGACGAGGAAAGAGAGCCCGGAGAGCTGGTAGCCTTTCATGGTGGCGGTGACACTGCGGCGGCGGTTAGCATATCCGGCGGTACATGCAATATAATTGGCAAAAGTAGGAATGAATTCGACTTACTTGGGAGGCTGCTTCTCGAGAAGCTTGTAGGGGACGGCACGGAGTTCCGTTGGTGGTGGTGCTGCGGTAGGCTCGGAGCCCGCGGCTTTGACTTCGGCCCCGACTTCGGTGGTGACCTCGGGCTTGTCCTCGACCTGGATTTCAGTCCTGGATTCCGGCTTGGCCTCCGCATCTCCGAACCCAGCTTCGGCCGCGGGCTTATCTTCGCCTCCCCTAACCTCAACCTCGGCCTTAACCTCAACCCCAGCCTCAGCCTTCACCTCCGGCGTCAGCAGCAGGCCATTAGCATTAGCATTAGCATTAGCACTCGCCGCCTCCACCTTCTCACTCCTGGCCGCATACTTCGCCCTCAGCTTCGCAATATAATTACTCTCCGGCAGCAGCGCCTCAAACAAATGCCCATACTCGAGCAAAAAGCGCTCCCTCTTCCTCCCCGTCTCCTCCATCCCCCTGCGGATCTGCCCCCGAATCGTCCCCTTCTCCTCCTCCACCCACGCCCCGTCATCCTCCTCCTCCTCTCCACCGCCACCGCCTCCGCCCCCCTCTTTCACAGAACACTTGACGCCCGCCTTGCTGCACCCGGAGCACCGCGGCTTCTTGCGGTCGCACCGCCGCCGGCTCGCGCGGCACGCCATACACGCCTTCCCCGGCGGCAGCCGCTTCCCCTTCGCGACGCGCTGCACCGCGGGCCCCGCCGCCGACGCCCGCGGCCGCTTCTTGTGGCCTAGCGCGGCGTCTGTCGAGACATAGTCCTTGAGCCCCTCTGGCTGTCCCAGTGCCGCGCGGGGCCGCAGCGAGCGCGTCCCGTTTGCGCCGCGCTCGGGGAGCGGGGTGGCGGGTGCTGCATCCTCCTCCTCCTCTTCCTCTTCTTCTTCTTCCTCGGGCTCGGGGTCGTCGTGCGAGTATTCGCCGTCTTCGTCGGCGGGGTCGACGTCGGAGGAGGTGGAGGAGTCGCCGGCGGTGTCGGCGTAGGAGGAGAGGTTGCTGCGGGGGCGGAGGGAGCGGTCTTTTCGCGGTGAGGGGGCGGCGGCGGCGGGGGTTTTGGGTTTGCGGGTGGCGGGGGAGGAGGTGGTGGTGGATTTTTGACGGGCCATTGTGGTGGTGTGGGTGGTGATGGGGGGTTGGGGTCGGGGTGGGGGGGTGTCTTCGTCGCTGAGGATTATGGGGTTTGTATTACTATTAGTTTCTGTGCTCCTCTTGGCCTTCTTATTCTTGTTTTCGTGCTTCGTTCCTGGCAGCGGGCGTTTGCGTTTGCGTTCCGCGTCTGCGTGTGCGTCTGCCGCGGCGGCAGTGATGGATGGAAATGTCGATGGATGTTCGAGTGATGATGATGATGATGGGGGGTATGCGCGACGTGATGATGATGGAATCGACGACGCGGGAGAGGAGGCCAAGGAGGCGTGAGGGTGAGGGCGAGGGCGAGGGCGAGGGCGAGGGCGAGGGTGGTGAGGATGTCTTTGTGGTGCACGTGTTGTGGCAGCAGAAGAAGAGGTTGGAGAAGCCACAGACTCGGTCAGCGGCGAGGTGTCTACAGCACAGGCACTAGCACGAGCACGTGGAGGAGGCACAAGAAAGGAAGAAGGAGAAGAAGAAGAAGAAGAAGAGGAAGGGAAAGAGGAAGGAGGAGGAGGAGGAGGAGGAGGAGGAGAATAGGAATAGTGAAAGGAAGAAGAAGCAGAAGCAGCAGCAGCAGCAGCAGAAGAAGAAGAAGAAGAAGAAGAAGAAGAAGAAGAAGAAGGCTTTGTCATCGTGGTCAGGGGGAGGAGGGGAGGCGTCGCGCTAGGCCAGGATAGGTGAGGCGTGGGGACAATCGTCCTCTTTCTACTGCTGCAATTCTGAAGAGTGGAGCCGGAGCCAGAGCCAGAGCTGTTCGGCGGCAGAGGGGGGGGCGAGTCTGGGATCACAATTGGGGCCATTTGCGCGCGGTGGGGAGGCATCTTTCTTCTGAGCGATCGTACTGCGTCCCTGAGAAGAAGAAGAAGAAGAAGAAGAAGAAGAAGAAGAAGAAGAAGAAAATAGTACTAATTGGAACTGCACTGCACTGGGCTGGGCTGTACTTGTGGTTGAGAATTAAAGACAAACACAAAGAAACTTTTACTCTCTTGCAGTCGATGGACTTAATTCTGGGCATGGACAACTACATGGGGGAGAGAAGATCTGGCTCTAGCAATCAATTGCAAGGTATGTAGGTAAGGTAGAGTATTGAAGGTAAGGTCAGGTCAGGTCAGGTTTGTTTGTTTGCCCCATGTCTCGCCGCTGCTAGCTGCAAACTGCCCTTGTCATTCATTCCTCTTCTTCTTCTTATTCCTTTCCTCCTCCTCCTCCTCCTCTTCTTCTTCTCCCCCCGCCCATTCTCCTCCTCCTCCTCCTCCTCGGCCCAGGTAGGTGCTTTTCCACGGCTGGGTACATGTACATAACCCTCCATTTATGATGTAGGTAGAATATCCACTTGCCTGGTTGGCTACGGACATACTTCCCTCACTCGCCCCTCGCCCCTCCCCTCTCCCCCCGATCTCGCCTACCTCGCCTATTGATATCGATCACCTACAGCACACCACCCCTCCCCCATGCGGTGCAAATAAGCATACCCAGATTAGAGTTTGTAAGGTAGGTATTGCTCACTCACTCAGCCAGACTGGGGGGAGGGGGGGCACGAGCCATAGGTTCGTTCGACTCACGGGATGGCTTGTTGTTGTCGTCGGTCCAGCAATTTGCACTTTTTTTTTTTTTTTTTCTCTTTCCCAGCACCACAATCCCCCCCCCCCCCCCCAACCTCCTTCCCGTGTGTTGTGTGCGTGTGTGTTGTGTTGGTTGTTGGGAGTGGTCGCATCTCACTCACATTTTGCTGTGCTTCGGGCCGGCCCGTGAACCTGCAGCGCCGAGGAATTCCACAAATGAGAAACTGGGAAACCAAGCACTGGAGTCCAGGGGGGTTGTTTGACAAGATATCAAAAAATAAGCGCGTAGATAGATAGACGTTAGAATGATATGATCGATAGTCAGAAACAGAGACAGAGAGCCTGCGTCCCTTATCGATACATTGTTCCACAGACATGGTACATACATAGAGCGTAAACAAAGTTATTTCCCGTGAAACACAACACAGACCCTGTCCGCTGTCTCTCCAGCCCACGGAGCAACAACAACCCCAACCCCAACCCCAACCCCAACCCCGGCCAAAACCAACCCGAAACCCTCAAACGAAACCTAATAACCCAACTGATGACGTTAGGGATTACTAATATAGATATTATCCCTGCCATCACCCGGCGTCCTCCCACACCCCCCGATATATCGACCACAGCTACATAAAGCTCGACAAGAGCTCATCCTGCAAATCCTCACAAACCCCCACACCCCACAACCACAATGCTCTCACGATCCACCCTCATAACAACCCTCCTCACATTTGCCCTCATCGCGTCTAGCTTCACGTTCTACACGCACCTACGACGCGATGGCCAACCCCCCTCTGCCCTCCCTGACTTAGAGCACAACAACACTAACAGCAACAAAACAAAAGTGCCCCTTGAAATCCACATCATGAGCAAATGCCCTGACGCGCGTGACTGCGTCGAGCTCCTGGTCGCACCAGCACTGAAAAACGTATCTGACATTGTCGACTTCCGCATGAGCTTCATTGGGCGGTACGTATCCTCTATCCCCCGGCTCACTCATAGCGACGGGTTGGGGACGCCGTGGTAGATAGAGTAGTTGATACAGAAGCTGACTCCCCCGGCTCCTGTATTGACCGCTATTCCTCCCAGTGCGCCCTCATTCCCCTCCGCCTGAGAAAGAGCGGTGGCCATCCCCACTCCCGACTAACACATTCCCAATGATGTCCAGACGTCTCCAGGACGGTACAACAGCGTGTATGCATGGCCCTTCCGAGTGCCTCGGAAACAGCATCCACCTTTGTGCTGCTCATCTCTACCCCGACACCTACCTCCCCTTCTCTCTCTGCCTGCTGCACGACTATGCGCGCCTCCCTGCTCAGGACTTTATCGAGTCGTGCGCGTCAAAGCACGACATTTCGTTCGACAAGGTCAACGAGTGCATCTCGTCACTCGATCCGGACGGTGGTATGGCCATGCTCGCGAGCAGTGTTGAGCGCAGCCGGAGAGCGGGGGTAGCGACGAGCTGCACCGTGAGGGTTGAAGAGAAGGTGTGGTGTGTAAGGGATGGTGGGAGGTGGAGGGACTGTGATGGCGGGAGTGGGGTGGATGATTTGGTGCGTGAGGTAAAGGAGCGTTACCGTAAGGGTAGTGTTGTGGTTGTGGAGAGCGCGGGGGAGGAGGAGGGATATGAGGCGGAGAAGCCAGGGATGGTGGGACAGGAGAGGAAGAGTTTGAGGCAGATGATTGATGAGAGGATCGTCTGGAGAGGTTAAGCAGATATGTGTTGTGGTTTTTGACGTTGACGTCACTCGTTTTTAGAAGCAATTAGTATTAGCAGCAGCAGTAGTATCAATGATCATTATGACATAAAAACTTGATTAGTATTTCCACAGATGCAGATTAGCGAGGGCTTGGCTTACATGTAGCCGAATATGGGTTTCCAAATAAACTAAAAGCCCGGCATCATCTGCTTGTGCCAAGCTTCAATATCCTTGAACCCTTGACTGCTCTAGACCGAAGTGATTTGCAGCAAATGGAGGCTTGACACTCCCATGCAGGGGGCGGCCCCCACGGTCCTGCAGAATCGTCTTTCAAAAACCACCAGTAACGGCCCTTTCTTTTTCCACATGGATCGACGGACGTTTCCGGGCTGTTTGTGAACGAGTTCTTTCTGTCTGAGGCTGTCTGTATCGGTCTCGAGAAGATTTTCTCGCTCTTTTACGCCTCTGCTACTTGGTGAGAGGAATGATGATGGTTGGGATTGAACGGGTCACAGAAGCTTAATTTATAGGTCTCGAAGCGAACACATATGCTTCACTGATTACAACCACGTAACTTTTGGAACGTGTTTTAACACGTACCTGGCCAGCTGGTCGTCGTTGGAGATCTAGAAACACGCCTCTCCAAGAGGTCATTCTTACTTCAATCAACTTCAGCTTGAACCAATATCATGGACGCTTTACCCCATGTTTTATATCACTGGGCCGCCAAGTTGAAGTACTGTCGTTCACGGGGTATTGGCGGACACTGGGTGTTGACGGATTGCAGGCAAAACTTGGCTTGGCTGTCTCTTTTTTGGTTTGTTCGTCAACACCCAGTGCCCGTCAATACCCCGTGAACGACAGTACATCACATCATATTCACACGTTACGTAGGCCCGCCAGCCCAAGTAATCATCTCTTGGGTGCCCAGTCGGCTCTCAACCAGGTGTCGGGCCTTATTTTTATGCTTCTACCAAGAGTTTGAATCCCCTTACTACATACTGATCTATTCCTTATAGTGGCTTCTGCGTCTTATCCTGTACTATTAAAATTCGGCGGATAATAATTAGTCGTCCTCCCCAATACGGGGTAGTAATCTATCGTTCCCTATTTACTATCTTTCTATCCTAGCTATAGGAGTTTTATCTAGCGGGAGGTACATACCAGATCTATTCAATTATGGAACCAGCTCGATCTCAGGCCCAGAGCTTATACCAGCTATCTCTGCTTTGGTATTCGGCCATATATCTAGGAATTGGTGTATCACGACGCCGGGCAGAGTAAACATCAAGTCGGGGCTGAAAAGACAAAGACGGGCAATAGTAAGTTTAACCCAAGACCTTCGCTCAGCAGCAGCATATATGTTTCTTCTCTGATCCCGGTTTCCTCAAAGACAGTGATGCAATATCCGTAGTATCGACACCATGATGTATCCAAACACGATTCACGCTGGCCGGGGCATCTTCCGACCGTCAGGCCATAACGTAGCCAGGTAGTGGCACCGTTGGGTTTCTCAGGAAAGGCGATTATGAATTGACATGCCGGCCGGCCACAGGTGCATATCTGCCAATAACGTACTACGATTAATGTATTTATCATGTTATTGTTCCCCGATTCACCTCTAGCTCTAGGCCAAGCTTCTCAATACCTCATGAATGAGGAAGATTGAAAAGATGGCCACGGACGTGGACAAGTGGCATCAATGCTATTCACGTGTTTTGTGCGTGAATGCCCTCGTGGAGCTCTCGTCAGTACTAAGTTCAATCGAGAGAGGGGTAGTCCCAGGACAAATACTTCCTTTATCAAAGTTTTAAGCAGTATCGGTTGGGGTTTTCGTCCTCGAGAGGGGCGCGTACGTTGGGGGAAGAGACATTTCTCCCCAACCCACACCGAAAGATATTCTACAAAGAGGAACTTCTTTTCTTCTAAATGCTCTACGCACGAAATTGAGTGATATTCTGTGATGCGCGTATGGCAATCATTCCCTACTCGAGTGAGGTCTTGTTGCCGTCTGTGGCGTTTGAGTGATACCAGCCACCTATCGATTGAGCGCTAGCCTCACTTGAGTAAAAGTATTCCCCGGTCGCGGGCCAGTGAGACATGCAGACCCAGACCTCCTATTATGTAAAGCATGTCTCCCCAACGATAGAGCGTGACTTAGCACTACATGAATCTTAGGCAGCAGGCTCAGCTGTGCTACCGTTCCCGTGCAGCATCTCGATAGATAAATTAGCTAGCCTCCAGAGATAAAAATTACTTGTATGGGAAACCTCTGATGCAGATCGATGCCATTCAACCAATCACTCTAGAATCCCTGGCCCTTACCAAACTCAAGTTGTGGCTGAATCATGAATCTTCCAGGGAGGTTCTGTGGCAGGAAACAACAGTGCCTAACCTGCCGGCCA